CGACTACACGATCATCCAGCAGATTACGATGACATGAGATCCGCCTGCACGTCTGGATGCTTCGTCAACCTGCCTCCTCCGAGACCTGCCTGGGCATCTTCAGCTGGTTCCTCTTCGTCCAGACCCAGCTCTCCGTCTCGACGCCATGGTAAGCCCTTCTCTTCTTCTTCTTCTTCTTGTTGTTGTTGTTGTTGTTGTTGCTGCTGTTGTTGCTGTTGTCCATTGCATAGGCAATTGTTTGTTTGCTAACGGTGACTAGGGTCTTCCCGTACATGGTGGCCACGGCCGGCCTGGGCCTGCTGTTCGTCTTCTTCATGCTCTTCCTCATCCAGCGCGGCCTGCTGCTGCCCGATATCATCATCCTCGGCTGCTTCGTCCTCTTCGTCCTCTGGCTGACGGGGCTGATCGGGACCGCCATCGAGCTCTACGGGACCGAAGCAAACGTCAATTCCAACTGCCAGAACTACGTCGTCAACATGCCCTCCAAGGGGCCCAGCATCAACACCCTCGCCTGGCTCACCCAGATCACCATCTGTACGCCGCCTCCTTTATTCTTCTATTATTCATTTATTTATTAGGCATTGATATGATACTAACGCTTTACGCCTAGGTAACTGCTGGAAAACAGCCTTCGCCTTCGAGCTGGTCAGCACCATCTTCTACATCTGGATGCTCATCATCTCATTCCAGGTCCGCAGAGGGTTCTTCCTTAAGTAGCCTCGTCCCCCAGCCCCGACAGGCTTCTTCTTCGTCCTCTTTGCTTTCCAGTTCTCGTTCAATGTTCAAAAAAGATACCCATTCCAATAGGGTTGCATATTTCACAGGCGCCAGCATCGGAGATATCTGTTCTTCGCTTCCTTCTTACGAACCTCATGATAAACGGGATGTAGACTTACTTTTTGTTTTCTTGCTTCTGACGTACTACTGATGGCGTTTCGGGATGGTTTTTCTATCAAACTATACGACCTACATGACCTGCTTCTACTTGTTGTGCTGGTTTCTTTTTTCTTTTCCCTCGTTCCTTACACGACTGTACATATTACTACCTTTTTTCACACTTGATGCTTACTAGATTCACGGGCCATTTGCAAATTGGGACTGAAGATGGGAATTAATACATGTTGCAGATTTCATAATGACACAATCTGCCATACTATCCTTCTAGATGCATCCTCATTCGTACGTATAAGCTCCGGTTATTTTTTAGCCCCTCGTAGTGAATGCATGTCCACCTAGAATAACAGCCGGAAGAGTGATGAATACTGTTTGCGTCCAAAGGTGTTCTCCATGCCTCGTGTGACTGTCTTACCCCGTACTCCAGTAACCTAACCCCTTTTCTCCTCTGGCTGCAGGGCCTAGATCAACCATTTTGTTTGTGTTTTCCAAGGATTTGGGTTTATGTAGAGAAACCTCTCCACCTAGACATACAAATATATACTGTGTAGCTCTTTATACCCCTTGCTGGTCCCCGACCAGACAGTCAAATATCTACACGTCCGCCTAGATGACTTTCAAGGGAGCCCAAATAAAAGCGCGCGCTTAACTTCAGCTTGGCGCTACTTAGTGACTTTTCTAATCATGTCATCCAATCATAATAGTGATGTCATCTATACCAAGCATTTAGCGGCTCTTCTATATTCGCCACCTGAGTGACTTGCTTCCAAAGTTGTGCTTAAAGACTTCGACTTGCTGTGTGCATTTCACTAATAAACCAATTTATGCTAGCCCTACTGCTCGATAATCATACATTCGCCGTATAACTGAAATAAATGAATGCTTCTCGATATTTCATTCGGCAGGTTAATTGGAGAACTTCTTGGGCACTTTCTTTCTACACCAACTCTTCTATTAGTCCAGCAGCTCTTAACAGTAACCAAGTCTTGCTTGGCCAGTCAACTCACCCAGTTACTTTCTCAAAAGTATTCCTCGCAAAATCAGTGACCTTCTCGTTCAGTCCCCTGGCCTTTTGGGGATCGATTTTGCCTTTTCCGAACTTCTTCTCGGCGGACTCAAGGGCTGGGGTTCCAAAGTCAGCTAACGATCGTAGACATAGCCTTCCGGCTCAGGGCGAATGATTCCCTCGCGTACCTTTATCGAGATAGTCTTGTCCGCCGCCGCCGCCTCCTCCTGGGCCGCCTCCTGGGCCGCCACCGGGTGCCTGGCTGTCCATGGTAGGATATATCGAGGGTATTAGCACATATGTGTTTGCAACGGTAGAGTGTTCTCTCACATGTTCTCTTCTGGAAGAGAGAGCTCTACTATATAGCTTCAACTAGCCTCGCCACTACCTTCTCTTCTTTTAGATGTGTGACGTCATGGAGCGTTTATACGGTGGAAGCTATTAGAGTGGACATTTTTATACTTGATTGGATCTTGCTATATTTGTACAATGTTAGGCCAAGATTTCGGTGCGAAGTACATCAATATGAAGTATACAGCCAGTAATCTGTCTCCATAGGCCTCTAGCCATATCCAGAATTTAGATAGAACAGACGGCGGTCGCAGACTCAAAGAGTAGAAGATGCCAAATACCACATACCAGGAACACTTCATAGGTATCAATAGGGCCAAAGGGAAACGAGCATCAGGGACAGCAAATGTAGTGAAATCCACAGGCTAGAAACATTCAACAACGCCTCGCTATGCTTGGAAGTTCAGTCTGTTTTTCTCTGTTTGTAAATGGGGGGTATATGAGGGGGTGTGGTGAAGGTTTATATGGCGTTAAACTAGTTGGCATCTTCTTCGTCTTCAGCTGCATTTTGCTCCCAGTCTGGATCTTCGTCAAAGGCAGCCATCATTTCTCGTTCAAGAGCATCTTCATCGTCCTCTGGATCGTCCACAACCGGGTCTAGGCCCTTGTACTTTGGTTCGACGTCAGGCAGGTCGCCCATTAAAGCTTCCCTACCTGCTTCCATCTCAGCGTCGGCAGTCGGTTCAGTAGCAGAGATGCTTGGCTGAGCTGTAGAAACTTCTTTTAGACCTGTGGTTCGTTCATGAGACCGCTTGATCTTCTGGGATAAACGGGATCCGCTACCTTCAGCGCTTGTGTCTTCTTCTTCATTGACGCCGCCATCAGCTTCTTCAGTGGCCTCTCGCTTGCGTTTCTTGTCGGGGAATAGCATAGAGAAATCGCTGTCGCTTTCGCTGTCTTCGTTATCGCTACCGAGGAATTCTTTGAGCTCGTCGTGTACCGTTGCCTGCTCCTGTTCGTCGTAACCTAGCCGTGACTGATCAGTCAGGCCAGCAGATAGCCGGATTTCTTCGTCGGAATTTCTTCGTCGTTTAGCCAACTTCGATGATCTCACACTGGCCGTGTCGTCGTCGCTGGTCGGATCGGATTCTTCGGAAGATGAAGGAAATGAGTCGTCCGCATTCTCTTTGCTGTCTGGTGAATTCTCTGATGAGCCTATAGGTTCGCCCATGTCATCTGGATGAACCGGAACAAGATATGGCTCTTCATCTAGGTGTTTCCACTGTATCATGCAGTCAAGCAGCCATTGAACAGTAACGATTTTTATCTTCGGGTACCTAGTAGCCTCTCGCACCTTGGCTGTTCGGTTTCTCCCTGCAACCAAGTGAGTTGTGCGTGAGTTGATTTTTGAAGTGATTGTTGCGCCAAAACTTTTCGCCCATAGTGAAATATCGGCATTCTGCGTATCTGTTCCAAGTGGAAGGACCCCCGAGAAGACCAGGATGACGGAACCGAGAGCTACTCGTTTGATTTCCGGCATCAAAACCTTGACATCTGGCACTATCTGTAGGTCAACTGCTTTGTCCTTTGCAGGGGCGCGATGTCCCGTCAGTGCTGTTACTCTACCACCAAGAGTCTGCGTGCGTCTTCGGTCGTACTCTTCAAAAAATCGCTGATGTATTAGCTGAAGACGTTCTTGCAGCAGCGGAAGCTCACTGTCGTTGTCTTCAAGTAAGTGATGACGGTGGTGTTTTACTGAATCTTGAGACTCATCACTGGAAGAATCCCCATTCTCCGTACTCTGTTGGGTCTCAGCAGCCTCATCTTCTGCATCTAGGAGTTTCTGCTTTTGAAGCAGAGGACGTTCCTCCACCTGGTGTGCAATAACTTCTTCCTGTTGGCTAGTTTGCTCCTGCAGTAACACTGGGTTATCCCCTCCTCCCATAGTTACCAGCTGTTCAAGCGTTGATTGCTCGGGGCCTGTGGGAGCGGTCTCATTTGCCACGGACGCTTCGGATTTTGATCCATTGGGCTCTGGCTTCTCAGCTCCTTCGGTGGCGGCGGTACTAGCATCAGCAGCATCGGCAGGAGCAGCGGGTATCAGTTTTTTGGCCTTTGACCCAGGTTTTGGCTTTGCTTTGAGTTCTTGCTTCTTCGGCAAGAAGCTGGAGTTGATATCACCGATACCAATGAAAAAGTCATAAGGCGAGACTTTTATCAAGTTCTCACTCCACTTCCATACATCTCCTCTGTCGTCGATAATGACCACCATCTTGGTATCTACCGGGAATAATCGTTGGAGGTTTTTTGCTGTAAGGCTGCCGCTTTCATCTCGACTGAGGATTCTGTCTCCAAAAATCTTTTTGTCTGGATCGACGATGTTGGCTACGTTCTGCGCATAAGCGCGTGTTCCCATAGTATAGATGTGCAGCTCGTAGAGCGTGGAGATCACTTTCAGAAACTCTTCCAGTCCAGGCCGTAGTTTAATATAATACCAGCATCCTCTCATGCCCGGGCCATCATCAACCAGCTGGAAACACCGCACATCCTTGACAGCATCATGGTTGGGGTTGTCCTTGTCTTGCTGCCATTCAGCCACGGTCGGGTCCACAGTAGCGTGAATGATGGTTTGATCCAGGTCAACGACCAGTGAGAGTCTTCTTGATGAAAGGAGTCGGCGTTTTGCATCCTCTTCTACTCGAGTAGCTTCACTTTCACTGACGGTTAGCGCGGAGTTGTCGTGAACCATGCGGATGGGCGCTCGCTGTGAATCAAGAACATCGGTGTTGTAGCTTGCACTGCGTAGTAAAAACATCATCTGGTAAATATGTAAACACCGTGTTATTTAAGGCATACAGCGACTCACTGGGTCATGTCCTTGCCGCAGTTGGCACACATGCCACCAAATTGCACTTCGTGAGCGCATGGCTCGTCTATCTCGGCAATGTTAATACTACACAATGTCGAAGCCCACAGCACGTCAGCAAAACCGTTCTATATCTCCTCACCTCCCAGAAAGAAGGCAGTTAATTACTTACGGTGCCTCAATAACCTGTCCCTTCCGGATCTTCCAAGCTACCAAGGTTCCGTCAACGGTGCTTTCAAATCTCGTAGGAAACGTCCTCACGACGTCCACCTTGTTACCCAGCCCATCACCCTCCGTCACAGTCGTGCGATAAGTGTATGAGAACAGCCCATCCCCCTGGCTTACCTCATCGCCGGTCTTCTTCAACAGGTCTGTGACGGTGATCGGGTAGTAAAGGCTGGTAGATAATTTCAGTTGCATGCCTTGGCTGTCAAGCTGCAGAAAGCAGGTAGGTCGAGTAGTATATGTGGAGAAACTGAGATAATTTCGATGCCAGGTAGCAGGATATGGCAATGCGATCTGTGATTTTGTTTCTGTAGCGAAGGTGTTGAGAGATCGATGAAGATGGGCGGCTTATTTATAGGCGTGTCCTTTGCGTCTGGAGTGTCTGTCTAAGCTGCCATAATCCGGGGACGGCGGTCGCGTCAGAGTGAATAGCGAGGGTATTGACTCCTTTGCAGATAACGAGGCTACTCTTGTGCTTGTCAATCAATGCTGCGCCTGAATAGTGACTGGAGTGTTGTTGATGGACCGAGAGCGGCAGGGCGTTATGGAGTGTTGTTGGTTTGACGGTGGCAATGCGAGTCGCAACGAGAGGTGCGCCGAGCGGACAAAGGACGAGCTGGTGTCTGCTGCGTAAGGATCGTAAAGGGTGATGCAGTGCTTTGTCTGGGGTGTCCTATAGACGGCTCGGGTTGTTGTTGTGGTGGGCGCTGGTCGAAGGCGAGGGCGGAGCATGAAGCAGTTCGAGGGCAGCAGAAGGCGAACTCAAGCGGGCGCTATTTAAGCAGTTAAGGTTGTTTGCCGCGCAAGGACGAGTCAGATAGTACACGACATACTGCATAGCGACAGCCTCAGCCACCGAGACGAGGTCGTTCTGCCAGTCAGAAGATGAATAATATACGGGTACTACGGAGTACTTGGAGAGCGGTCGCTTTGGTGGATTGGGGTCCTGCGGTAGTTATAAGCTGGGGTCTGGATTATAGGCAGATGGATGGAGAGATAATAATAATACTATGTAAATAACAATACGAGACGAGCTCTAGGAGCAGCTGCAGATAGGTAACAATAGAAGAATCTCCATGGCCTTAAGAAACCATTCAACATAAACCGAACATGATACTCGAACACTCTCTCCGCCGGTCATTGATTATGCAAAGGCAAGATTCACCTCGGAATTTACAGAGATGTTCTGTGAGGAGTGATAAAAAAAAAGGGGGGGTTCCCACATCACATTTATATGGCACTCAGCAACATTAGGTGTCATTCAAAAGATAAGGTTATTCCTTCCCCTCTGCATAGAGCCATGGACAAAATGGGCGAAATAAGCGGGATATTTATTTGGCCTTGGCCAGACCAACAGTGCCCTTGCCCAAGTCGTAGACAGAGTAATAGCGTCTCAAGAATGAGTCACCAAGGATGGCAAGTGGACCAACAGGCTCAGGGAAGTCCATTCCCATGAAGCTGCTGATGCAGGTGCCGGAGACCTCCAAAGTGTAGTCGTGAGGTCCGATGGTGAAGTTGTGGCCGCTAAGGGTGAAAGTGACATCAGGGAGAGAATCCCGCTTGGCACAGTCAAGAGTGTATTGACCATTCCATGACTTTGTGGCGCCAATTTGGGTGTTGCTATGATCACGAGTTAGAGACTTTTAAGTGAAGCATAGAGGGTATACAAGACTTACATCATCTCAGCAAGAGTGGTTGGGAGGGCAATGAGGGAAGTACCGGTGTCGAGGATGATACCGGTGTTTTCCAGAGCAGCTGTATCCTTACCAAGGGAGATGGCGTCGAAATCAACCTCCCAGTAGGCCTTGCGGCGGAGTGGGATAGTGGTCATATCACCAGTGAAATGGTTGGTATCGGACCCTCCAAAAGTGACGACAGACTGATCACCATCCTTGTTGGTATCGCCCAAGTAGAAGCTGAACACGGGCTCATCAAGAAGACCCTGGTCGATCATGTTGTAGAACGGAGGAGGAATCCCGTTGACTGAGATACTGCTGAAACCCATACCCATGATGCCGTCGAAGCGGCCAAAGGCGAAAGCAAGGCCCGGCTCGCTGGTAGCTTCAGCGAAGAGCTGGTTCTTGATAGTCAAGTCACCAATCTTGACATTGTCCCGAGAGACAAAGCCCTCTAGGCTGCCAGATCCATAGCGGATGGCGAACTTGGTGCCGTTCCTGGAGTAGGTAGACGAGGCTGAAGAGTCATATGTGCTGTGCAAGAAGCAAGCGATGGACGAGCAGTCCTTGCCCGGAACCCAGAGATTGGAACTTCCGGTGTCTAGAACAACCTTAAAGGTCTGTGGGGGAGTTCCGATGGAGATCTCAGAGAAGTCTGCCCCAGCGGTTAGCACTCATTCACAGATGTGGCTGGCGTAGAAACCACCATATCACCTATCAAAAGAGAGGGAACAAAAACATACACTGAGCGTTGAGGAAGTTGTCGATGAGGACGTTGTGTCCAGACTCAGCTTCGATGGGAGTCTGCTCCTTGAACATCTGCTGCTCATGTTGTTCTGGGCGGATGCCCATGTACTTCTGGCCTAAAGACTTGATCTGGACGTCAATGTCGGCATGTTCCTACAAACGGTATCCATTAGCACCTGGAAAAACGAAAACATAGCTACTCCAAGCTCAGCAAGATCGAGAGGGTCGAAATGACTTACAAGTTGTTCCTTGAGGGAGACCTTCTTGAGCTTCAGGCTGTGCAGCTTAGCAGAGGTACAGCCCAGCAGGGTCGCACCCGCAAGCAAGAGAGAGCCCTTCATAGTAGCTCAGGAGAGAGGATAATGCTAGACAGTAGGCTCTTCGATGGTGATAAAGCTGCTCGACGGGCGGCGTTGATGAGATGCGATGCTGGAGAGAGAGCTGAGCTGATGGAGGTTGATGGTGAGGTTGGAGGTTGGAGGTTCCCCGGAAACCAGAGGAAGAAGAAAAGATGGGCGATGACGCTGCTCACGTGAGCGTTGCGCCGCCCAGGCTGCCGCCAATCACCACTATGACGTGGATCGCTGCCAGGCACGCTTTTTTTTTGTTAAGCTACAATCACGGGATAACGAAGATGGCTACAGATGGCTACATCAGGACGACAGGACGACAGGACATGGACGAGAACGCTTGGATTCAACTCTCTAATGGTACAGCATCATGGAAGCCAGCTACTCTGGCCTCAGTTTAGCGGTAGAAGTCGAACCTACACAGACGAAAAAAGAGGAGTTGTGTTAGCCTGGTTGGAATGGAAATAGGTGGAGCAAGAACAATACATACTTGTCAGAGTCCTGTCCTCCCTTGACCTGGCTGGAGTAAGCATCCTCAAGGTCGGACTGGATGATGTTGTATCTGTTCTTTCGCACAGCACGCAGACCAGCCTCCTGCATGATAGCTGCGATGACAGCCCCAGAGAGGGGGTCGTTGCGGACAATGAGCGAGTCGAGGTCGACCTCTGGCGACAGCGACATCTTGCCGGCAATAGTAGTGAAGATTAGGCGTCGTTCTCGTCGATCTCGCAGCGACGGGAACTCAATCTTACGGTCAAGACGACCAGGACGAAGCAGGGCAGGGTCAAGTGTGTCCGCTCGGTTGGTGGCCATGATGACCTTGACGTTGCTGGTTTGGTCGAACCCATCCATCTGATTGAGCAACTCGAGGAGGATACGCTGGACTTCTCTGTCTGCGCCTGTTTGGGCATCGAAACGTTTCGTGGCAATAGCGTCGATCTCGTCAATGAAGATGATAGCCGGCGAGTTTTCGCGGGCCATCCGGAAAACATCACGAACCATTCGAGGACCTTCACCTAGGTATTTCTGTACAAACTCGGATCCTACTACTCGGATAAAGTTGGCCGTTGTGCTGTTGGCTACTGCTTTGACCAACATTGTCTTTCCAGTACCCGGCGGACCATATAGCAGTACACCGCGAGGTGGATCAATACCTGTAAACACATTAGTACGAATACACCGATGAACCTGATAAATGGAGCATACCAATTTGCTTGTAAAGATCGAAATGCGTAAGCGGTAGCTCAACAGCCTCCCTGATCTCCTGCTTCTGCATGTCCAAACCTCCGACATCCGCATACGTTACATCTGGTTTCTCATTTGCTCCAAGCATGGCAATGGATGAGTCTGCCTCAGGAGGAAGAATGTCAACCAATGAGTTGGAGTGTCGGTGGAGAGCAACGGAGGAGGACGGCTTCAGCTTCTCGCGGTCGAGAGTTGAAAGAATACGGACGACATAATTGGAGCCTGTTGACGACTGGACGATACCGGTACTTCAAATAAAGGACGATGTTAACACCAGTTTCTTCTTCAGGGGGAAATAACAGCGAACGCACTTCTGATCAATAGCCTCCATGAACTGGCCAATAACCAAAGGCACACTTTGAATACGCTTAATCTCTTCCTGTGCCCGGACGAGCTCCCGCTTAAGACTCCTAAAAATGCAGTCAGTATTAAGTACGTCTTCTCACTCCACTATTTCCGCATGATGCCGCTAACCTCTGCTCATCCTTGATGTATTCTTCCTGTAGCTGTATATACCTGTCGGGCACAGTCAAAATGTCAGTCCCTTCCCCAAACATAGCCGCAGCCAGGCACTTGAGCCATACTCTAGGTGTCTCTGATATCGCTTCAAGATGGAATATCCGTCTTCGTCATCGTTTGTCGAGCCCTCTAGCGGGTCGATATCTGGAATCGCATCGTTGAGGGTGGATTTTGGTAGTGAGGGAGCCCCGAGAGGCGTATCAACGAGGACACCGGCCATGTTAAGAAGCCCAGAAGAAAGGTGTAATATGTATGTAGATAGAAGATATATGTAAGCGTCGTTGTCTCGAGCGTAGCTCTCCTGCTGTAAGTTGTTTTCTGGCTCTGCTTCTGTCTGCTTCTTCTGCTTCTGCTCGTCTTGCTGTTCGCGCCTCCGAAGCTCCAACTCAACTTTGGATGCCAAGAATCACGTGATGACTTTTCCGTTTCCCTAACCAGCCATCTATCAACAAACAGGTTCAAGTTGAATGTAAGATACAATGAGCTTCTATGAATATGCCTACATGTCGAAGAGCTATTATATAGCCGCTACAGCTTACGTATGGTAATGCATATGCTTTTGACATGAAGGCCAGTGAACTTAATTTACTGCGTCAACCTCCAAAAGCTGCGTTTTTTGCTTCTTTAGAGGCTCTGCAATGGAAATATCTGCCACCAGATATTATATATCTGATACTCATTGTGTTGAATTGAGCCGTGGATCAAGTCGAAAGCGTTTTTTCTATGCGCTTTGACACTCCGAAGTCAATACATCTGTCCGAAGCAACGATAGGCTGGCAGTGCACCCTCTTGAGTTTCGACACAGGAGTAGCTTTCTCAAGATCTATCAGAAAACCCAGAGCTACCTCGTTTTCCCAGAATCCTAAAACCGAATGCATATTGACAGATGTTGAGGTGACTTTTGAAAGCCACTGCCATTGCTAGAGACTCTTGAGCTCAATACAGTGCAAAATTTGATACTCTTATCCTTCACTACCATAACCCTGAAGCCCTAACCTATACTATTTCTTAGCCTGAGTACTATAAAATTCCGGCTCTACTATCAGTCGAATAACTATCACATATTGTGGTTAACAGGCTTTCTGGATCTCTAGATTCATTGCATCCGAAGTTACAAGAGATAACAAGAGAAAAGAAACACAGACCACAGAAGATGGTTTTCATATTAATTTATGCTTGTATACCACCCGTATACCAGAGATATATATTATTGCTACCTGCATACTCCCTATACATGCAATGGGGGACTATCGCTCAAGCAAGAGACCTGTGCACGTCCATCACCGCTGCTGAAAATACACAGGTATGGTTTAAGGGGATATGAAAGTTCATATATGCTAATGCAATACCTATTTCCCGCGGATTTCATAGCTACACCTCTCTTCCAATTAGCAGCATTTGAGCGGTATGACGATAATTTATCCACTTGAACGAATAGATACACGTTGGGGGTGTATTCATTGTCTATAATGAAGACCACACGGCTTGATCACTGCTGGTCACTGCAGTTACTGCTCTGCCTCGCCTTTTACACCCTATGGTTATCCTGGTCTGATGGAAATTCATCCAGAGTCTGCTAAGAAATAACTTGATCATGAACAAGACTTAGCGGCGGTGACTAGAACGGACGGATGACAAACCAAAGCCGATCTCCACGAATACTGCTTTGACTTCCTTGCCGAGGTGATTGGACGAATTAAGCCTGACCATCGAGAAGACAAATTTTGCAATGATAACTACTATCAAAAGAAAGCCTTTGCCTTAGAAAACGACAAAATAAGCACTTACAAGTACGACAAGCAGGCTCGACGAGGATATGCAGGGAAGATCTTCAAACGTACAATCTACATAGTCGCTTTCCTTTAGTTCTGTCCAACCACCTGCAGCCTCGGCCCCTAAAACATCAAATCCTTCTCGACGGCCAACAAAGAGAAGCCCTGACTTACCGGTTCAGGAAGGAATAGGGGCTGTTATTCATGACTAATCAACCATAAACCGTTAGCCAATCAGACGAGAGCATCAAGTCTCGGCGGACAAGGAATCCCCCTCGTGGCTCTTTTTTTTTATTTTTTTTTTCTCGTTATGCGATTCTGCGGCTCAAAAGGGCCGACTCAGAGCAACGAGGAAGTTCGGCTTTTGCAGCCATGAAAGAGGCGCTGATGCTGACGGGACGCTTTGGATCACGATTATCTTCGTCGTCTGCTGCACTGCCTGTCGCCCACGAGAACCACCGCGCATGTCAAGTGGGCTGTCTCTCAGATCCTCCCCTTCGGCCGCATGATCGATGTCGGAAGCTAGTTGCTTGTCCATATCAAGCTCTGGTTCGTCGCCAGAACATGGCCACCACCACAGCCGGCGGCTGAGGCCTCAGGTAAAAAATCTTAGGAGCGTCGCCTTCACACCAGGAGGGAAAACCACAATAAAAAAAATATGATTGTTAATAATACGAGCAACGAAATTACTCTCGTCTCGGGAAATGGGGAGAAGAATACGGAGTTGAGTTCCACGCTCTTGACTTAGCGGGGGGCTTTCTCGCCGCACAGCCGAAGAAGCTCCCGGCACTTCGGGGTACCTGTGGGGGAGCGGCGACAGTCATTATTTCTGGGGATGATAGAGTACACTGCGGCACATCGTCATCCAGCCCCTCTGACAAGGATGACCTCCAAGGCCGGGGCGAGGACGAGGACGCCCTTTGTTGGACATGGAGAACCAGGCCAAACCCCCACACGCCCTTTGGCTGCCTTGAAAGAAAAGCACACGAGAGGATTAAGGGCGGATTCTGGACCACACAGCATTTAACTCCGACGGGTGGCTACTGACGGTCCCGCTGGCTGGCTTTTCGCGTGTGGAGTACCCTGCTCTATAGCACCACACGAGCTATCTAGTATAGGTGATCACACGGCCAACATGTCTTCTGAGCGGAGAGGAGGTAGGGATGGCTCTGCTGTCAGGCTCTACCGCTGTTGCATCGGGCTGCCAGCCCCAATCATCGCGGAGCAAGGGAGGCTAGAGGAAGCAAGAGAGAGCCTTCGAGAGGGCAGACATGACAAGACCTCCCAAGCGGTGATAAACTCAGGCCGGGGGGGTTTCCATGGAAAGGCCGTCCAAGGTTTGTCCCGCTTGTAAATTTTTCGACATTCAGACCGTACATACTTATATATGCCGAGGATTCCCACCTTCTCGTTGCAGAAGTGGTTCTGCTCCTCTCCCTCTTCTTTTTCTCCCTCGTCTATCTATGCGAGGTAGGGGATTCTTCACAGTAACATCTTCATCATGGCACCAGCAGCAATGAATCTGCTCTGCACAGGCCTCTACCTGCTCTCCTCTTTTGCTCAGGTATCGGATGCGGCCCCATGGCTCTTTTCACGGAGTGTTCCGGCATCTTATCGCGACGGCCGCCTGGGTGCCGTTGCGAGCGAAAACTCCATGTGCAGTGAATACGGTGCCGACATGTTGAAGATAGGCGGCAATGCTGCAGACGCCGTATGTATCCATCGACTACTCTTTTTTTCTTGCTTTTTTACCTTATCCCACTTTGCAAGACGATTGAGGTTTGCGTACCTGCAGCTAACGGTCGGTTTACCTTCCAAATAGATGGTTGCGACAGTGTTCTGCGTTGGTGTTACTTGTAAGTTGCCAGTTGGGTTCCCAATAATCCGTTAGATCCATTGGCTGACATGCAAGCGTCTATTCAGCAATGTATCACAGCGGCATTGGCGGCGGTGGCTTTGTGCTTATCCGCACGCCAAATGGTACCTATGAGTTTGTCGACTTTAGAGAGACGGCCCCTGCCGCGGCATTCCAGGACATGTTCAAAAACAACACTAGCGGCTCGACATCCGGCGGACTTGCAAGGTATGAGCTCCTGTGATCAATTTCATCTCGTTAGTTATATGGATCTAATTTGTCTCCAATGTGTAGTGGCGTTCCCGGTGAAGTCCGTGGCTTAGAGTACCTCCATAAGAACTATGGAAAACTACCCTGGAAAACCGTCATGGAACCCGCCATTCGCACCGCCCGGGATGGCTTCCGCGTAACTGAAGACCTGTCCCGCATTATGTTACACTCTACAAAGAATGGGAACTTCCTTGCCGAAAACGCTGCATGGGCCCTTGACTTTGCACCACAAGGAACCCTTCTCAAGGTTGGTGATATCATCACTCGCAGACGCTACGGTGACACCCTGGATAAGATTGCCAGATATGGCGCCGATGCCTTTTACACTGGGCCAATGGCACAAGCCATGGTCAATGCGCTCCGGGCTGCCAACGGCACCATGACTCTCGAGGATCTGAAGAATTACACCGTGGTCTCAAGACCAATTGCTCAGATTGAATACCGTGGCATGACAGTCACTAGTACGACGGCCCCATCCAGTGGAGCTGTTCTCCTCAGCATCTTGAAGCTGCTTAATGGGTACAAGAGCTTCTTCCGTGCAGATCCAGAGCCACTTAGTACTCATAGAATGGACGAGGCCATCCGATTTGGATACGGACAGGTATGATGCATTTTATACTGAACTATGGACTGTTAGTTCATCAGCTAACATGACCGCTAGAGAACCGAACTGGGCGACCCTCTTTTCTTCTCTAACTTGACTGATTATCAGAAGAAGATGATATCTGAGGAGGTTGCTAACAGGAACCGCATGAACATCTCCGACGGGTATACTCAAGACATAGCCGTATATGACCCCAAAGGTCTTGAGAGCTTGAATACGTATGTCAAGAAAGCTTGCCTCTCAAATGTTCATCATACTGACATGTGCGTTGTAGTCCCGGAACCTCCCACATCTCAACTGCCGACCGCTCTGGTATGGCTGTCAGTTTGACAACTACCATTAACCTTTACTTCGGTAGCCGTGTCATTGTCCCCGAGACCGGCATCATCATGAACAACGAGATGGATGACTTCTCTGTCCCTGGACACAGCAACTCCTTCGGATACAAGCCCTCGCCATCGAACTTCATTCGTCCCGGCAAGCGGCCACTCTCTTCCATCTGTCCTACCATCATCACCCGCCCAGATGGTTCCCTATACTTCGTCAGCGGTGCAGCAGGAGGCTCCCAAATTATCACCGGCACGCTCCAAAGTGTCATCAACGTCATGGACAGAAAAATGAACGTTCGCCAGGCCCTAAAGGCTCCTCGGCTACACGACCAACTCGTCCCCAATGTCGCCCTGATGGAAGATGAATTTGATAAGAAGACCGTGGACTTTATGATTTCACGAAAACATAACGTCACTAGAGAAAAGTCGGAAAGCACCGTGGAGTCTATCATGAGGCTGAAGAACGGTGTTTTCGAAGCCTCAGGCGAGCCACGACTGGCTAACTCCGGCGGAGTTGCTGTTTGATTTTAGGGTGGAATATATAGAAAACAAGTGCATTGTTTTTGTTAGAGGGTATATGTGGATATTAAAGGGCAACGAGATATATTTACGATTTCACGGCTCGGGTTTGCCTGTCTAGTTAAGAAGCACCTGCAACTAGAAAGCTAGATCTTAACTAGAATTATTTATTTTCTATTCTCCGATATCTTGTTCCAATTTCTTGAATCGCTTCAAATGATACTGGTTTGGAATGGAAGCTCTCAGGAAGCGAGGATCCTTTGATCAAGCTCAGTCAGTGTAGCCTTAAAGGAACCTAGCGACCAGATGAGTCATCAAAAAGCACGTGATGACTAAATTACTAATACATCCCACAGAGCCTCAAAGCAAAAATAAAATTTATTTGAACCTTCCAACCACTCACAACGTAGCAAAGAGCTGTTTACTCATGAAGGCAATCTCGCAGGACCAATGCTCTACAAAGTAGAGAGGTATAAGAAGCAGATTCTCAAATGGAATATTTTCGTTTTCATGTCGTCGTTACCTGATAATTCCAGGTTAACTGCTTCTATTCTTCAAAATACTGGAAAAAAAATACGAAAAGTAAACAGATACCCACAATGCTTTCTAGGATCAAAGTGTTCAAGCAGCTTCTTTGCAGCGGGTACTTTGAAAATCAATTCTACAATGTCAAATTTCCATAGAGCAATATTAGCCTGGATTAGCTCAACACTCTCGAATTCGCCTCGGGCTATGAATTCATCACCCCCACACCGATGGTCGATGGGAATGTCGTCATTCTGCTCGCCCCTATGTTCCATAGAAGGCGTTCTACTGATATCATAAATAACCGGCCCTCCCATGGCCGCTGCTTTATGTCAGTACACAGGGAATCCTTCTTTTTACCTCAATTATCACGGATTGAGTGAGTGACACCATTAGAATTTCAATTGTTTACGTGAAGAGAAGATGCTGCTCCATTACATTTTGGTGGCCCTCTGGGCTACTGTCACCTACGCCAAAAGCTTTTCTGAGGACATCTCAGAGATGCCGGAACTCTCAGAGATGTCTTCGTTTTTAAACCAAACGCCCGAAGCGAAAGATGTGCTAGACCAGCAGAAAAACGTCACTCTACTTGCTCTCGAGAACGACGCCTTCCGCAATTTTGTGGGACAAGGCCAGGGCAATGATAACCAGTCATCATCGAATTCTAGTCTCCTAAGGGGAATTTTTAGCTACCAGTTAGTGAAAGGACTGCATAACTCTGAACAGATCACCACCACGCCACAGTTTTCGCCCACGGAATTGAACGATGCGGGTTTTAGCAATGTTAGTTCCGGCCAGATCGTCCAGCTTGTTGAAAAAGATGGAAAGGACTACGCAATCTCTGGATTGAACGACAATTCTACTATCATCAAACCGGTAAGGAATTCACGAGAGCTTCTTGTGAGTACATTGCAAACATTTTATCTAATTACTGGTTATAGGGTGTCGACGTTGAAAATGGCGTTATTCATGTCATTGACCGCCCACTGACACTCCCTCAGAGCGTTACAGCAACACTCCAGGCTGCAAATCTCACTAGCTTCCAGGGGGCTTTGCAGCGTGGCAATGCTCTCTCCAACGCTAATGATCCAAAAGACATCACCGTCTTTGCTCCGAGGAACTTGGGATTCCAGCGTATTGGCACCGTGTTCGAGAACATTTCTACTGAAGACCTTGGGAGAATTGCCAACTATCATATCGTGAAGGGCAAGGTGCTCTATTCCCCAGACTTGACTGACGGAGATCACCCAACATACGCCGATAAAGACTTGCATATTTCCACGGTTGATGGAAGAAGCTATGTCAACTCCGCTAGAATTGAATCTACCAATCTCCTTGTTAACAATGGAGTTATCCATGTCATTTCAGAGTAAGCCTATTCATCGCTTTTTGACTGAACAATTCGTCACTAGTTCCAAGCAAATCAAGATACTAATTTCCAATTTTAGTGTTCTCAATCCCAACAATGACACTGCTAAGCCAGTTCCAAATGCTGACCCACCACCACCGGCATTTGAAAACGCAAACCCCGTCAGCACTGACCCGTTGACGGATGGAATTCCTTCTCCAACCTCTGTGATACCACTACCAGGTATAACAAATGGCGGTGAGGGTAGTGGTGGTGGTGAATCGACCGCACCCCCAAGTTCAACAGCTACAGTAACAGAGACACAAAGCGGAGGTGGTGGCGGTGGTGGCGGCGGTGCAGGGGGCGGTCCAGGCCCGACTGCAACAAACACCCCTCAGCCAGGCGCTGCAGCAACAGAACGAGCTAAAGCGGGATTAGCTGCTGCGGTTGGATTAGGCGTTGTGTTGATCAATGCTTAGATTCATTGCGAGCGAATTGCTTCTTTTCGATATGAACCCGAATAGTATCTAATAGTGTTCCACATCAAAGGCATGCGCAGTGATGTATCGATGTTCTTAATTTCTAATGTGTGTAATTTCTGTTAGCAAAAATAATACCCGGTAGTTCATTGATTTTTATAATTGATATTCTATTCAAGGCGATCCATTGGATATTCATGGTATTATTAGCTCTCTGGGCAGCTGAGCTGCATCACGTGTATAACTAACTCTAACTTCACCTACCTAACATATTTTCCACGATACAATGTACTTCATTTCACCGACTTCAATCGCTCCCCCTGTTACAAGTACGTAAGCTTATGGCAAAGGGTCAGAAGACATCACCGTACTTCAAAAGGAAACGCCCTGACATAGCATCATGCATCCCATTCCCTCCGACGTCCGCCGTCTTATTTGGACTAATTCAGGAGAAGCTTGCCCATGAACCATTTCGACTTCTCATTGCTACCATATTTTTGAATCGAACCAGGGGAGAAGTGGCAGTACCAGTGATATGCAGTGTTTTTGAACATTATCCTACCATTGAATCTTTGGCTAATGCCAACTTCGACGAACTGGTCCTATTGATTCAACGACTAGGGCTTCAAAATTCTCGAGCTAGAAAATGCATTGCTCTCGCTAAAGCGTGGATAGCAAATGCTCCTGAGTGCGGGAAGCGGTACAGAAAACTTCATTACCCTAATAAATCTGATGGCTTGGACATTGAGTGTGGCGAGACTGTGACTGACGATGATCCCCGTGTTGCCTGGGAGGTTGGTCACTTACCGGGTATCGGACCTTACGCTATAGACAGTTGGAGGATATTCTGTCGAGATAGATTGCGTGGTTTAGCCACCGACTGGAACGGCGCAGATGCGTTTGAAGGATTCTCACCCGAATGGAAATCAGTACTCCCTAAAGATAAAGAACTCTGCGCATATTTGGCTTGGATGTGGCTCAAGGATGGCTGGATCTGGGACCCTCAAACAGGAACAAAGGTTGCCGCTAGTAGGCGGATACTTTGGGCAGTTAAAAACGGTGGATTAGTCCTACAGAAATCTAGCGGGAAATGGATTTTGGATCTCACTGCAGTTAAGGAGACGTCCCTATCTATCGACGTTGAAATAGGAAAGTTTGTCAATGCCATTTAGAGAAACAATATCACCATGATCTATATTATCATCTCCGGGCCTTTTTTTTTTTTTTTTTTTTTTTTTTTTTTTTTTTTTTTTTTAGATATTATCAAGCTCTTTTGTGATTAGTGATAATTCGTGCTGTATTTGAATCGAACATAGGAATAGAAGGATGTGATGAATTTTAGCTATTTACCAGCTAGGAGCTAAAGAATGGATGATAGCTTGTTTATGAATGTTCAAAGATTCGCCCCTTCATCACAAGTAACCAGAAATAAAAAGATTAAAAGCCGTGAACAGTTAATATTTGCTCACTGGGACATGCGAAAAGTCAGTAGTTTTTTGAGGAAAACCTCAATGTCCATGCCTCGATAATATGGGTTGAACTTGGCTAGCCTAATGTTTGTGATACTATGTTTGAAATTTTAGGCCTGCTGTATCAACAGTGCGGTAACTCGGAATATCTAGAGTTGAGCTGCTTATGCTCAAGGGTTTCTGCGATGAATTGATTCCCTTATTTCCCGTCATGGTGGTCATCATCGTCATCATCATCGTGGTCATCGTGATGGTCTCCATGACCTCTGCACTTGAGGCATCTCTTTCTGTGGTGGTCATCATGATCATCATCGTGGTCGTCGTGGTCATGATCATCATGGTCATGATCTTTATGTCCCCTAGTTTTGATGCTCCTATGATGATGGTGATCATCATCGTCGTCATCGTCGTGACCGTCATCGTGATCATCGTCGTCCCAGTGTCCTCCATGGCCTCTTGCTTTGATGCTCTTGTGGTGATGGCCATCGTCATCATCATCGTCATCATCGTGACTATCGTGGTCGTCATGGTCCCTATGGCCTCTGGCCTTCATACCTTTACCATGGTGGTCATGGTCGTGATCATCGTCGTGGTCATGGTCATCATCATGGTCATCGTCATGGTCATCGTCATGGTCTTTGTGGCCTCGTGCCTTCACTTTTTTCCAGTGATCATGGTCGTCATGGTCATCATCGCCATGGTGATGGTCATCGTCGTCATCATCATAGTCGTCGTCGTCCTTGTCATTGTCATCGTCTTTACCATGGCTAGCCATCGCGGGTACCCCTCGAGGGACCATAAGATCCAACTCTGCAATGATCCTTTTGCCTAAGAGATCCCAGTATGTAGCCTTTTCAACCTCGGCCTTTGGAGATAACTTGTCCACGGACAACCTATAATTGTAAGTATAGTACGTGAAGTTCAACAACAATCTGAATTGTTTAATATACATACTGATCCACAGGGGCCGCGGCTGCGGACGCAACTAGTAACGCTACCGCGATGGTTCCAGCGAACATATGCATGGTCGTGAGTTGAAAAGAATATAAAGAGACAAATGTTATCCGTATATTGATCCGAATAGATTGTTGGATGAAGTCTTTAGGAGTGGCTCGTAGAAGACGGGAGAAGGAATAAGGCTGGGTGCGATGCCTGTGTCCTTTATATGGTGTAGAGAACCTTGGGCAAGTTCTTGTCCTTGCAAGAATAATATGGGTTCACTAATTCAGAATAGCAGCTATAACATAAGTTACACGTAAAATTCCCGCTTTTGAAACCGTCACTAAAATGATAACGGTTCTGAAACTCCAAGGGCATCTTTTGATCTATGTGCTGTAGGAACATGGACGGAGTGACAAAGATGCATCTCCAACTGGGAGGAAAGAAATGAAGGCATATTTCTTGTGGGGTTGGACAGCTTACGACGCAGCGGAATCTCCCTTCTTTCGTCGAGTCCAACGAGTACCTCAAGCACTATACCTCCGGCGTGGAATGTTCTCTAGCCAGCCATGGGTATCCGTGGAAACAAGTTGTGTAGTAATTTATTACACCATAGTTAGGTTGTGAAGCCGTTTATGGTCTATGTACATCGGAGGGTGCGAACTGATGTTGGACCCGAGTGCAGGCCAAGCGTTTGATATGCCAGTTAATGTAGGCGTTTGTATATTGTATTGCTCCAAAACTTGATTTTTGTAATAAAACAAACAAAACTCAACGGCATCTGTAGATAAAGGAGAGCTCAGTTGTTTGCTTCGTAAACGGTGGCTTGTCGATTCAACAATAACAGCCCATAAGATCGTATATTATGATGCCATGCTGTTCGTGAGGATGCGGGTTTACCCGACGGGATAGATATAATGGCCTACGGAATCACCGTGACGGGATAAGACCTGGGTATAGTTTTCATCTTATCATTTTTTCAGAATGCACTTTACTGATATCGATATTAAGGATGACGACCTCTAAGTGTGCAACGAAGGGAATTTGGTTTGTTCTTCGGCCAGATGGAGTTAGCGTTAAAGTCTAAACGGAATTTGTATTTCTCCGGTTTCCGTACAGGCTGCCCTAAGCTCAATCAGGTGACCCACTGGGGCACGATGACTAATCAGCCTCGATCGCGGCATCGATGTCGGGGCTTTGACTGACGAGAAGGCTAAGGATTTGATACCGGGGCATATGCACTTCACGCCGGTCCAGACTACTGTAGTCATTCGGTAGACCCAGCGGTTTCTTTTTGAGATTTCAATCGCTGGAATTTTTGGGTTTTCTTATGGCGATATATAGAGATGGGGTACTCCGTATCATCACAAGGATAGACAAGTCGGGTTTATATCCTTTTATATTACCAGATAGGAAACTCCGTCTCTCATGTACATGCGCTGTCTGCCACAGAGGATAGTGTCACTTGTATACGCATATTTAAGGCAGAGTATATCGAGCCTTGTCATGACGCTCATTGACTTTGAAGGATTGAGGCTGCGTATACCCAAGCGAAAACATGATATCTCGGGCCGCATGCCGTCGAGTCTCTTGCATATTGATCACTATATTCACAATCAGGGTTCTGCAAAAAGAGTGGAGTTGAGTGGTCTACTTTCCATCTATCTGCCCAGGTGATGGCTTCATGGTATCATTTATGTAGTGTCCATGTATATAACTCATGTTTCCAGCCTGCATGCTTCAGCAGCCTTGAGCAGCTTTATAACTCAAGGGGGCTCCCGTATGTTATCCCGTCCGTATGAACGCCGTGCATCCTAGTAGATAGTAATACCCAAGAGCAGTTGAAAGGGGGGACATTCTATAATAGCACAAAGCGCGAGCCATGACGGGCGCTGGGAATATTGGTCGCTTGCATAAAAAAGATGTCATCGTAAGTGCAACCCTGATTCCACAAGGACTGTAGGAAGCACATTGTACTGACGTGGGGGTTACTGTCAATGAAGATCTCAACAGCGACTCTTTTTGTTGTTTGCTGGATAGCTGCTATTGCGCGAGCATACATTCGACTTCGGGTTCAGAAGCAGTTTTCATGGGACGATTTATTTCTCGCCATCGCGTTCTGCTGTCTATCAATAGCGCTGGCTGTCTTCTATGTTATCGCAATTGACAAAATGTACCTCACACTGGCAGTTCAGTACGGTGAGACTTCTGGAATAACGCTTCCGCCAAATATTATACAGATAACATTCGACTATCAGAAATGGATACAAGTAACGACAGTTATGCTCTGGCTTGCCGTGATGTCAGTGAAGTTTAGCTTCTTGGCTCTATTCAAAAACCTGGTTAAGGGAATTTTGCCGTTGAGCAGGTATTGGTGGGTAGTGACCATTCTGAATATTGGCGTTCTGGGATATGGGTCTGTGGTTACGCATATTTCCTGTCCATATTATTATACACTCAAAAATGGTGAGTAAAAAAGCAGTTTAACAATTCCAGAATCACCGATTGTGCTAATCTTTGCTCTAGCTATATGTTTGACCCCGTCTGGCCAGAGACGAGTGTCGGCGTTTCTTTTCATACACCTAGCATTGGACCTGTTGGGCGACGTTTTGAGTAAGAAATAATCCGACTTGAAAATTACAGAACGTTGTTAACAGAAAGTTTATGGTGTCGTTAGTTCTCTTTATACCAGTCCGCTTGATCTGGACGGTGCGGGTGAGACGGATGCAAAAGCTAGGCCTGAGTTTATCACTCTGCCTCACGATACTAATGAGTATTGTGACCATCATCCGGGGAGCGGGAGTTTACTACAAGGGACTCGTCGATACCAACTGGGAGACATATTGGGTAATAATATGTGCAGAGATTGGTATTTGCCTTGCTGCAGCCACATGTTTCCGCTCATTTTTCATTGCACGAAAAGAGTACAGAGCCATATCAGTACAAAAGCATTCCAGGTACCGATGGGAAGATCGCTGGTACTGCATGGGCAGCGACCTATTCAAACGACGAGTTGTCGCTGATGAAATTCCGAGGAGCCTGAGCCGGCAGGCAACTAGGCTGCCACAATTGAAGGTTAAAACAACCACATCGCAACCAACAGGGATAACCGCGCTACCTCGTCTTCCTAGTCCTCATTTTTCACCCATCTCGGAGCTTATGACTTCTCCACAAAGCAGTGTATTTATCCTTGACTAGCAAAAGGGATTCTCTTATACAAACGCAATTATAGGCAGGCTCTGCTATCTCACATCAAGCAAGCCACTAGTTAACCCAAGGCTAAAGGAACAACAACAACAGGAGAGTGCAATGAAGCATAATAGGAAGAAAAGTATAGATGTAGAAAAAAGAATCAAGGGGAAAAAAAATAAAGGTCATACCAGGATTCGAACCAGGGTTATCGGAACTTCCAGTGACTAATCAGAATCCGATGTGATAACCGCTACACTATACGACCTTAGCTGGTGTGAGGCCGGGGCCATGTGACCTTTCAAGCGCTGCTAGCGCTAACACTAGCACATCACGTGCAAACGGCGCTTACAATGAACCACGGATCGGGAAGTTCTTGACTTCAAACTCTTTGATATCTAGATTGCAGAGAAGTAAACAGGACGAAGTCGACGAGCAGCCGGTCAGACAGCAGAGAAAAAAGCAGAGTTGAGGTTGGGAAGACGGTAGCGGCTTGCTGGAGCGACGTCCCCACTGGCGGCGCAGGTTACACTCAGCCACACTTCTGCTCGTCAACGGAGGATCTTTTTTGCAGAGTGCTTAAAGTACGACAAAGTTCAACGGCCCCCAGAAGAATATTATTACTCCTTGTCTGTACTCCAACTACTTACACACACAAGCTGAACAGCTTCGAAAACGATCGAGAACCAAATACCGTCGTTTCGTCTTCCTGCAGACTCTCACGCTGTGCAGCTATTCGCCTGTTGCTGCCCGACGGGCCAAGGCATTTGGCAAGGGATACCTCAACCCCATCGAACGTTGCCTTGCTTTTCATGTTGCGATCCATGAGTTGCGCTATCACCAAAAAGCACCTCAATAGAGCCCCCTGATGCCTTACGGGATCGCTTCCGATCGGTCGTCCGTGACTAAGATCCACGCACTTCCGACCCTTTCGTAGTGGCGCGTCATTCACCAGGCTGCTGGGCAACAATTTTGCTTCCCTGGTACCACCTCCATATACGCTGCTTGCTGCTGTCGGCTGGATTACCTCTTTCTCACTAGCCGCCATGCCCTCTAAGTCTCGGGAACATCATCGACCGCGAGATCGAGGCTCAGACGATCAAAGCAGCGAAGCAACCGAAGGAACTGCCAAACCATCCCACTCGTCGCGGAGTCGAGAAAAAGACAAAGACCGTCACAGTCGGACCACCCATACTTCCTCCTATAGTTCGAGCAAAAGGACTAGGCCTAGATCTGATAAGGATAGGTTGAAGGACGAAGTTGGCCGCTCACCAAATTCGCCTACCTCTAACTTCAAGATCAAGAAACGCCCGTCAACCGCCCTCATGTCCGAAACAAACGAGTCGAAGGTGTCCACTCCTTACCCGAGCTTCTCGAAGGCACACAGCAAGGAGGCTGTGGGAAGTCGGGATAATTTAGGCATACGGCTTAACATATTGACACCCGAACCAACAGACCTAACGTCTGCGGAAGCTAAAAAGGACGAACAAAAGCCTAGCTCTACGACCGAAGACAAGACCCAGAGCAAAAGACACAGTCAAAGCACTCGACCTCCTAGCCCTCCTCTCACAAATGATGACACAGAGCTACCCCGGCGGAAAAGCACACTCTCTAATGATGGGCGCCGGTCAGAGGAGAAGGAAACTCCGATCAAGTCTTCAGGAGAGGCAAAGAAGCATAGATCTTCAAGGAGCCATTCTACCAGGTCTTCCGCGGGCATCTATAAGAAGCTAAGTGACCAGACGTTGAAAACCAGTACGAGGACCCGATCTAGCACCCCAACCAAATTGAAAATTTTTGAGGCTCTTCAGTTTTCTCACAGATCCTCTCCCACTTCAGCGCACCGAAAGTCCAAGTCGTCCTTGAATCGAAAGTCAGCATCACCCGCCGAAGTTGAATCCGATAACGAGATAATAGATGAAACAGTAGACTCAGATGCTACCTCGATCGCGCCAGTACAAGTGAAGACGACAGAACAGCTGCCCAAGCTTCGAAACCGCCCTCGCGCATCAAGGCCTCCATCACACGCTTCTCCCTCTCCACGCCCTGATGTACTGACGCAAGAAACGTTAAGAGACCCGTCTGCTGCCTCTCCACCTCCGCCTCCACCTCCACCTCCACCTCCCCCAGAAATACCGCTCTCAAGACCTAGGGTTGACTACCTGCTCCAAAATGGCGGACTGCCCTACCATGTACCACGAAACTTCCTTGGAGCAGGAGAATCAGCTAATATGCCTCAACATCTTTTCGAGCCTGCCAACACAGGAATGAAGCTATTCGAACCATTTTCCAGACTGTTGAGTGATTATAGCCGAGTGATAGAGAAGAACGGGTCGCTGGCGGTAGCGACGGGGTATAGGTCGGTTGCCAGACGGCTATTAGACCGCCTGGAGTCTGTCTTCGCTCGAGATATTTCGTCGGAGTCTTGCGAGTGCCCGATGTGTTGTGGTAGGGAAGAAAATGAAGCACAACCAGGGGTTAGCTGGGGCGAGGTCCTTGAACTGGTTTCGGGCCGAGGCGAATTGCCGGCCTGGCCACCCTTCCGGATGCAACCAGAGCTTGATCCGGCGACCATTGAAAGCACACAAGAGCACATACCAATGCAGAAGCTTGATATTGACGTACCTGAGGAATATCGGGACCATTATATTAGACAATCGAGGAAAACAAAACAGGCTGTGGACAAATGGCTATCTCGGCAGCCTGACCAGCCCGCTGAGCCTCCAGGAGAAGTTGACGATGAGACACTAACGTTTGCTATTTTAACTTACCTGGATCCAGAACAAAGAGCACCCTTTGCAAGCCTACTTGAGTTTCCGCTGGGCCCGGCAGTGCCCAAGAAGGAGACGCCAAAGCCTCCGGACAGGCCACCTTGCCTGGTACTAGGGGCTGTGGCAATCTACCGTCTCTATAGGCTGCAGAGCTTACCTCGCGACCCTGAGACGGCCTTGTACATGGTGAAGCACCCCGACTTGCACAATGTTTTGGCAACGTTAGCCGCCATCAGCGACGATGAGTGGGACATCCTCATCTCAGGCCGTTTTGACGGGTTCCTGAGAAGTGGAGCGGAGGACAACTCTGTGCCAACCTCAGTAACAGAGCCTCCATTCGATCCCCACTCCAACCTTCCAAGGAATGGCAATCAGACTATGCGTTCAGCCAGCCAGCCGCGTGCCGGAGCTTCCATTACTACTGCAGCGGCTGGATCGTATGGTGCCCCTATTTCTATTGACGAAGAAACAGAAATCGCCGCGTTAGCGGAAGTCGAAAGGGACATCTTCCTTGGCATGGAGGCGCTTGAAGACGCCTTTGAGATTTTGCATGGAAAGGCGGAAATGGTCCGTCGAGCACTGCGTGAGCGCGGTGCCGGCCTTACGGCCGCTAGTCAAGCTCGCAGAGGCTGTAGATCGAATATTCAGATACTTGCAGGCACCCCCGTTCCAATGGGGACACCAGCTGAATTCGAGAGCGGTACGGACGAAGACGTTGATGATGGAGCTTCAATTGCTCCCTCGGAATCGGCGAGCAATATCAGTTCCAATCGGAGACGAAGGCCCAAGCGCCGAACGGAACGAAGGACACCTGCGCCTGTCGAGGAAGAGCCTGATGAATACAACGAACATGTCGTTCCAATACGCCCAGGGAAATGATCGGTTTTTTTTTTTTTTTTTTTTTTTTTTTTCAAACACTTACCATCTCCTACCAGCTCTTCACTCCTAGATTGCTGTTTGATAGATTTCTCCTTTCAGCCCTGAATCTGACCTCTGTTAGCCGACCCGCATCTCTCGTGTCTTGGTTATTCGATGGCGCCGGAGCTAGGCTATTATCTCTCAACTCTTCAATCAACCAAATACCCGACTAGGCACTGATTTACGGCCTGGTTCTCTTCTCTTGTTGCGCTCCTTTCCGTGACATGGTCCGCCATAGCTAAATCAGATCAGATCCCTTTGTACCCTTCCACTCGCCCTTGATCTTCTTCCTCCCCCTTTCCAAGTTATCCTCTTCTTACTCTTTCCTCCGTGATTTCTGACCAGTTCCGAAGATGCTCATATGACTTCTTTCCTCAATCGCCACGTATTCCCCCGAGCCTTTGGTTTATATGCATTTTGGTCTTGACACAAAAGATACAATTTACATCGTCCTTTCTTCTACCCTTAGAGATGTTTCTTCATTCCCCTCACGACGTAACGTCTGCCTTTTGATTTCTTCTCAATTGCATAGCATCGTTAGTTATCTTGTAGCAGTTAGTTTCTCTTTGCTTCTGGCTTCCAGAGCCCTTAGTATAGTGCTAATCTGGGGATTGAATTAGCCTTGATCAAATTTAACCTAGCCAGTGCTTCATATCCAAAAAAACTCGCCTCGCTTCTGGGTTGTCACGGATCTACGGTTTAATGTCAATTACTCGCAGGCCATTTTCTGGTGGCTTGTAGCTTCGTGCTACTGATCCTGGTCAGTGGTATTCTTATTTGTCCAGTCGAAATACTCTATATATATATATATATATATATATATTAACTACACCCCCCTTTTTTTTTTCGCTTGATAGCATCGAGTCACAAATAGCCTCATGTACATTAATAATGTGCTATAAGAAATTTGAACCTGGGGATACCTACCAGCTATTAAATATTACCCGGTCTCTAGGTTAGCCCGGCCTCCGAGGCCTGGGAGAGCGACATGGAGTGTGACGGCAAGCAGCGTTGGCTGCCAGAGGCGAGCGTCGATGCCCCTGAAAGGCGCGATCCTACGTGTCAAGACAGCGAGGACAGCGTCACATCTAGATGATACGAGCCGTGATCAGACATCCTCAGACATCCTATTGGGGCCTCACGGTGTACGCAATCCTGACGACGCCGAGGTGATTGTCCCTCCACCTAGCAGCAAGGGTAGAGGCTGATCTCGTAGCTAGCTACTCTCTTCCGTCCGCTGCCCAGCTATCAACAACCAACGCACAACTACGTCGATTAGATCATTTGACTGCTAAGTAACTCGCCAGCTATCGTATCTGCGGCGCCTGCAGCCCTGGCCGCTCTGCTAACCATAGCGCAGGGACAAGTATTTGTTGCCTCTCTGACGCGAGGAGAGGCATGGCATCGCACAGCCGCCACCAAATAGCAGAGCTGACTACTTGATTCTCTCGATGTCCTATTCTTCTATCCCCGGCACGTCGATAGTCGCAGCCGGGTACTCCGTAGAAGATAGGGGGCGTTGCATCTCTCGGCTCATGGCTGGTATAATAATGATAGGTATATTCTCCGGACGGAGAGGTGGAAGCGTTCTCTCCAGTTACGGGCGTCACTAACTAGCATCAGCAGCTTTGTCGAAGCCAGTGACAGATCAGTGACAGCTCGATGATCAGTTACTCTGCGAGAATTGCCCTGGATCTACAAAAATGGTGTAAACCCGAATGCGGTCTGCCGCGCCTGGTGGAGACGTTTTAGATATTTTCCTCCCGTCCGCCGGAAGAGCAAAAATAGACTCCGTTTCCTGTCTCATCCTGCTTGTCAGCAGAAGCAGGACAGGCATCATGGGATGAAAGGCGGTTGAACAGCTTTTGGCGCATGCGTCTATGTGCTGGACATCTGCTCCTCCACAGCTAGTTACTCGACCGCCATTTTTGCTGGGAGACGGCTTTGGCCGGCAGACATGAAGCCAGTCGCGCCTTGTCTCCCGTCGGTGTCAAACGCAGAGGAGGCAACATCTCCGAAGGGGGGAAAAACAAACAACCGACAAGCCCCCAACGGTCTGGTGGAAGAGCGAAGAAAAGAGAAAGGGGCAAAAAAGAAAAGAAACAGAGAACAAGGTCCATTTCCTTCCCCTTGCGATATCGACGGTTCGCGAGTTTAGGTTTTGATATATTTTTAGGGGGCTTCTAGAAGCTCATGCCCCCGGGGTAGTAATTTCGTTAAGGCGCCTGGCATCTACAGAGTATGTTTTTGTGGCTGAAGGGAGGGTCACAGTCGGCTAGGCCAATTGGCTGGCCAAATGACATGCAATATGGGAAGACCGCTATATCAGATCGGAAAACGGACCCTCCATCACCTTTGTCCGGGAAAGTGAAGCGCATCCACTGTACGTCCTCGTATGACACCAGCTAGATCGGTGTCACAACCCTGCTAGAGGCAAATCTCTAACTACCATTGCCCCGGATATGATTATCTTCCAGTTAACCAGGTTAAGCATAGATACGGTAATTGTTGTGGAGAGCGTATCCATCCTCTGGGTCTCTGTGACTGATTATCCCAAGAGTGAAAGGCCAATCTTAGAAGAGAGAGCAAGTCCCATCGATGCTGCAGGCATACTTATATATCCCCATATATCCACTTCCAAATATGTCAAGCCTCCCAAGATCTTTTCTACTTCCTTTCCCCCAATATATCCGTGTTCTTTCCTATCTTCCAGTTCAATAAGGAGCCAGCCCTTGCCCAATGGACGTCCTTTCGATTTTTGATATACCTACGCATTGAACCCTTATTACTCGTTTACCGGTCCCCCGTTCCAGCTGGGAACATTCATCCCATATAAATCTAAAAAAAATCTTACATACTCTTTGACGGGACGAGTGAGCGCGAGACCATCATGCCTATAGGTGTCTCGCTCCTCCGGCATGCCCTCAAACTCCATTCCAGAGCCATACAAGAGACTACCAGTCTCGAGGTAAGGGGAAATATCACACTAGATGTATCCCCGTTGCCAGACGACTTCCGGAAGGGAACCATCATGGTGGTGGTGGCATCATTAGTCGCTGTCGTTGCGGTTCTAGGGTTATTGGGCCTCCTCACACATCGGCTTCTATTCTGGCATAAACATGACGGGTCCTATCTTGGGCATAATCAGTTTGTTGTTCTCATCTACAACCTGCTGCTGGCGGATCTCCATGTTGCCCTTGGGTTTCTCATTTCAGCCCATTGGATACAGAGTGATGGTCTGTTTGCTAGCTCCCCTTTTTGCTTCATCCAAGGATGGCTGCTGCAGTTAGGTGACCCGTCAAGTGGATTATTCGTCGTCGCAATCGCAGTCCATACATTTGCAACAGTCGTTGCTGGGAGAAAACTATCATACAGGCTGACTGTAAGCTGTATCATTGGGCTTTGGTGCTTCTGTCTTCTCCTTGTCTTGATCCCAACTATCAGACATGGAAGGCGCACATACGTTCCATCTGGAGCATGGGTATGAACCCTTTCCTACCCTGCTTCACTCGTCTACGACAATTCTTCTTGCTTGTTATCACGGTTATGATGCTAACAGAATTTCATAGTGTTGGATTGATGACGACTTCGAAGCCGAACGATTTTGGGCCCATTACCTCTGGGTCTTATTCTCGGAATTTGGCTCTATCATGCTTTACGCCATCCTGTTCTTCTATCTTCGGCGAAAAATGAAAGCGTCGGCTGCGCTAGCCCGTGGGCAGAGGGAGAATTTTGGCAGACTCAGTCGGGTCACAGGCTATATGGTTCTCTACCCCCTCGCATATCTTCTCCTCTCCCTCCCCATTGCCGCAGCCCGAATGGCAAGCATGCAAGGAAATAATCCCTCGCTCACCTACCTTTGTGCTGCTGCTGCTATTATCGCTAGTTCTGGCACCGTCGACGTTATCATGTATACATTGACTCGCAAAGCACTGCTACTTGACTCTGAGTTATCTCGGCCGTCTGAAAAGGGAGGCTCCGGCTCGAATGGCCGTCATAGCCAGATAACGTCTACCGTCCCGGATTCTCGGAAACCCAAGGGATACGAGCTCAAGAAGTTGAACAAGAACAATGGGAAGGGTCCAGCCTTTTTTGCCGATCAATCAACAGACGACATCATTGACCAGCTTGAGAAGGGTGGTTTTGGTAAAGTGTACCAACAGACCACGATTGAAATTACCCATGAGCCTGCTGGATTAGACAATAATGGACCACCTTCCTCCTCGACTTCTATTGATCAAGCTGTGATTGCCAGGGGTCCCTCTCCCCAACCGGGTCAACCATGGGGAGGCGAGTGGAAATGATTTCATACGTCTTGCAGCAAATGCTTTTTTGTGGCCATACGTTTCGAATTTATTTTTTCTATCTCTCTACCTCTCTCTCTTTTTGGGAGCAGGCCTTCTGAGCAGGGGAAGGGATAACGACTCATCACCAGGACTCAACCAGTTTCTTTCACCTTTATTTCTTTGTTAATCGATAGGTGATTCTCTCACTTCCTGGCATCCTTGGTTCGATTCTTATCACTGGGGAAACACTGGGTTCTTTACTGACCCGCATCTTTTTTTTTTTTTTTTTTTCCATATATTTACTCACTGGGAGTTTGTTACGTTTATGCCCTGCACCAGCCCCTTTTTTTTCGTGTTTTATAAGGCAAGATACCCACTTCAAACGACAGTGATATTTAGAATGCACCTACATATTAATGTAATTCATCTCCTTTCTTCACATGTATGTATAGATGCATGTATATACCTACCTTGTAATAATTACGTTGATCCTGCAAATGTGTGGCTTGAAAGATACTGTTCTCTATCCAAGCTGCGCCTGGCCATTACTTTCACCGCTCTGCGAATACTAAGCAAAATGCATTTTTGTGCGTACATGCATTTAGTACTCATTTCTCGATTCCTGGTATGATCTCCTAGCATATCGTAATAAGCTGGCTTCCAGATAGCTACTCAAAGGTAGGCATTCGCGCAATTCTAATTGTATTGCGGTGTTACGAACTAGAGCTGATGGTGAAGGTTATATACACAAGTTATAATACAACATTACGCACCAAACCCGAGATTAAAGTACTTGAGAGATAAACCGTAACCCCCAGTAATTAACAAATAACGACCGATCGAACGAGTATTTAAAAAACCACTGGAAACGTCATGTGGGGATATACGGAGGTACTGCACCGTCACTCCTGCTTTTTATAAAGACGTGGCTGATGCACGCAAAGTCGCAAACAGATGAGAACCCATAACTTTCTACTCGTCATATTGTTCGTCACCATCGCCATCATCACCTTTTAGCATCATGGCAGCACCGCCTCCTCTACCACCTTTAACACCATCCTTGCGGATCGGAATTTTTATTCCCTGAATAGCAAAACATTTGCTCAACGGTGTGCTCTCAATGACACCGGGAAACTTCTTTGCCGAGAAGACTTGCAGAACATCTGAATAGACAGACGCAAGAACTGGAGCTGAGCCGTGGTTAAGGACTGGGGTACTGCTTGAAGTATTTCCAGAGCGACTGAGAGCTTGTTGGGGAGTTCCCACGTTGACAAAGTTCATTTTCAATCTAATGACTGGGTTAGCGGCTACTTGGAGAAAAGATGGTAGAGTCATATGAATAGAACATACCGGAACATTCCCTCAGTACGAACACTGAGGTCCTGCAGGATGAACCATATTCCAAGCTTTCCGGCTGGATCAGAAAGTTTGAAAGCGCTCGCGCTCAGGCTTCCAATTAAATTGCGAGTAAACATGCCGACAGGTGCAGGAGGTAAATGGTGTACAACCGGCTGCTGTGATTGAGATGTGTAGTATCCTTGATTGACATGAGGATAGTAACTCTGGGCAGGACCAGACTGAGGAGCAGGATATGGCATCCCTGCCTGCGCTGCATAGCTCTGGGTTGGGTAGTAGGAGTAAGTGGTCGGTGGTGGCTGGTTATACATGCTTTGGTGTTGATAGGAGGAATAGGCCTGGCCCGTTGGGGCCATGTTCTGGGCTGGTGGTGGGAAAGAAGACGATGTTGCAGTTGAGATGGAAGGTGAGGTCGCAGAATGTCTAACAAGATTGACTTCACGATCACCCTCTGCATTCCAAAGATCAACGGTAAGAACAAAGAACGTTGTATCAATTTCACTGTCACCAACTGGTCAGTAAATGTAGAAGGAAGGCGACCGTACTTGAATGCTAGATTGCAACATACTCTGCTTCTACTTCTTGTTTTGTGGTGGCATCTCTAACAATGAGACGAACACAGGGTGGAGGAGTGATGGGACGGCGATCCTGAGAGTTGTTAGCGGTGCTACTGAGATAATACGTGAACAGCAGGGGACACGGCATACCTTGTCGCCGAACCCGCACATACGCGCGCGTATAGGTTGCTGCACGACCTCAAGGACATATTCAAAGCCATCGAGGGTGAGAGAGGTATGCTCAGGCTCCGGATGCGGCTGCCATACAGGAGGAAGAGTTATTGGTGCCTGTGCCTGAGATGGAGGCTGTAGCTGAGGCTGGATCTGGATTTGGGAGAGGGTATGCGAATGGGGCTGTGGATGCTGGTGCTGCGGATGCTGCTGCTGCTGCTGCTGCTGCTGCTGCTGATGCTGGTGTTGTGGATGGGGAAGAGGGTGAGCCTGGCCTGGGGCAGGAGCTGGAGCTCCTGGGCCCGGCATATATGGCTGGCTCAGAAGGTTGTCCATAACCACAGAACACGAAACACGAGACGGGAACGCCCAAAGAACAATGGCGGGGCGACTGAGCTGTGGCGGTGGAGGACACAGCGGTGGACGAGCTCCCAGCGGGCTCTTATTCAAAAATATTCTAAAATACAGGGGCTGCGGTTCAAGTATACGTACGGGATACACGCGATGCTGGGCAGGCGGACGAGGTTCTCGCGAGTGGGAGGCGGAAAGAAGAGCAGAGCGAGGCTTTTTTCAAGGGTTTCGGGCGGCGCTGATAACTTAAGCGTTGGAGCCAAGCTTTTCCTGATGTCATCACGGACCCACTCTTTAGAGTTAGCGTGGTCATCTGATTCACCCCACTGTCCGTGCTTCTATTTAATCACGTGATAGCGATATAGTCCAACCTGCGGCTGATCAAACATCGCGAGAAGCTTCTCGACGGCGGGCTCGAGCAGAGAATCTCGAGAATAAGCTTCTTTCGGGCTCTTTTAGCCTCAAGCTCCACATGTTTCGACGAGTCATCGGCATCATACTGAAATATGGGGGTGGCAGAAGCTAATGGAGTTGGCGGCGTAGGAAGCTGGCTGTTCAGGGATCGTTCGAGAGCAGTCTCCAGCAGACTCCTAGAAGCCTCAAGCTATAAGTGGCTGTCTGAATTGCCAATCTGCCTACATATAGAGCTTATATTTGACATTGATGGAGTGTTTCCGAGGGGTTCTGCTGGAAGTAGACAAACTGTGTATACAATGGCACAAGAGATTGCTAGCTGCACAGTGTTCTGTTACAGCATGTTCTGTGTAAGGGGCTCTACTAGAGCAGATCAACCAAGTAATAATCATACATGAGTAAGATACCGATGCTATAGCATATTATGATGATCGAACATCAGGCTGGTGGTTTCACCTTGCACGGTCCTAGCCCTTAGCCGCTAAGCGCGCTATATTTGGATACAGGCGTGAGTTTAAGGTTCGTCCCAGTTCCACAAGTAGTTATAGAGTTCCCATCTGAGAGTAGGGGATAGCATCATTGACTATTCTATACTGTGACTGGGACGTCATCGGTAAAGTCACTGACGTATGAGCTATTGCGCGAGTAAAGATTCGCCTCAGCCTCTTCTGACTCTTCTTCTCTTCTTTTCTTTACTTCTCTTTTCTTCTCTCTCTCCGAACCAAAATTCCACAACGCAGTATACCTCTACAAACCGCTACTTGCAAGGTGAATTTCAACACGAGTGCGACTTCTAAGCCTTGGATACCATATCTAAATTTACTGCATCGCTCGATAGTTTTAATGTAGAGTTAAGATCCCTGTTGTGGTAACCGACAAGTATCGACATCTCCACTGTGATATCTCGACCGACGACTCTCGAAGGCACCCCTTTCTGTATCTTATTCAGACCAATAACTCCCAAAACACCTATTGCGGCAATACAATAAAGCACTCGCAGCCCAACTTACCCAAACGAGCCCCGAGAAACAGCGGATCACATACTGGGGAAAAAGAATCAAACGTCAAAAACGACCAAAGCACGATCAAAGGACAACCGAAAAGATACGACTACGAAAAACTTCACCATGGATCTCAAGCTCATCAGAGACCAACACCTTGCCATACGGCTAACTTTCGAGAACTCTGACAGAGTAAAGCGCTGGCTGCGCACTCTTCCAGCCAAACCGATCTCCCCCGGCAATGGATCGTCCCTCTCCCCGGACTTCGCCAAAGCGCACCTCATGGACCGATGTTGTCACCCAGACTGCGCGTTCCAGGTTCGATTAATATCAGTTCACAACCATATACACCACAAGGGGATGTCGCTGGAGCAACTATACCCGGTATCCTGGACTGCATCTGGTAGCAGCACGAGCACAGGAACCACTTTCTTGACCGCGAAATCCCACCAAACAGCATCAGATGGGGGGGAAACCGAACCAGAAGAACCAAACGAACTTGAGAAATCAAAAGAGCCACAAGAACTAGAGGAACGTGAAGAATCGGTGGAACCAGAGAAGCTCGAGGAAATAAAGGAACCAGATGAACTAGACGAACTGAAAGAACCAGTAGATTCTGAAGGACAAGAGAGACAAGCGGAACCGGAGGAGCGAGAGGAACACAAGAAACTGGAGGAGTACGAAGTACCGGGGGTATATAGCGGACTGGGGAAACACGATAAACCAGAGGTACACAATATACCAGAGGAAGACGATAAATCGGAAGAACATAAGAAACTAGAGGAGCACGACGTACCGGAGATACATAGCGGACTAGGGAAACACGATAAACCAGAGGTACACAATATACCAGAGGAAGACGATGAATCGGAGGAACACAAGAAACTAGAGGAGCACGACGTACCGGAGGTACTCAACGAACTGGGGAAACATGACGAACCGGAAGAACTGCCTCAACGAAAACAGCCGGATGAACGACCAAGGGAAACAGAGGAGATGGATTATTTGGCAACGAGAGTGAAGGAAAGGATGGAAAAGCCACGGAAGAAGCCACGGAAGAAGCCAGAGCCTCTAGTAAGTACAGATCAGAATCAGGCACAGAGAGAAGGAGTATTAATAACATATTGCATTATCAGCACACGCCTTTCGAGATAAACCTGTACCAAGCATCATGGTTTCACAAACTCGACTTGTCCGAAGAGGACTCTTTACTGGGTAAGGACGATCTAGATTTCCTTGCCTCGAAACCGTTCGAGGAATCCACACGACGGCAGTTACGGCGTGGCCTTCAGCGGATGTTCAAAACGCCTTCACTATCCATTCGGCGAAGACTAAGGAGATGGAAGCAAGCGATAGCAAAGCGGCTAGGTGAAAGATAGCGGACTGTGGCCGATATGAAGGGAGGGTATTTGGAAGAGAAGTTGGGAAACGAGTATCAAATTGTACTTGGAGATGGCTTGTATGTTGAAGATAGTTGATTTGAAATTTTTATTTTGTGTATTTGGGGATGGCATGTATCAAAAACAAAACGAGTGTTGATGGGCCACCGCACTTAGATTGCATGTACGGTCCATCAAAGGGCGGGCGGTGGGAATAGTGCATTTAAAATCACTATTACTTTGATGGGCTTAGATAGCGGAATATAATCAGCTCTTGTCTTAGAAATATGTTGGAACATGGACCACAGGACCATGGGACAAAAAGGCCTATCTGCCCCGTGTTCTATTGGAACATGAGCCAAGACTGCGAGTTCTAACATTAAGTGGATGACTAATCCAGACAAAGTATCAAGGCTAGGTATGAGTTTGCTTATGTAATACAGGTAGTATCCTAGTAGACAGTAGCCTATTAGAGGAATAGGCCATTTCATTTACTCTAGTAAGCATGTAATTGTCAAAATATCGTTCTTTTATAGGCACCACGGTAAAAACTGTATTAGCACATAAACTAGGTCATCAGATGAAGCAAAAGGGAAGGCGAATGTTGAGGGACGAGATAGATACATTCAGGTATATAGGGGAAAACAAGGAACCATGGAAGTATTGAGCACGAGTAAATGATCTATAAAACTGGGGTATTGATGCAAATAAGGAGGTAGACAAAGTAGAGAGTTTATTTTTGGTTTAGAAGCTTAGGGTGCGAGATGTTCAGGCAGATAACAGCAATCGCAACCATCCTATTTGTTATATGTTAGTCGGCGATAAAGAGTACAAATGGGGCCGGTTGGAAAACTTACACTCCCTCGAGGATAACAAAGGTGACCTCTTCGTGGATCAAATCTCCATCCCAACCCCCACTCAGTTCAGCAACTCGGTAGACGCAACGAGTGAAGATAGTGACGATGGCGACAGTAAATGGAACGGCGAAAGTTACCAGTCGATCACGGCGGATTGGAAGTTTTGGTCGGGCACCCATTTCCTTCTCTTGAAGAGCTCGGGACTGCATGGTACGGACAATGAATCCAAGGGTAAGGAAGATGAAGACGACGAGGGTGATGACCTGGAAAGCCAAACCGGCAATCATAGTGTTTGTTCCGGGTGCCTGGTCTGTGCCTTTATCGGCGGCGACGGAGGCCAGACCACCACCGGTACCCTGAAGAATCAAGCTGACAAGATCACAAGGAATAAATATCCAGGCATAATGTTGTGGCTTAATCCATGACGCTTCCTCACCAAAGAGGCGGACGATATCAGCGAGACAGAAGTAAATCGAAGCCGAGAAGAAAGCAGGAGCGAGAGTGAGACAGCAGATCTGAATGAGGAAACCATTCTGGCTGAAAGGGTCATCGGCGAGGAGAACACGACCGACGTATCCGATAACTTCAGTCAGACATCCCAGGATCATGGGGATGGAGTAAGAACCGTTCCTGAAAAAAAAGTATTGTAGGCAGTGGACAATGCCGGAGGCGGCAAAGATGGCGAGGAGTGCAGCATTGCCGGCCAGCGATGGCTTGTACTGGTAGATACTCTCCGTTATGGGACAGGTCTCTAGAGTACACTTGTCCATTGTGGAGAATGTAAGGTGGTGGTGACTGGAAGGAAGGTAATCAATAGGGACGTTTAACCGCCACCCGAGAGAAGACCGAGTAGATGGATGGTATTTTTCCAACAAGGGTGTAAAGGTGCTGTAGATATGTCTAAATTGTTTGTTGCTTGATGTTTGTTGCTGTTGCATGAGAAGTTGACGAAGGAGTTGTCATCTTTATATACCAGACGGCTCCGTTCAGCCTTGGAGCTGAAGGGCCCGGTATTAAAGCAGAACTTCCAGATTCGAACGGAGGCCTAATGCACCGTGTCCATACTACTAACGCCATGTGCAGGTAAACTTTAGGAAAGCCAAGCGAAGGACATGACTTGTTAGGATGTTCCGGCATCCGTGAATCAACAGGTGCAAGCCACGAGGAGGATCGTCCCTTGGTACAAAGGCTAGCGTCTCTTACGCCCGAAACATCTGGAATGGAAGGATCTATTTTTCTCAACCCAAATCACATCATGACCAGTTAAACTTCATGGCTAGCCAGTGCTTAAGATTTAGACTCTTGTATGGCTCAAAGGCTTTGCAATACCTCGTGGCGGGTATCGTGTCAGGGCTTGTCTCGAGCTTCAGGCAGTGCAACGACAATAAAGAACTTGCGTATTTCATATCCTAATTTCGACCCTGGAAACCAGGGCAACCATGCAAAGGGAGTTTATTGCGGTTCTGCATCGGTCTACTACTGATACCAGATACCTGAGTAATGGTACGTTTGCCGACAGCAAGACCGACGCTGCGTGATCGACAGCTGAATTGACCCATCTGCCTTGTATAAAGCGCCGTCTCGCTTTAATATTTCTTCACCTTTCACCTAGCGATCATTCGGGAGATGAGTGTCCTTGCGTCATGAGCAAGAGGAGGTCGTGATGATTCATCGGGCTGTCGGGCTGGATGAGTTTAACCTATGCCAAGGCTCGTAAATCTTTCCTTAAGTGCGTAAACTAAACCGCAAGTGGCATTCTCTCCATCTGGAGGCGCAGCATTGTAGCTCCAGCCTTTTGAACAGATTTTCCCAGAGCTGATTTTAACGAACGGAGATAAGTTGGGATATTGTTGGCATGAATTCTACCGCCGCAGCTGGCTATCCTGTAACCGTTTCAGGATCGTTTTGCGAGCCTAAGAGGTTGTGGGTTACGCAATTCTCCAGGGTAGAATCCTTCAAGTAGTTATCACTTGGCCACGACGTGTCTGTGTGGTTGACATTCAGATTTGCTTGTCTGGATGTTGACTACTAAAAGAAGCTTGCATGGAGGACGCGACTTGTCAAGCGAGAATCGACATGACGTCTCGTTAGGATCGAATCTCTGGCGTCAGTACAGGTAAAATCCATCTTCACCTCTCTTCTCTAAACACGCCAAGTTGTAGTGGCCGTGTGAGGGAAGTCTTGATACTTTATAAGTATGAGCCTCGATGTTAGTAAGTCCGGGCGAATATATTCGAGCCAACACAACGCTCCGCTGAAATATGGAGAAGAACTCGGACCATCATAGCGTAATCGCAGCGCGAGAGAGTACATGAGTCTAGATCAGACGGTCCTCTCAATCCTAGCATATCAAACCGGCCAGCTTGAGCAGCAAAAGAATATGTAATCTGAACCAATCCATGATCTATAGAGAAGAAAAGAAGAAGAAGAAGCAAGCAGGCACTTCAGCCTTTTTCTAACAAAGAAAAAGGCCAGGGCTTTATCCTTGTGGCGCACTCTTGCTGACTCGCTGACTCGTCTAGCATGAATTGCTGTCTCCATCCCGACACTGACATGAAGCCGCCCTTTGCGGCAAAGATGGCCTGCTGTGACTGTCCACATCCAAGTTGGACGTCGGCAGAAGCGCTAAAATAATGCACTTTCGATGTGGTTTTCGTGGTGCTGGTAATGCATACACGCTGATTGGCTGGGGCCGCTGACATAACCGACTTTGCCCGAAGAACTCCCATCCGAGGTTGCAGGAGAAAGACATTCGAACATCAACCATCGACCATCGACGGCGACGACGAGCTGCAGTAGCACAGTGTGCAAGCGCCAACCGATATTTCGTGCATCAATTGCTAGACTCTGGATTAGCTAGCGGCCGACTGTTCTGATTCCGGGCTCTGGTCTGCTTGAAAACACACACGTGGTTGGGATCGAACGAAACTTCACTCCATCCACCATGGCATCTCTCCGCTCAACTTCTCGTCTCTTCCGGGGCTCAAGCGCTCTCATGCGCCCCGTTATGACCTCTCGATCGTATGCCACCGTTGAGGCGAACGCAAAGCCCACCGAGGCTTCCTCCGCGCCTACCAGCGCACCCGCACCAAAGATGAAGACCTTCAAGATTTATCGATGGAACCCTGACGAGCCAACCGCAAAGCCTCGCATGCAGACGTATACTATTGATCTGAACAAGACAGGCCCGATGGTTTTGGATGCTTTGATCAGGATCAAGAATGAAGACGATCCGACTTTGACGTTTAGGAGAAGCTGCAGAGAGGGTATTTGTGGAAGTTGTGCGATGAACATTGACGGAGTAAACACTCTCGCATGTCTCTGTAAGTCGAATACATCAATTCGTCGTGGGGCAATTTGTGACATGATCCATGGTGAAACTGACAATTTGAAATTTAGGCCGCACTCCTACCGACACTACCAAGGAGACTCGCATCTATCCTCTGCCTCACACCTATGTTGTCAAGGACCTTGTTCCAGACATGACACAATTTTACAAGCAGTACAAGTCTATCAAGCCTTATCTGCAACGTGATACCCCATCTCCCGATGTAAGTCGCATGCTTGAGTTACGTTTCGAGGTAGACGATTCGATTCTAACAAGTTACCTTTAAAAGGGTCGTGAAAACCGCCAGTCGCCAGCTGACCGAAAGAAGCTTGATGGACTGTATGAATGTATTCTCTGTGCTTGCTGCTCGACCTCTTGCCCCTCCTACTGGTGGAACAGTGAAGAATACCTTGGACCTGCTCTCCTCCTCCAATCCTACAGATGGCTGATTGACTCGCGAGACGAGCGAACTGAACAGCGCAAGGCCGCTCTCGACAACAGCATGAGTGTGTACAGATGCCACACCATTCTTAACTGCTCGAGAACCTGCCCCAAGGGCCTGAACCCCGGAAAGGCCATTGCTGAAATCAAGAAGATGATGTCCTTCAACTAAAATGCAAATACCCTTAGCTACCACTGCACCTGGTTATTACTACGCTTCATAATGGCTCCCCGCAATCTTGTTATGCTTACCCTCTGTATCTCATAGCTTTCCACGTGTCGTTTTTTGTCCATCTAGCATTACCAATATTATTTCCTCTGTTCAGAAATATTTTTTCCTTCTCGTCTGTGCTGGTTTTGCCCTCTGTTTCTTCTGCTGTCGGTCGTTACGAAAATGACAATAAGAATTCCGGCTATTTCCCTGTACATATATGAAATTGAAACGAGGATTAAATACCAGCCTATTGCTTCTTGGTTCAATTATATACATATATCATATGGCCTCTTTAGACAGCCTTCCCCGTCGAACCCAGGAGATCCATGGATCTCTCGACAGCTCTTTGCATAGCATCAGTCGCCAATTCATGCAACTTAGTGATTGGTACACGGCCAGCAAACTCCTTCTGCACCTTCATATACTCGTTGTTCATGACCTTATTAATATTCACTTTCGACACACCACACTCAATGCACTTCTCGAAAATCTCCTTCGTCATCGGATCAGCACCGTGGAGAACCATCTTCGTCTTCTTTCCCACTGCCTCATTGATACTCTGGAGTCGGCCGTATTCCAACTGTATGCCTCGTGGACCATACTCCCCATGCACATTTCCAAATGCAGGAGCCAGCCAATCAATTCCTGTATCAACGAATTCTTGGCTCTCTTCCGGCGTAGTCAGTAGGCCCTCTAGATCAGCCGTATCAGCAACACCGTCCTCTCCACCTTCGATACGGCCTGGTTCTGCCTCCGTGGCGATTCCCCGAGCATTGCAGTATTCCACCAATTCTCGGGTAAGAGCTAGGTTTCCTGCCTTTTCATAGTGGGACATATCCACCATGATGCTATCGAAGGTAGGAGACATGTCGGCAGCTCGTTTGATGATTTCAGGGCTCTGGGCATGATCCATGTGGAGAGTTACGGGAACTGAGGCATTGCGGCATGCTGTTGCGGCAGCCTGCACGAGCAACCCGTCGGCGTACTCGATGGCCCAGGGAAAGAGAAGAACCATGGCCGGAGACCTTTTGGCCTCAGCGGCGCGAACAGTGGCCAGAACACCTTCGAGGTTATAGCAACACATGCCTGGGACAGCATATTTGCCTGCCACGGCTGCGTCGAGGAGGGGCAGCGCCCTGTTATCTTTTAGTGACGGGTGTGGCATATTGTAGGTATTATTTTTTTTGGTAAAATGTGTCCGAGAAGTTGGAGGGTATTGAGTTGATGGGTTTATTCTAAGAATTGCATCGTCCTACGGGTGAAGAAGGTGGTTAATAGGTGGTTAATGAATGCTGTGGTCTGTACGGAGTGTGGGAGTTCGTCCGGGGAGGCACCGGGACTGCTCCGGAGTATGGATGGATCTGCAGCGAAAGCTTGGGCGGATGAAACGCTCTAGACAAATTCCCGAGTGTTATATTTGCCTGCTCCGGCATATTCTCAGGGCAGTATCTGCTTATTGATGTGTTTTGGTGGCAGTCGCGGTAATAAAGAAGGGGTAAAGTAAACACAAAAAAAAAACAAGAAAATATATTCGCTATATATCCGATGGTTATGTGTTGTGGAGCTATGTCGAACTCGAGCTATCTCCGTGATGCATCTCCCATAGCCTGACGACACTCGAATCTGGTCCTTTACCCCATCCCCTATACTCTGCCTGATGCATCATCCCTAAAGCCGCAGCACCCAGGTACATGGGGCAATCTATATTTCTCGCCTCTTGTACAACAGCGGAAAGCTCATCAATAGCTTCGTTCAATGTCCTGCCTGTGGATACACCAGTCTGACCAATACCATCAATCATTTCCATCGCCCTGGATTTAAATATGAAACTACCACCTGCTGCGGGGTTGACTAACTCGTAGAACTGAGTCATGTCAAGGCCTAAGAAGCGAGCAAAAGCAACAGCTTCGGTAGCTGCGCATAGATGGATATTACGAAGAAGTGATATGACGAGGTTTGTAGCCCTGGATTTGGACTCTGGAGTCCTGGTGGCGGAAGATGCGACCTTGGTGATGGGCTCCGAGTAATACATGCGTACCATGCCTGCATCGTCATCAGGACCGAAGCCGCGAGATAGGCCAGCAACGTAAATCTGCTCAGCGGCAGACGAGAGCGGTACTGGGAAATGTTTTATACGTGCGGATTTGGTGATGATTGTCTATATGTAATTAGAAAGCTGCTATGCAAGAATCGTCTCAGGAAAGTACAGGTCCACTTACGACGTCTTTGAGGATTATAGTCAAAGCACTAACACCCGGGAAATAGTCCTCTTTCAGCATCCTCGGAGAGCGGTTCTCGTGCATCCAACTCCAGGCAGCCGAGGCAATAATGGCTTTGCAGACATCCTGTGCATTAAGGCCTAGTCGAGCAGCGAACCCCATGGCTTCACTAGCAGCAAGAATATGTATACCTGCTAAGACCTGATGGACCATTTTCATGTTACTTCCCGCTCCAACACCACCAGGAACCAGGTATAGCTTGGCCGTATCTGACATCTCAGCAAGTAAGGACTCGCCACGTTTAAGTGCCGGGTCTGAACCTCCTGCCATGATCGACAGGGTCCCGTTGGCAGCACGTATGGCGCCACCAGAGACGGGTGCATCAATGAAAGATATATCACCCCTACCCCGGGAAACCAGCTGGTCACGGACTGACTGAGCATATGAAGCTGGTACGGTAGAGCAGAGTATAAGGATTGCCTCATGGGGTAGCGCTATGGGTATGGTTAACAAGAGCAAGATTTCGCAAGGGGATTTGGTGGTGCCTACATACCGTTAACAATGGGCCTAGCATCGTCAAATAGAACAGCTTGGACCTGGGGTGCGGAAGCCACCATGCAAACATAGTACATGCATCCTTTGGCGGAGTCCTCCAACGACGCTGCCACTGTACCTCCAGTTACTTTGAACCGTTCCAAGGCAGGAGCCCAAGTGTCGAACCCCTTGACTGTGTAGCCCTGGTTGACAAGATGGGTTGCCATGCCGAATCCCATGGCCCCTAGGCCAACGAAGCCCACCGTAGGCTTTGGAGTAATCGCCATTATGCGTCCGAAAAACTTGGGGATGAGACCTAGTTCAAGGTGGGTTGGGGGAGTATAAACTGGGGGTATAAACTGGAAGCACTTGCGGGAGGCGCCATGGTATATGTATAAAAAACCATTCAATCGCTGCTGATCGATGTATCTGAAGAAAAGACCCTTTTGCACCGGGTTTGTGCCCGCATGTGCCTTCACGCGGCGGCCATATGTTGGATTCCCATTGGAATAGATGTGGATACAAGGATGACCGGCGCAACCACCGACGGGAGACGCCGGTGGAGGAAGGGCCGGTCGTACTCCGTAGCCATCGCGCAGCTGTCCCCTTAGACCAGTCTGAACGCACGTCTATCGGGTGTTTCAAGCTCGTGATGAAATCGTGGCGGCAAATGACCCGTTAAATCGTTGTTTTGCTTACTGCCGCAGGTGGAAGCTGGAAGCTGGATGTCTGCTTCGCAAGGTGGATTTCCGTTCCCAGTAACGCGGATCTTGGGGGGGGGATATTGGGTCCTTATGTAAGCATCCGGAGGCCGGTGCCGACCTCCGTATCACGTGATTGACGAATTATACCTGTAACATAATTTATCCGTAAAATCACGTGATTGTTGATATTACTAAATCGTTAATAAGAGCTTAGTAAGTAGATTTCGGAGGGATCTGCCTCAACCTTAATCAACTTTATCAAAAACATGAAAACAAGCCAAGAGGAAGACAGAGAAAGAAGAAGAAGAAAAAGAAGAAGAAAGGAACGGGAAAGGAAGACGGCCGAGATGAAGAAGTATCCCACATCCCCGCCCACAGTATTACTGAGGACCCTGGAGAGCAATCGAGTGCGCGCCCAAGACTATCGACTCATATATAACGCATGCCGCTAACTACGAGGATACCATGATCGACCGGTGCGGTAGCTGATCTCTCGTGACCAGCCTATCTAGATAACCAACACTGGCACCACAAATCGCTGGTCCGTCGAGTTGGGAATGCAAATAATAATAATACTGGTGGGATGGATGGCCTGGTGGCGCGACTAGAGGGCAAGCTGGGCAAGCTTTCCTAGGCCTTCCCAGCCGGGGGTTGCTAGACGGGTACCGAGAGTAGTACTCCATCCGCTGGGAGCGCATCTTGCGCTGGAACTCGACTTGCGCTGTGCTCGTCTTGCTCTTCGGGCCGGAGCAGCGCGTACACTGCAGGGCGCCCCATGTCCCAGCCACAGCCACCACCTCCAGCCGTCCCAGCCATCAATCACGCTGGCTCTACTCGGGCTCTACTAACTAGCGACTGTGGCTCTGCTCTGGCGCTCTCTGTCCGTCATCTTCCCTGGCTGGTTCACGTGAGCAAGCTTACCCAACGCCTCTCGTCCCAAAAGGGAAAGGCCGGCGGGAATCTGGGAAGAGCTTGCAGCAAAGCGGACGGCGCTGGCGGCTTCTGCTGCCCGCCTCTTCCGCGGCTTATCTTCTGCTTCTCCTCCTGCCTCGTGCTGCTGCTTCTGTCTCTCTCTCTCACCTTCGCCATCACCTTCGACTCTCTTGTTTAGACCTCTCTCTCCCTCCCTCCCTCTCTCGCGCGCGTTGCTCTTGTTGTCGGCTTGGTAAGTAAGCTCCCCGATGACGTATCCGCCATATTCCGGATGAGAGGAGCAGCATTCACACGTTGCCGTGGTACTTCAATTGGACACTGTTCAGCCGTTCAACTCCATCATATGCCAGCGGGAATACACGGAAAATATACTGACGAGCGCATAGATAGTATCTATATTCTTTGCTAGCTATAGATCAAGTCGTCGGACTGGTGGTGCCCCAGTAGCGCAAGTCTCGATTCGTATGTGATACTTTCCCCAGGTACCCTGTCTTTTACATGGCTCGAATTGACTGACATGGCGCGCAGTGTTGCATTACAGAGAGTACCTTACTCACTACCTTTATAATGGCTGCTATCATATCTCTCAGAGATGTACACGCCGCATCTCACCAGCTGGCCAAGCGAAAGAACTGGGCAGCCAGAGAACCCGGTGTTGTCCTGGTATTTTGCATCATCTTCGCTATTGCAGTTGGCGTGCTGTCCACATACCTCTACCGCAGGATGCAACGCCGCAAAGCTGCTGCTGGCACAGCCTAGACCCTAGCAGCAGGGTCTTGCTGCGATTATTAGCAGCCGCAATGTTTATAGCTACATTCACGGATACCCGTACACAACACGCGCACACATGCACAAATTTCCCACCCGACTGGGGCACAATTAACACACGATATACGCTCTCTTTTTCCGTTCTGATGATACGTGATAGAAGGTATTCATTCATGCTTTTGAATAATACGACTGTGGATGGACTTTGCTTTTGTCGATACCGAAGGGGTTGCTGGACTATGCGGAAGACTGGAGTAGCAGCAGAAGAAGCCTGTAGAATAAAGAGAGTGTCTCAGGGCAACAGGGCCGATGTTCTCTTGACATCTTTGCTGTTGCTGTTGATGCTGATGCCGTTCTCGATGATGCGCTTCCCCGGACTTTTCCTTGTGTCCCGCCTTGGCGGAGGAGCTGGGAAAATAAGGGGCCCTCGAGCTCGCGATGTTCGTTTCATCCTTCATCAACTCCTCTCCTTCTCGCGCTTCTCGCTTGCGTTTCTTAATATACTAGCAATGCAGTCATTCGTTTAGTCCCTCGCCCTTCTTTTTCTGATTTACTTATCCAACGTCATTCACTCATTAAAATAATAGTAACCGGAGGAAAGCCGGCAGAGGAGCGCCAAAAAATGGACAACTACGCTCCCTCACACCCCGTCTCGCCCGTCTCGCCAATCTCGCAGCCTCCGTCCTCACCTTCATCTCCTTCAAGCCTCAAACGCTACGAGCTGGGCCTCGACCTCTCTGACAAAACCATTGAGACCGCTGCTCACCCCAAACCGACAGCACCACATCTCTCGCTCATAGAAGTGCCAAGGCGCAAACCCGTACCACCGCCAAAAGCTGTGTTTGCCGATCAGACAGAGCCTCATGTCGAAGCTCCACCAGCTGGTCAGAGTGGCGGCGGGCTGAAGGGGAAGATAAGAGACCTCTGGCTCTTCAGGCGGAGGATGGTGCTCATCGCCGCTGCGGTGGTAGCTGTTTTGTTGCTGGGGTTGATTATTGGGTTGGCCGTTGGGCTGACCAGGCACAAGTTAGTATAACAGCCGTCCATCGTCTATTTCCCACGACTTCTTCAAGTCTAACATATATACTCCGTACACTGTTTTTCTTAGGAATGCCAATCTACCGCTGCCAACGAATAATGGAGGGCCTTATAGGGGCGACCTTACATACTACGATCCGGCGCTCGGCGCTTGTGGTATAGCCAATTCACCGTCTCAAGCTGTGTGCGCAGTTTCCAAGGACCTATTCGATGCCGCTAGTGTTGGACCGAACCCGAACGCCAACCCATTATGTGGGCTGAAGATTCGGCTCAGACGCAATAATAAGTCTGTGGACGTTACCGTCGTCGATAGATGTGAGTTTGTTAGAGCTATTCTTGGTACCGAGGCCAAATTGCTAACCAGATATGGGTATTGGCCAGGCGTTGGGTGTGAACCGACAGATATCGACGTTTCTATAGCTGTATTTGAACAGCTTGCCCTTGTTGATCAAGGAAGAGTCGACGTTGAATGGGCCTGGCTTGACAAGGCGCCAGTAAACCCTTAGATGTATATGGACAGTCGCCAGGATTACTTTCCATTGTTCTGTTAATAGTCGGGAAACTGGGGATCCACGTCTCTTCTCCATGAATCCAGACCGCCCTGGATGTCGCCAATGAAACGTTTACCACCTTGACCGAGGCCGAGCTGCTTAAGAATTTTCACTGCAGCCTGAGAGTCGTTGCCCTGGCGGCAAACTACGTGGATAGGAGTTGCTGTATCAGTGTTAATGATACTTGAAGGAACCCATGCCGGAAGCTCCCCATTCGTTGCTTCGGATGATCTAGACGATCTCAGAACCTCCGATATGGGTACGCAAATGCTTCCAGGCAATGCACATATATCATACTGGATCCGTTCGCGTACATCGAGCAGGATACCCTTGTCATTGTTGCTGTGACTGTCAAGCCATATCTTGTAATCTCTAGCAGTAAGCCGCTCATTTGGCATCAGACTAGACACTGGATTGAGCGAGCCACAGAATTGGACATAATCCATGGATCCGCTCTTGAGGGACTCGATGGATATCGATGGCTCTGTTCCGCACGCAGCACAGTTCTGTCGCCGTGGACGCAGCCGAATAGTACGAAATGGAGGAGTGGAATAGGCGGAAAACAGATGGAGAGACGGAACGATGGCTCCAGTGCTCGGCTTGCCGTCCTCAGACATGCTGGTTATCATCACCCGTATCGTTTCAAGCGCTTGCATAACTCCCATGACACCAACCACTGGCCCGAGAATCCCGCCATCTGCACAACTTGTGACGCTATCTGCTGGAGGTGGAGTCGGAAACACACACCTGTAACACGGACCTCCTGATTTATCCCCTGGCGAACGGGAAGGATAGTTGAGTATCATCAGCTGTCCTTCTGTTCGCAACGCCGAAGCAGACACGACCGGTTTCCCAAGGACTACTGCAGTGTCTGAGATAAGGTACCGAGTCGCTGGATTATCGGTGCAGTCTAGTATGATATCAAACTGGGCGAAGATATCTGGTGCGTTTTGCGGCGAAAGCTGAGTCCGGAAGGGTATGTAAGTTGGATGAGGGTTCAGTCTAGCACAGGCAGGCAGGAATATGTCAGTTATGGGCCTCATGCAGAAAGAATAACAGACAGGTATACTGTGTCACGTAACTCACTCTTGTAGATACTCGATTGCACTATCGACTTTATATTTACCTGTGTTTCTCGTCCGGTGTAGGACCTGGCGATGCAGATTTGAGCTTTCGACCCGGTCGCCATCGATAATCCCCAGCTTTCCAACGCCTGCACCGGCAAGATATAAAGCTGCTGGACAGCCTAGTCCGCCTGCTCCTACGATGAGCACAGCTGATATCCGTAGTCGAAGCTGGCCTATATACCATAGCAGTCGCCTGGTTAGATCTGCTCACCAGGATCTGGCGTGGATAATTTTAATCAAACTTACCCGGCAGCCCGACCTGTTCAACTATCATCTGTCTTCCGTATCTTCTATATTCATCCTGGAGTAGCGGCCAGTCGGCTGGTCTGTCTCTTGTTGCTTCTGGCTGCTGCGATGCGGGCTGCTGCGTCTCTAGATCTGCGAGCTCCTGCTTCAGCTGGCTGAGCTGCCGCTCTGTTGCAGCTATCTGCGCCTCAAGCTGCCGGCGCAGCTTCTCTCTTTCCTCCATGACAGAAAAAAACTGCAATATAAACACTCTGTAAACGGTGTGCTAGACGGCCATTTCGTCTTTCGTCTGTGGTAAAAACTACGTGCAGCCGAAGATATCCCACTTCGCGGTGCAAACAGAGCAAACATCCACACCCGGAATATTTTTAGTGCTCAAACACTGAGAAATTGAATAAATTAAATTCTACGATTGAACAAGTCGGATATCAGATCTCATTATGGTAGGCCATCCTAGGCTACTCCTCTGGGAACTGGGCTTGTGAGCTAACATATAATGCGTCTACAGGCTCCTGTCCGTTCCAGTTCCAAGGTCAAAAAGGCCGTTAAGACCAAGTCGCATCCAGCAGTCGCAAAGGCCAAACCGACGAGTAGCTTGAACGACAGCCTAGCCTCCGAGTTCCCCAGCTCTAAAAAGGACAAACGGCTGATAAAACACTCGTCGTTCATCTCGAAGATCGAAAAGTCTCGCAAGAAGCCACTGAAGCGACGACGGCCGTCGAAGAAACTGATCGCCAACCTAGACTCTCTTGCCAATGCACTCCCCGACGCCGGAGATGGTGACGAAGCTGTGTCGACGCACACTATCGATGGAAACACTCAGGTTAACGTGATTAGGCACAAAAGTTTGAAGCATCGGCCCGGCGCCATGAAGAGGAAAGAGAAGCTTGATCGGATGGAGCGTGATCGGTTTGCGAAGAACATGGGACAGCTGGCTGTCGGAATCAAGACCATTGACACGGATACGGCTATGGATACTCAGCCGTCAGTCGAGAGTGGCGTTGATGCCTCTGCTGCTGCGGGAGGAGACTCGAGCTCTACATCTGCTCGCTGGGCTGCTCTGCGAAGCTTCATATCCCAAACCATGGACCAGAACCCGGAATTCAAGGGCGTCCAATCGTGAAATTTGGATCAAGCTGTAGAATGGGACGGGAAGAGAGTTAAAAAGAAGAAGAGTTCTATCTGGTCAGGCGGCATCACATCCACCTATGTTTGTCTTGCAGAAGACGGCCACGGATTTAGCCGAGATAGAAGACAAGACAACTGAAAGGGCTGAGAGAGACGCTGCCATGCAAGCAACGCCACGAGAGCTTGGAGGTCGAGTATCCGAGGCATCGGGCTCTGCCAGGGACAAGCGCACAAGGCAGAGACAAGGAAGGCAAGCCGACCGAAGGTCGAAACTGTCGATGCTGAGCAGAGTCAAGACGGTGAAATGTTGATATTTCTTTGATTTTGAATGCCTAGCCGGCCGCCTCGTCCCCATCAGTCAAGTCAATCAATACACAGTCAACAGTGAGCTATCGCTGCATCAGAGGCCTCTAGGCTCCCTCAGTGCCACAGAGGGCGTTGAATAAGGAAACAAGTAGCAACTCCAGTTCATAATTAGACAATAGAATGTAGAGCATCTTTGCGTCTCAGGATCTGCCAGCAGCAGAAAATAGGTCCTGGCATCAGATAACAGTTGTAGATGGGCCTCCTGGCAGGTACCCTGTAGGTGGTGATTCAACGCCCCTGGATGAACCCCCTAAGACCCCCGACGCCCCATATATTTAGACCCCACGGCCGCCAGCTCGAGCCCGAGAGAGAGAAGCCGGCCGAGGTCGCGGAGAGCAAAGAAGCGCAAAGAGCGGCAGCTGGCTTTTTTCCCCCTCTGCAATTTTTCCTAGTGCTGGCCGTCTCGCCGTCTGTCTGCCTCTCCCTGATGACGTGCGGCTTGCGGTGCATCCTGACTTCTGCTGCTCCCAGGCGCCTCTTAACCCCCCACCACCTCCGCCCCCAAGTCGCCTTTGTCCCAGCAGCCAGCACTCTCGTCCTCACGCAGATTCCAGCATCGACTCGCAGATACACAATGACAAGACTCTCTCCGTACGCAAAGAAGCACAAGGTGACCGTCATCGGGTCGGGGAACTGGTGCGTTGCTGTCCCTGTCGTCCTCCCCTGCTGGAGGCACGCGATATCTCAATCACAAGCAGACTGACTGACGATGGCTCTAGGGGCTCCTCGATCTCGAAGATGGTCGCCGAAAACACGGCTGCGAACCCAGATCTGTTCGAGAAGGAGGTGAATATGTGGGTGTACGAGGAGAAGATCGAGATCCCCAAGTCGTCGAGGCACTACAGCGAGTCCTCGCCCCTGTGCAAGGGCGAGCAGAACCTGACGGAGGTCATCAATCAACTGCACGAGAACATCAAGTACCTGCCAGACATCACTCTGCCCGACAATCTGCGCGCCAACCCGTCCCTGGTCGACTCGGTCAAGGATTCCTCCATACTGGTCTTCAATCTGCCCCATCAGTTTATCAACGGAGTCTGCAAGAGCCTCAAGGGCCATATCCTTCCCTACGCCCGTGGAATATCCTGCATAAAGGGAGTGCATGTCGACGAGGAGGGCGTCAGCCTGTTCTCGGAGAGCATTGGCAAGCAGCTGGGCATCTACTGCGGCGCCTTGTCGGGAGCCAATATCGCCTCCGAGGTTGCAAAGGAGCTTTACTCGGAGACCACGGTTGCCTATGACCCTCCTCACATGGACTCCAAGGCACCCACGCCGCTGAACGGGTCGCCATCTTCTTCTGCCGTCGACCTGGCCGAGTTCAAGCACAAGGACAGCTCGGGGAAGCTTTCCAAAGTCAACCTACGCCCCTTGCCTTCTGAGTTCCCACCGGTAGATCACTCTCTGTTGAAGACTCTCTTCCACCGGCCTTACTTCCATGTCCGAGTCGTCCATGATGTTGCCGGTGTCTCCCTCGGCGGTGCATTAAAGAACATTGTCGCTCTCGCTGCTGGATACGTCGACGGTCTCGGCTGGGGAGACAATGCCAAAGCAGCTGTCATGAGAGTCGGTTTGCTGGAGATGGTGAAGTTCGGCACCACCTTCTTCAAGCACTCTGTTAACGCCGAGACCTTCACGGTTGAATCAGCCGGTGTTGCCGACCTGATCACCTCCTGCAGCGGAGGCCGTAACTTCAGATGTGCTAAGTACAGTGTCGAACGCAAGCTGCCTATTGAGGAGGTAGAGAAGCAGGAGTTGAACGGACAGAAGCTGCAGGGCACTTTGACCGCTGTGGAAGTCAACAACTTCCTCAAGAAACAGGGACTCGAGGATGAATATCCTCTGTTCACTGCTGTCTACCGTATGATTCTTCAAACCCAATCCCCTGCTAACCGATATTTTTCTTTGCTAACTCATGAACAGATATCCTAAAGGGAGAGGCCAAAGTTGAAGACATCCCTGGTCTCATCGAACCGAAATAGACGCCTTTGCCATTCCATTTAACACCCACTACTACCTATTTAACTCGCGCCAGAAGATGAAAAAGATTAAGAGTATATCTTCCACCGAGGAGGCAGGGAAGAGCAATCCCTATCTACTTACCCTATCTTACATCTCGATTCTGCATACTACTAACCGGTGGTCAACGGAGCTTGGGGGGATAAACTAGTCGATATATCCATTAATTACTTACGATCCTGTGAACGAAATGAGATCCAAATAAAAAAACAACCAAGTAGTTAAATAACAGCTAATATAGACATCTAATAAACGTCTACGGCCTACCTAATATATTTATATGTATATTTTATATGCATCCTTGCCGTCGCCAGCTCGCCTCGCCTCTTCGCTGCCCCCACTGCTTGCCTCTGCCTTGGAAGAAGAGAATGACATCAGCACGCATGGCAGGAACCGACCTTGGAACATCTCACTCCCTCGCTTCCTCCCAGCTCCTTGTCCAACCCGAAATGCCGCAGGCGTCGCGGCCGCATACAGATATAAATACGCTGCTGGACGCTGCTCCAGGCATGCGTCGACCGCGGTAACTCGCTAACTAGTTTAACTCGCTGGGCTATACCGACAGCCATGGACTCGAATAACCAGGAGCTGGTGTATGTAGTGCACCTGAACGACAATGGCTCCCCGGACGCCCATCACAGCTACGTCAACCTGCCCCGCCGACGTCTCCGGCGTACAGTCTCCGGCTGCAGTTCGAGGGCAGCAGTCCGCTGTGTCGATACGGGAGCTTATGGGTGAATATCCCTCCTGCGAGTGAGGAGTTTCGGCGGGACAAGTACCGCGAGTACAAGTAGGTTGCTAGATGCCATACATAACTAGTTATGGAATACTACTAGATACTAACAGATGGTTGACAGGCTGAAGCCGGACTTCAACAAAGACATCCACGTTGATATTCCCATCGCTATCTCCGGTGCTTTCGACTACTACTTCACTTACCGTCAGCTACCCGAGCTCTTTGGGCCGGGGTCCGGCTCTGATACTGGGAAGGAGACCCGGTCTGAGACGTATTATCTCAACGTCCGCCCAGCTATCACTCTCAGGGGCAAGGCCCTGCCGCTAGAATCTCTATCTATCTTTTCTGTAGTGTCCAAGTTCATGGGAGATTATCCCAAGGACTGGAACAAACACTTACGTGGGATTGGAGAGAGGGGGTACAATGTTGTCCATTTTACTCCTCTCGTGAAGCGAGGAGCTTCAAACTCGCCGTATAGCATTTACGACCAACTCGAGTTTGAAGTGTGTTTCCCCAATGGACAGAAGGATGTGACCGAGATGACGGCGAAGATGGAGAAGGACTATGGGCTTCTGGCGCTGACGGATGTTGTTTGGAACCATGTTGCACATAACAGCCAACTCCTTGAAGACCATCCAGAGGTAGGGTATAATATCAAGAATGCTCCATGGCTTGAAGCTGCATTAGAACTAGACACAGCGCTATTGCAGTATGGTAAAGACCTTGCGAAGCTGGGGTTGCCTACAGAATTCAAGTCAGAGGACGATATCTCGGTAGTGCTAGACAAAGCACGGGAAAACGTCATTGACAAGATAAAGCTCTGGGAGTTTTATGCTATTGACGTTGAAAGAGACGCTGCAGCAGCACTAAAGTCGTGGGAATCAGACAATTTTGAAGATGCTGAGCTTGGAAATGCAGAAGAGATTCGAGGATGGTCAATGGAGAAGAAGGCAAAGTTTCTTCGTCAAAAGGGGGTAACAAATGCCAACCGAGTTCTAGGACGATATGATCGGAAAGTGGATCCAAAGATAGCCGCTTCTTTCCTCGCAGCCATGTTTGGAAGACATGCTGAGTCCAAGGTTGATGCTTCGACGGTCAAGGTCGAACTTCGAAAGCTGCTCGATGCTGTTAACCTTCCGCTGTTCAAGGAATTCGATAAAGATGTCACCACCATTCTTGACCAGCTCTTTGGCCGGATAAAATATCTTCGAGTTGATGACCATGGCCCAAAGATGGGACCTGTGAGCCATGAAAGCCCGCTTATAGAGACTTATTTCACCAGACTTTCCTCAAGTGACAAGAGGGACCCCAGGTTGCTTGCTCTGGCGAATAATGGGTGGGTATGGAATGCGGATGCAATGAAAGACAATGCTGGTCCTGACTCTCGTGCATATCTGTTGCGAGAGGTCATTGTATGGGGCGACTGTGTCAAGTTGAACTATGGGACATCCCGGGACGATAATCCTTTTCTATGGGACTATATGGCGGATTACTCCAAGTTAATGGCCAAGTACTTCGTGGGTTTCCGCATTGATAACTGCCATTCAACGCCCATTCCGGTGGCTGAATATCTCCTTGACGAAGCTAGAAGAGTGCGGCCCAACCTAGTCGTCTTCGCGGAGCTCTTCACCGGATCGGAGCAAACTGATTATATATTTGCTAAAAGACTTGGTCTGACAGGGTTGATTCGCGAGGCTATGCAGGCTTGGAGTGCTGGCGAACTTAGTCGACTCGTTCATCGTCATGGAGGACGGCCGATTGGTAGCTTTGAGGCAGACCTGTTATCTCACGGTGACCATCGGGAATCCAACCAGATCCTTAGGCAGTTGCAATATACGCCTCTAAATGCCCTGTTCATGGACTGTACGCATGACAATCAAATGCCTGCTCAGAAACGTGAAGCAAGAGATACCCTCCCTAACGCTGCATTGGTTGCCATGTGTTCATCTGCAATCGGAAGTGTGATGGGATATGATGAGATTTATCCCAAACACGTCGACTTGGTTAACGAGACACGCCTGTATTCGTCTGCTTTCTCTGACGGTGGAGTGAAGTCTAGGACAGGTGAAGGAGGTATCGGCGGGATAAAAAGGCTACTGAACGAGCTTCACACCAGCATGGCTGTAGATTGCTATGATGAAACCCATATTCATCACGAAGGCCAATATATAACTGTTCATCGCGTCCAACCACACACAAGGAAGGGTGTTCTGCTCATTGCCCATACTGCTTTCTCTGGCTCCAAGGATGAACACGGCCTTGATCCGATTGTTCTGTCCGGAACTAACGCTAAGATGATAGGTGCCTGGAAATTGGAGATAGTTTCTTCCAATGGGGATGCAAATACGAATAAAAGATTCATAAACGGACTTTATAGCAAGGTTTCCAATATTGAAGGAGTCAGCATCGAGAACGATGGTAACAACACTATTATTCGTGTACCAGCCGGCCTCGTCCCTGGGTCTATTGCACTTCTGGAGACCTGGTTGCCAGAAACAAATCTGCTGAAAGACCTGAGTACTTTCATTACGTCTGACGCCGAAGCTTCATTCAAGTCCCTAGATCCTGTCGACTTGAACTTCGTTCTGTACAAGTGCAATGCTGAAGAAAGAGACATAAGCGATGGCTCAGATGGAGTATACGACATTCCAAACTTTGGCCCACTAGTATACGCCGGGCTCCAAGGATGGTGGAGTGTTCTTGAGGGAGTTATTCGGAATAACGACGTGGGTCACCCTATATGCGATAACCTTCGGAACGGACAGTGGGCTCTCGACTTTATCGTCCGCAGAATGCACAAAGCGGCTTCCAATGAAGGATACGGACGACTGAAGGAACTGGCGGAATGGCTTCAGGGTCGATTTGATGCCATCAGAAAGCTACCTTCCTTTTTGTTGCCACGCTATTTCGCCATCGTTGTTAAAACGGCGTATGACGCCGCTTTAGCACGAGGTATTCAGCTCCTTGGTGTTACTATTGAGCATGGTAAGGATATTATTCACGAACTTGCAATGGTCAGCATACAGCAAGTGGGATTCGTCAATTCCGCATCACTGTACCCAACCAAGCGTGTACCATGTCTCGCCGCTGGTCTGCCTCATTTCTCAACAGACTGGGCGAGATGCTGGGGGAGGGATGTTTTTATCTCTTTACGTGGTCTCCTCTTGTGTACAGGAAGATTTGAAGAAGCGAAAGAGCATATCCTTGCATTCGCGAGCGTGTTGAAGCACGGGCTCATGCCTAATCTGCTTTCAGATGGAAAGGCACCGCGGTATAATGCCCGTGATGCGGTATGGTTCTTCCTCCAGGCTATCCAAGACTATACCAAGATTGTGCCAGATGGAATCCAGGTATTGAATGAAAAAGTCCGTCGTCGATTCTTGCCATATGACGATACATGGTTCTCCCATGACGATAGCCGTGCATATCGTGAAACCTCAACTGTGGCTGAAATCATCCAGGAGATATTTCAACGTCATGCTTCGGGTATCACATTCCGTGAGTACAACGCAGGTCCTAACCTTGATATGCAGATGAAGGATGAGGGTTTCCAGGTTGATATTCGTGTTGACTGGGAAACAGGTCTGGTATTCGGAGGAAACCAATGGAATTGTGGTACATGGATGGATAAGATGGGTGAAAGCACCAAGAGCGGAAACAAGGGTCATCCAGGAACTCCTCGGGACGGTGCAGCTATTGAAATCAGTGGGCTGCTCTATAGCACTCTCTCATGGCTGTCAACTCTCGCAGACCAGGGGAAATTTCCTTCCAAGGGCGTTGAAGTTGGCTCTGGAAAGTCAATTTCTTATGCAGAATGGGCTGCGAAGATTAAGTCCAACTTTGAGAGGTGCTATTACATCCCCGAAAACCCGGCTGATGATGGCAAATACGACATCGATAGCAGGATCGTTCATCGACGTGGTATTTATAAAGACCTCTATCGATCCGGCAAGCCATATGAAGATTATCAGTTCCGACCTAACTTTTCAGTTGCCATGACTGTTGCCCCCGACTTATTCACACTGGAGAAAGCACTCCGCACGCTCGAATTGGCTGACAGCGTTCTCCGTGGACCCATGGGTATGGCGACGTTGGATCCCAAGGATCTCAACTACAACCCATATTATGTGAACTCTGAAGATTCCATCAACTTCGCAACTTCAAAGGGAAGAAACTACCACCAAGGACCAGAGTGGCTGTGGCCCACTGGGTATTTCCTGAGGGCCTTGATGAAGTTTGTCTTGATGCGACGAGACAGTCCCCAGGACCGCACGGATGTATTCCAGCAACTCACAAATCGGCTGGAAGAATGCAAAAAGGCACTTCGCACTAGCCCTTGGAGGGGGCTGACTGAACTGACAAATAAGAGTGGCGAGTTGTGTGCAGACTCGGTGAGTTGTTGCTTTCTCCCCCTTTATTAGCCCCTTTTTTCTCCTGGGTTAATAACACTAACTGATTATACACCTAGTCTCCGACCCAAGCATGGTCTGCCTCGTGCTTGATTGATCTCTACTACGATGCATCGCAGTTGAGGAAGCTTGAATGATAAATGAAATACTCCGTAGAAAGATGTTCTCAGCGTTATCTAGCGTAGGATAATCACAAGAGCCGTTGCCTTTCAAATCTTCAAATCTTCACCTTCATCCTTGCTCATGCAAAACGACGTCATCGTCTTGTAGATCACCTGGCAACCCTGATGGGTCACATGACTGGTTATCTTTTTGATTTTACCTTTAAGGTTGGTACAAAATATTTGGGCATGAAAACAAGATCGAAGCTGCATATAAAAACAACGTAGACAAGACGCATCGATGCGGAAGACGCAGCCAGGACTGTGTTCTCACGGGGTGTATATAGCACCGACATACGGCTTCTTGCTCTGATTTGCTTTGCTTTCGCTTCTCCTGGCGCACATAGTCGTCCGTCCGCCAGATGACGTCCCGGCCGCCGTCTTTACTCGCAGCCACCACCACAAGCGCGCTGGTATACGCATTTGGAACTGACCAGCCTGATGGACCAAGATACCAGGACCAGACCCGGGGCCAGCGTGATCTGCTCACCCAGATCGTGATCAGCGTCAGCTTTGGGCTCAGCGCATTCATCACATTTTGCGTATATTTTATCTTATCAGGCTGATATCAATTGCGTGAATCAGGATAGCTGACCATAGACTCTCAATCTTCGAACAGTTCCTACGGCCAAAATGGAGTGCTCTATACGCTGCGAGGCGGAAGACGAGGACCGCTGCATCAAGGCTACCCGACCTCCCTGATTCCTTGTTTGGGTGGATTCCTGTACTATTTAAGATCTCCGATGAGGAAGTCCTTGCTTCAGGGGGGCTCGATGCATTTGTGGTACGTCTGTTTTCTCAACATTGGATGTTGGAATTTACCTTGAGAACTGACATTGCTTGCTATCTATTACAAATATGTAGTTTCTATTATTCTACAAATACTCCATCCACTTCCTTTCCATCGTCTTTTTTTTCTCCGTCGTTGTGATTCTCCCCGTGCGGTATTCATACACGGGGGAAAGAGGTTACCCCTGGGATGGTGACCGAGGAGATAAACCTGCTGGTGACTCGGATAAGAAGCAGAAAACAGACCCGACCTTCCTCTGGCTATATGTGGTGTTCTCATACGTGTTTACAGGAGTGGCGGTCCATCTCCTTATCCGCTACACGAACAGGGTCATACAGATACGGCAGAAATGTCTAGGAGGGCAAACCACCATGGCAGATAGGACGATTAGGCTCTCTGGAATCCCAGTTGATTTACGATCCGAGGACAAAATACGGGGTTTCATCGAAGGGCTAGAAATTGGGAATGTTGAAAGCGTCATGCTTTGCCGCGATTGGAGAGAGCTGGATAGGCTGATGGAAGGAAGAAAGCGCACTCTTCAACGTCTTGAAGAATCATGGGCCAAATATCTCCGTTATCGAAAGAGCAAGCCCGGTGGGGTGGCTAGTCGGACGAACCGGATAGCTCCACAGATTGATACAGACGATACTGCAGAGGATGCTCGTTTGCTCTCGGATGAGCCTAATACACATCAGAATTATATTTTGGAGAATCCAGGAGCTCGCCCTAGAACCAGGATATGGTTTGGCCCGCTGAAAATCCAGTTCAAATCTATCGATGCGATCGACTACTACGAGGAGAAGCTACGGCAATTGGACGAAAAAATCGAAATTGCTCGCCAGCAGGAGTGTACCCCCGGAGCACTAGCATTTGTCACTATGGAATCCATTGCCGCTTGTCAAATGGCGGTCCAAGCTATCCTCGACCCTTGGCCAATGCAGCTTGTTGCCAATCTAGCACCTGCTCCAGCAGATGTTGTTTGGCAACATACCTATCTATCTCGGGCCGAAAGGATGATACGAGGTTGGACTATTACAACCGTAATTTGTGTTTTGACCGTATTCTGGTCCCTATTACTTGTTCCGCTTGCTTATCTTCTCAACTTGGAGACCCTGGAGAAGGTGATTCCCCGGCTTGCAGAGATATTATCAGAACATCCACTGCTCAGATCCCTTATGCAAACTGGTCTTCCTACATTGACGCTATCTTTGCTCTCGCTGGCAGTTCCATATATATATGACTGTAAGTTGACTGCTTTCTTTCTCTTATATATATTCTCGTCCCAGGACCTGTCGCTAACCGATTACCTTGTTATATTAGGGTTGGCCAATGTACAAGGAATGACCTCTCAAGGAGATGTTGAGCTTTCGGTCATCTCAAAGAATTTCTTTTTTACATTCTTTAACCTGTTCCTTGTCTTTACCGTCTTTGCTACAGCTTCGAATTTTTACGGTCTTTGGGAAAACCTTCGCGATGTCTTCAAAGATACAACAACTATTGCATTTGCTCTTGCTCGATCCCTTGAAAAACTTGCTCCTTTCTACACCAACCTAATCGTCCTACAGGGCCTGGGACTGTTTCCATTCCGCCTTTTGGAGTTTGGAAGTGTATTCTTATATCCATTCCAACGAATGTTCGCAGTCACCCCTCGCGACTATGCCGATCTACGAAAACCTCCCATCTTTAGCTATGGCTTTGCTCTGCCTCCGACTATCCTTATATTCATAGTCTGTCTCGTGTACAGTGTTTTCCCCAGCTCATGGCTCGTCTGCCTGTTTGGATTGATATACTTCAGCATTGGCCAGTTCATTTACAAATACCAACTTTTATACGCCATGGATCACCAACAGCATTCCACTGGCCGAGCATGGCCGATGATATGTAGCCGAATTATACTCGGCTTGGTGGTGTTTCAATTGACTATGATTGGTAGTCTTGCGCTTCGGTCAGCTATTACGCGGTCCATCCTGATCGTTCCTCTCCTCGCCGCAACAGTCTGGTTTTCCTACTTTTTCACACGAACTTATGAGCCTTTGATGAAATTTATCGCACTTCGAAGCATCGATCGTAGCCGTGATGCTGACAGCAACCTATCGCCGACTCCTAGCTCGAACTTCTCTCCGCCCTCACAGTGGGATAGAGACGCCATACCTCTTCGGTTACGCGGTCGGGATATTGCTCCTAGGTTGAGAAAATACATCAACCCGAACTTGGTTATTCCTCTTGATCCTGCGTGGATTCCGGGCCAGCCTGAGAATTACGATAATGACTTTGCCTCATTTTCACAAAACGGTATCTCCGTCCCCAATCAGGAAGCAGTTTAGAGCCACTCCTTTCTTTTACTTTCATTATCTCCTTTCAGGAAGACCTACTTCTATTTAATTCTGCTGATACCCTAACGACACTATAGCTCTGTTCATATGTTCTTCTTTTGCCCATAGAACCATAGTATTACCTCTTACGCTCTTATTTTGTTCCTTAAATTTTTGTTTACTCATTCAATATTTATTTACAAGGTTTCTTTTGTTTTTAAAAGTGATTCCATCCCCAGTACTACGAGAGTTGTAGCCTACAACTCATCGTCAAAGTTTGGCATCCGGGCACAAAAAGAACCGAATCCACAGACAAGAAAAAGTACTGCCGTCACGAAAAATGGGAGACCCAGTGCAGCCCCTCCAATACTTAAGCCCAGACTGAAAGTTGCTGCAATTAAAGGAGAAGCAGTTAGTTCTCCTATGATGCTAATAACGGCAAATGATGCATAGAGAGTTGCCACATCGTTCGGCAATACCAGTGAAGTGGCATAGGATTTTATTGCAGGATGGAAACCGAATGAGAAGGTAAACAACAAAAGAGCTAAGGCAATTCAGGACGTTAGCAAGCTATATATAAGATATCATAGCCTGGCAAGAGGGGGTGACGGACACAAGATTAGGACTCCAGGAGACGGCGAAATGCCCATCATTATCGGACCTATAATGCTGAATATGGAGCTTACTCGAGCAATCCATAAGTCCATCTGCGCAGACTGCATTCCCCTGCTGGTGAGAAACCTAGCTGATGCAGGAAGAATAGCGAGAAAGAGAAAGAGATTGATTGCCGCCCTGAAAGATATCAAATAGTTTGCCTGTGCCTTGTCAGTCAAATACCAATCATTTCAGGCAGTATTTATCAAACTGGCGTACCTCAGCAAGAGTCCAGTCGAAGCGTTTAGATGTATACTGAATCAGAAACTCCAGGGTGTTACGCCCCAGTGACAGTACCAAGAATGAAGTGGCCACGAAGAGGATGTTGCGGTCGGCCCTGATCATCTTCCAGACAAGGACAAAGGGGGCAATAATATGCTTGATGGTTGTCTTCACACCTGACCAAAAGCTATATCTTTCTCTTTCTTCACTGCAGGATCCAAAAGAATCGTCGTCTATCGAGGGATCTCCCCCATCCTGTACCCGTTTTACTGTCTCAGGGACCATAAAAAGCACGGCACCTCCGAACAGTTCGAATACCAAACCAAGGACCAGAGGAGCGTATACATTCCAATTCTGCATCAGTTGAGAGGCCAGAACCGGGGCAACCATTTCTGTGATGAGAAGGGCGGATGCCAGGTATAAGAAAGCTTGTGCTCGCCGATCTGACGGAACAACATCAGAAAGAATTGTATGTGCGACAGCTGCAATAACGATCCCTCCACCCCCGGATGATTTGAGGATAGACGATATATATATCGATTCATAGGGAATTGAACCTCCCGCCAAACTCACTATCAAGACCCAAATTTCGGACAACATCTGCCCTATAGTTCCCAAACCAAGGACGAAGACTCTGCCCCTTTTGTTCGCGAGGTTCCCAAATGGTATTGCAAGCATTAATGCTATCGGGAAGGCTTTTTCAGTAATTGATCAGATTATGCAACTAAAGGGGCAGCACTGTACCAAATATATTCTCAATGACTTTCAGGCGAGCTTTTATAGTTGCTAGCCGGCTCTGAACCTCGCTACTCTTGCATGGGTTAGTTGTGATACCCGAGGGTATCGTACTATCGAGCCCATTGCCATGGTAGTATCCATTGCATATTATCGTCTCGAACAGTTGAGTCTTCGGCGTTAGACGCACGACATCTGCCATGTCCACAGCCAATGCAAAGACATAGCAAAGGAAAGGAATTTTCCATATATTATATGCTTCTGCTATCCATTTCCTGGTACTATGTGAAAAGTACCACGCATTCTGGTTACTTTCTGTGGAAGAGGCATTGTGATTCGTAGTGCTGCCTGAAGATTGTAGCAATCTTGTTCGCTCATTCATGATAGGTGAGTGGGTAACAAATTATCCAGAGTTCTACTTGAAATCCTCCTTGCAGAGATGAATAATTGAACGGCCTTCGCACCTAAAGGAGTATTATCATTGACTCCAGCTGAAAGAAGAGTCATAAAAAAATATGTTGCTGCCTTGACCGGTTAAAGCGGCTGAAATCAACCCTGGCATGTAACTAGCTAGTTGCTTTAGAAGGATTCATCGCGGCTGCGCCTCATTACGAAGGGCGCATATTCTAAGTACGTCTACTTTCACTTCTATGTTAGTTATTTATATTGGGGATGGCTTACAGGGTAGGTTAGAGGTAAGAACTCAGAGAGTAAAAGTTGATTAAATGAGTAGAAAGGAAGTATCTAGGTAGGTATCTTTTGAGCAGCCAGCAGAATCGAAGAACTAAATTCCAGCATCGCCGTTATTCTATCCGTGGTCTAATCCCTCCATCAGACCGACTTTTTTTTTTTTTTCTTGCTTTTCCAATTTCATTGAAACCGAAATATTGAAGTGATCAAAAAACAAAAATTTGAAGAGTCAATGGTCAGCAAAATAGCAATTACTCAGCGCCATTTATATTTTGCAGGGACTGCCTCTGCTTAACTGCGTTAGCAAGTAAGTCAAGTACAGCCTCTGAGTCTTCCCAGTTGATACAAGCGTCGGTAATGCTGACACCATATTTGAGCCCTGCTTTTCCCTCAGGTGGGACCTTTTGGTTGCCTACATAGAAGAAAAAATATTAGTCAGACCGTTGACGGAGGAGATATAGCTCAAGGACTTTAGATGTTAATAACGTACCTTCTTTGATGTTACTTTCAATCATGACTCCCATGATCCCTTCCTCACCGGCAGCTATCTGCTCAGCAAGGACGGCAGCCACCTTGGGCTGGTTCTTGTGGTTCTTCTGCGAGTTTCCATGGCTGCAGTCAACCATGAGCCGCTGAGATAGGCCCTTCTCTGCCAGCTTTGCCTTGGCTTCTTTTATGCTCTTTGCGTCGAAATTGGTTCCACTCTTTCCTCCACGAAGAATGACGAAGCAGTCCTCGTTACCAACTGTGCCAACTATGGAGACCACACCCGGCTTTGTGACAGAGAGAAAGTGATGGGGGTGTTTAACAGCTCCAATTGCATCAACGGCAACATCAAGAGAGCCATCTGTGCCGTTCTTGAAACCAACAGGGAAAGAGAGTCCGCTAGCCAATTCACGGTGGAGCTGTGACTCAGTGGTTCGGGCACCAATTGCGCCGACGGAAAGCAGGTCAGCAAGGAATTGAGGTGAGATAGTGTCCAGCATTTCACTGGCAAGGGGCATTCCTTTCTCGGTCAAGTCAACAAACAAACGGCGAGCAGTTCTCAGCCCTTTGTTGATCTGGAAGGAGTTGTCGATATCCGGGTCATTGATGAGTCCCTTCCAACCAACAGTGGTTCGTGGCTTTTCAAGGTAGGAACGCATAACAATCATGAGCTGGTCCTTGTGCTTTTCCTTCATTTTCACCAGGCGGTCGCAGTAGTCAAGAGCAGCTTGCGGGTCATGGATAGAGCATGGTCCGATGATGACGAGGAGACGGCCTTTGGCGTCCTCACCCCTTACAATGGCTGCAGCTTCTTCTCGAGAGGCGACGACTGTGCCCTTGGACTCATTTGTTTGCGAAATCTCATGTTGCAGAAGATTTGGTGGTGTGAGAGGGTTGTACCCGAGAACTATCAATGACAGAATGAAGAGTCAGTTTCAGGCTCACAAAGCACCGGTGTACTCGAGCAACTGACCTCTCCAGTCCTCAACCTGGTTCTTTTTACCAACATTTGGGTTCTCTATGTACCACTGTGACTGCTGGCCGTCAGTTTATGGATATATTGACCGCGGGGAAGTTTTATCAGCCGTGGTGGGATGACTCACCGACATCGCAGCTATCCTGTTGGTGTGAAGGTAAAGCAGGGAGTAGCGAGGTGACTGCTTGTGTCTGATTAGGAATATTCAGTGTATCTTAGTCCTTCTCGGAATGTCAGGTCTATTGTGAAAAATATGGCTGAATATGCGGGGAAAAAATTATTTGGTGGTCGAGCTTGTCGACCTGATGGAACGAACTGCCTTAAATAACTGGCTGCCATTTGAACGTCATAACTAATGCCACCCACCACACGCAGCGGAGCAGTCTCTATTTCTTCAAGGCCAGGCTCCCGCATGAATAACGGCGGTAGGCAGCCGTAACCATATAACTAACAATGGCTTTGTCCTACTTTGCAGGCCATTCAATTGCTTGTTTCCTTTGTATAGACTCAGCACACGTCTCGCTGGGTGAAGCACGAAGGTCTTTCTCCCTCTCACAGGATCGGACTCCCTAGCAGGGATCTTGCCGCTGAAGCTCTTCGGCTCCCGACCTCGGCCCGCTATGAAACCTGCGTATTCTCGTTAGCTAGTTAGTAATGCACATTTGGCGGATGGAGTCGTCTTAACCTGTGGGCGCCAGCAGTGACTCAGGATGCCTGTTGGTTGAATAATTAATCCATATAATTAATATTAACTACTCCGGACTTACCGTACCTGTTATGAGGAAATGATTATCTAATAACTTCTCTTCTATTGGCCGAAAATATCTATTATATATTTAGATATCCAATCAATTTTAGCTTTGAATTTTTATGGTTGGCTTAGGTAGGGACGGTATCTAGATGCTACCTAAGGATGGAATAATATTTTTCACGGGTCACCCAGGTCCATATTCATATCATTATCAGCAGACAGAGAGAGCGAAGAGATCTTATATACTCCGTAATAATAAATAATATGAAATGCCAACGTGGCAACTGTTACTCCGTAGTTTTTCCAATTACCTAATCTCTCTCGCCACGACTACTTAGGGCTCGTCGGGGTCAGGTGACTATCTGGGGACCTAAAATACCTCGGCATTACTTAACGACTTCGCGAGAGTCCTGGACTTCCTTTCGATTTAGGCGCCCTTGATCAAACGTTTTTTCTTTTTTGAGGGTTGTCACCAGTTGAACGGAGGCCTAAACGATGGCTACCCAGCGTTACCCGAGAGGCAATTCTCGACGGTTCACAAGAAGCTCTCCAGTTCCCACAGCCATGACATCTGCATATCCCTATCCCCACATCCCGGAGGCTGCACAAGACAGGGATGCGGACACGTTAACTGGCCCGTTTGCTTCCGAGCCGTTTTCTGTCAAACGAGTTGTGCAGAGTAAGTCGACGACCCAACCGCGATTGTGGGCCCGAGTTAAACGAGTTACTGATCAGCCCACAAGGAACAAGCTCATCTGAATGGGGAGATTACGCGACAGCGACGGCACGCTCCACTCTTGAGCCAATCGTGAACGCTGAGAATGAAGAGCTCTTTCGCACGTTCCACCCTGCGCTAGCGCCTGTGGCTTGTGTAATGGCTGTGCGTCTCCGGAGAAGCGAGCCTTATATTTGGGTTGTTGTTCTTCAACCTGATACGGATACCGATGCCATTGGCACTCATGCTGGTGATAGGGAGATCCACTTCCGTCCTCCGTTTCTCTCTGCGTGGCGCGAGGGCGTCCTGCTTGCCGGGTCGTCTGCACCACAGAGATTGCCAGTCAACGTGAGACGTATGCTCACTGCTAAAGATCTGAATGACGTGCGACTCTTCTGGCCAAAATCTGTCGGCATTAGAATTCTCATCTCAGGAGTCGCCCTTATGATATATACAAACGAGAGCGATTTGCATCGGGACAGAGAGCGTTGCCCCTTGACTTTTGGGGAATTAGAGGTGGGGTACATCTTAGAAGACCATGTCCCAACGGCAGATAGACAGGGGCGGATTGTGAGTGTAGGCCATGCTGTTGCCTTGGCAGAAGCTACCCGCCCATCTACAGCCCTTGGGCTACGTTTGCGTCTTCGAAACGGTGTCGAAGCAATTACTGTTGTCACGCATGGGTTTGTACCTGACAGTCAAGGGAGCGTTATGGAACATTTCTCTTATTGGGTAAACAATGCCAAGAAGACGCTTTCAAGATTTCTCCCCTTTTCAGCGGCAAAGGACTTACCACCAGATGGTGAAGTTCGTGAGACTGTCACCTACCGCTCCCCTTTGGGAAAAACAGTTTGGCTTGCAAATACGAACACCAAGGTAAATACGTCACCCAGCACACTACGTTAAATATTTATGGTGCATATTCTAACGTTTTCAGATTGGGAGAATCGCATATACATTTGATGAGCCGCATCCGTCCCGACCATACCCATCAGGGTACAAACACGATCTTTCCCTAGTTGTGGGTCAGTTAGTTGATCTCAAGCCGCCTTGGGGTATCCAAGAATTGAAATGGGGCGAGTACCAAGACGCACTTGATAATGCCGGTTCTGCGTTCATATGCAGGTTTAACCCCCCTAATGATTACGGAGCAGCACGACGTGGCTATATTCCTACCGATCAAGCTCCAAGGGCCCTTTTGGAAGGAACGGAATACCTATGGGACAGGGACAACCTAACGTCAAGTGCTGCGCTAATTTGGCGCACTGTCCCTGCGGATCTTGATCTAAGAACTTGGTCTGGCTGTGCCCTGTGCTTGGGGAGTCCATCCGATAGGACCGTCCAAGTCGTTGCCTTCCAGAACTTTCAGTGTACAATCCGGAGAGATGGAACGGAGTCTGATCGGAACGAGCGGACAACTTTTGATTATTTCAAGGGCGGTTTCCTCTTACCAGAGGAGATAAGACAGGCGGAGATCATACTAAGCCCACAGGAGTTTCCCGTGAGAAGGCAATTCCAATCTGAGCCGACATCAGATCCTCCTGCTCGTGGGCATGGACGGAAGGAATTCAGTTCCCCTTGCTAATTCAGATGTTAGGTCACATATTCAGGCGTGAGGATACTGCATTGGTGGTTTTTGTTCCTTGTCTTTTCTTACTTGCTCTGGCTGAGGAGTTATTGCATCTAGAGGGCATTACGGCTTCGCACATCCTTTGTAATCTCTCATTTCTCTTTCTAACTGCCTTTTTTTTTTTTTTTTTTTTTTTTTTTTTTTTCGAACAACGTTAGATTCATTTTGGGGAAGACGTCGAGATGTCGAGATGAAATTTTGCCCTAGTATACCAGCATATTTTCTGTAAAGCTCAATAATGCATGATAACTTGATAAAATTGATAAGACGCACACTACCCTTGTAACTATAGGTAAGTCAGTTGACGCTAAGTAGTTACGTACAGTTATCTATACCTATAATTGATATTTGTTCAGATATAATCGATGGATAGTTTAAAAGCTCTCGTGTCGATCTTGCCTTCTGTTAAAAATCACCTACCTAAATATTTGTTGACCTAATTAGTCTTGATTTGTATTCATCAATCGCCGAGTTAATATCGTTGTTAAGCCGTTGACCTCTGTTAGCAGTGGTAGGTAGAGTTGAGGATGCCTTGTGAATAGACTCAAGATCATTCTCTAATCTTTTAGAGAAATTCTCAAACATCCCTAAAAATCTTTTCTTGATTGGCCTGAGAGCGTTTTCACTTTGGTCAAGCTTTTCTAACTGGATTTCCTCCAGCTGATCGATCATCCTAGTACAGCCAACTCGGTAAATGTCCACCGATTTGTATAATCTATTTTCACTCTCCCATAACTCGCGGGAGAGTTGCTAATGAAAAAGTCGGTTAGCATTGAGAAGGACCATCAACATACAGGGGATGAGAAGAGAATACGTAGGAGTTACTTTGGTACTTACTTTACTTGTATCAAGCAAAATATCTCTCCCCCCTTTGTAGTTGTCCCGCAATTGTTTCTCCCACTCATGCCCTTGAGATTCTACGTATTCCGAGGACTCCGGTGGATATCGCGGGGGAGAACATTCTTCATCAGTCTCTGCCTCTGTGTTTACGGCATCTTCATCATGCTCTATGACCTTGAATGGCTTCGAGTCTCTCACATCTATCATATGGTGTCTCTTGCCCATGGTTCGTGGTATTGGATTGGTTTGATGAGCCTTCAACCGCTGCATCAAATCAAATGACTTCTTATACGATGATGTAGCGGATTTATTCCGGCCCTCAAATTTTCCACGGGGTACCTTCTGATCATGGAATTGATCATTTGCTTTCATAGAATGACACCGGCGGACGTGCCTCTCCCCCGGCGCAAACATATTTGATGATTGAAATGAATGCCTGCCAGCTATGTCTCTGTTGGTCCTCGTCTTCGAATTACTATAGGCTGATGGATTGAAGGTAGTCATTCCTTGAACTTGAGAGTGCTCCGAGATTGCAGGTGGCATATCTAGGTGAGGGGGCACTTTCGGTTTATCTGTTTCATCTAGCACTCCAAGGACACGCTGGCTATAACTTTTTCTGGCATGTTGCAGCCGTGGTATTGGGCTTCCATTTTCGTCGACCGTTCGAGACTGCCATCCAATCTGTTTCGGGCGTACTGAAGTGTACTTCGGTAACTCATCCAACGAACTGGAGGTCTGCTCTTCGTCTTCATCCTCAGTATTTTCTGAGGCCATAGGAGCATCATCATTTGTTAAGCTTGACAGTGACGAGCCACCGTTATGCCTTGTTGTTGAAGCCAGTACGGCTTTACCATCGATAGAATTCACATTATCTGATGGCCCAGTGCTAGATGTAGGAGTATGGCTTACTCCCAAGTCAAATTTAACGGACCGGGTGGGTTTTTGCTGTTCATACCTTGTTGTCATTGGAGGTATTTCTGTCTGCACTACATTTGCAGTTCGATTACCCTTTTGCAAAGATAAAGCACTAGAGTTAACCTCAGCAGGTTTTGAGGTCGGTTTCCCTTGATTCTTCGATTTCTCTTGACCCGATTTGCGAGCGTTTGATGCGATAATTGGTTTCTGCGCTGACAGTTGGTTGCGAGACATGAACTCACACACATTTTTGGAAACTTGAGAAGGATTACCAGTTTCTCGCTTTCTCTGACTTACTAGGTTTAGTGTAGTATCTGCACCTTCTTTATTTTCCAAAGTTTTGGTTGTTTGTCTTTCCTTAACAGGCGCAAGTCCTAAGCATGCTAAGGTAGCCGCAAGCTTCTTTGCTATAGACTGAGGCTTATTACGCATCGCAGCTTCTTCTGAAATGCAGTCTGCTGTTATTGTCGGTAAATCCACCCCTGATATTTGTTTGGTTTTACTTTGTCTTGTTTGGTTGGTACCCTCATCCTGAGGGCTATCACTGCATAGATTTATCACGGAGTCCTTTCTGGAATCAAGTCCAGTTGCCTTTGTTTCCTGAGATTTTGTGGCTTGCTTTCCTAAAGTTTCTGGAGCCACGCCTGGAGTTTCCACCATGGCATCTTTGCCGCAGTGTAAAGGTACTCCTCCTGAAAGATCACTCGAGTCATTAGTTAACGGCTTTGCTGTAGTTGTGGACTCACGATTTGGCGGAGGTGGGTCTGCTTGTGGCATAGATTGATCATCAATTTGAATATGTTCTGCAAGATCTTCTAAGCTTGTAGACCCTGGGTAGCTTGATTCAATAGGGTCGTCAGGGCCATATACAGCATTCTCCCGCTCAGCCGCGAGGGCCATCTTTTTGTTGGCCGCTTCAGCAGCATTCCGGGTTTGACGGGCAGAGGTCAAGGTCTTGGTAACCTGGTTGTTTCTTTTGTTTTCTTTTAAAGCGTTGCTAGTCTGGGACGTCAATTCTAGCGGTTTGATCTTCTGTTTGGCCCTAGAATTTGATTTCTTCCTCCCTTTGGTTCTTGTTTTCTCAATATCTTGTGGCGCCTGTTTAGCATTCTTTGCGGACGCAGAAGTCTCTGGCTGTGGTAGGGGAATATCCGGTTCCACGCGAAGGCCTTCATCCCAGTCGAGGTCTGCTTTCTTCGAAGATGAGCCGCATAGCTTATGTGTAGGTCGCTTTAAACGAGAGTTATTAGCTGAACCGGACTCGCCTGTGGCCTTTTCAGTTTCCTGAGGTGATTTGAAGGGCCCAGAACCTGCCATGGTATCTACCACATCAACCACAGGCTGCGAGTCAGGTATAATTGCCGTGGGCTTCTCAGCTGCCAATGTCAACTTTCCGCATGCTCCGTCTTCGAGAGGCGGTGTATCTGTTGTCTCCTTCTCTGTTGTTTGCAAGCTGAGGTTCAGAAGTTGAGGTTGAAGGAGAAGTGCCTGTTTTGCCAGATTAGGCAAGTCATCTAACACCCCCGCCGCACGGTCCACCTCTCCAACCTCCTCAACATTTGAAGTTGGCGAAATCGACGAGATTGGTGAAGTTTGCAAGACTTCGACATGATTTTTAGTAGCTTCAGTTGGTACTTGCTTGGAAGGCTGGTTTACAGAGTGTGGCGAAGCGTTCAGTGGTTGCAGTTGTTTCCGAATTGTAGGAGACACACCTCCAGTTGCGGGCGCCCCTCCCGTCTGATTAGAAATGTACTGTTCTGGCGGTTGCTGAGGGAGTGGTTGAGGCTGGAGAGGATGGCTGGATTGCAAGGATAACTGTGACACGGATAGAACCTCCTCGCCGGTCGGGAGTTCAATTATGGCAGAAGAAGAGGGTTGCCGATGGGGTTCTTGCCACAGCATGCACCCAACATCATAGCCGCTGTCCGTAGGGATAGGTATATGCGAGCCTATGGAACCTTCTTGGTCAGAGTCATTAACACAGTCCTGGAAAGCAATAATCGTCATGGCCCCCTCTTTTGGCCGTTTATAGAGGATTGTCTCATTGTCTCTGGTGGTTAACTCTAAGGGCATATCATAGTTAGTATCCTGTAAATATATGCTATTATAATGATCTCCTTGCCTGTTATATTTTTGAGAGCCTTTATTGCCGCTTTCACATGACGAGGACTTTCCATCCCAACGAGGATGTTATTCGAATATTGTTCGATTCCGTTCACCAGCAAGTAACACCTTTGCCCAAGGAGGATTCTCAGCTTATTGCCCTTCGCTTCTACGCCTTTGATAGAGCCCAGGGGGATATCTATGAGGTTAAATCGGTTCTTGTCCATGATCAGGACAATAACGCTACTTTGGGAAACCGTAAAAAAAAGGCAATCCGCTGGGATAGTATATCCCTCTAATCCTTCAATGGAAACAGCCATGGTGCAAAATGAGTCATGACGTGGTTTAATGCGGTCGGATATAATCTTCATAGCTTCCTTGAGCCATGAGGAGTTCCGGTTTGGTAGAAAAAAGCCTAGGCAGTTCTTGAGTAGTTTGACCCGGCTATCAATCGCAGATAGTTCTGAAAGCTTAGGTTCACAAATGGCTACTTCTCTCATAATGGCTGCAGCAATAATCCTGAGGCATTGATCATCGTCCTCGAAAAGAACGTCTAGTATCCCCCTAACCCAGCTGTTAGTACCTAAAACTCATAGAAAGGCTGGCTGATAGAAGCTTCCTACCGTATTCCATCCGGCATAGATATAAGAAACTGTTTGTTTTTGTCAAATTGAAGGATCAACTCCAATATGAATTGCCCAGCCTATATTGTATTAGACTATTTTGCTTTAGTATATGCGATTCATAGGAGCGTATACCCATTTCCTCGGTGCAGGGTGCTTTGCGTGTGTAAAGCACTGCACAAGCTGAAAACAAACCTTCTGGCAAAGAACTGTTTTGCGTTTATGAGCCGTTGAAATAGCCTCTTTGCTCAAATTCTGGCGCAGGATATCGGACAATTCAGCCATCGAGTCCTGTAATAGTTATTAGAAGGGGTTAACCTGACGGAAATTCGGATACCCACAAGAAGCAGATAAAGACCCCTTTCCCGCTGCACACATGCCGGAGCATGTAGGAAAAGTAGAATGATACACTGGAAAGATACAATGTCAAGTCTGGAACAGTGTCTTCGGCTTGGAGGATCTGCAAGTATCTGGGCGAGCGTGTAGAGGTCATCTTGACGCAGACACGGAGTAGACCGCAGGATATCGTTGACAATGCTAAGAGGTATTCTATGGGTAAAACATCAGATCTGGTCCAGGGAAAATAATAATATGGTCGCAGGACAGGCTTGTATGAACTAACATCAAGATATCACTCCTCGTTGCACGTCGGACTGCTGGTTGAAGGTATGTAATTAGTCTGCTGACAACTGGAGGCTGCTTTGGCGCACTCAAGTGTGCCTGCGGTCTCATCGCCATGCAGTGAGCCTTTCTAAACAACAACAAAAAGAAAACCTTTAAGAAAACTAGATCAAGTAGATGATCTACTCTGGATGCTCGAAAAAAAAAAAAAAAAAAAGGAACAAAAGGGCCACAAACTACATCTTCCGCAGTCAACCTTGGAAGTCGTAAGAACGCCCGTTTGGCAGAATAACCATCAACCCCAAAGCAGCAGGCGGTGTCATCTCTATTCTATGTCGAGCAACCGTCCGAGAGACAACGCCAGCTATCCAACATCCTTCTTGTCATCGCTTGCAGATGAAGCCAGAAGTACGATGTTATGTTACGCGACCAATAGCACGGAGATGGCAGCATAAAGAGGATAATGACCCTGTAGAGGGTGATTAGGCCGACGGTTGTCAGCAAGGGAGCAAGGCAGTCGCCCAGGCAGGCAGGTAGGTCAACCATTCTTCTTTCTCCCAAGTCAGGGGTTTTGATATTAAAACAGAGCAACTAGCAGGATAACAATCGCTGAGGCCGGCGAACGCCAAATGATGGACGGGTCTGCTGAGCTTCCCAAACCGTCCAACAATGTGTGGGTATCGCAGCATTGGGTGACTCTCCAGATTTTGTGCTGCGCATCATGGCCTGTATGTTGGAGCAGTTACCAACGCTGCAATTGTGGCGGATATGAATAGTTTTTGTTACAGGGATGTAGGTGTCAGCTCAACCTCTATCGATGGATTGAAAAGAAGGGGGAGGGGGCACCGAATTAGCCACGGCACCCGGAGTAACTGGAGCGCTCCGCAGCTCCGCCTGGACGAGCAGTCAAGACGGAGCGACGAAACTGGCCAAGACTCAATATGTGCATTACAGAAGTATGAATAATGTTGACTGTTGGCCCGAGTCCGACGGATCTGAACCTTCATCCATGCCGGTCAGACGGGCTAAAATTTCGGACGAATTTAGGGTCAAACACCAACGATTAAACATCATCCTTTAGCTTACGAGCTGACATGGGAGCCTTGCCTCGTTCCCTGCAGCTAGTTATGGTGCAGCAGATGTGTATAAATATTGGACCTCGGTCGGCTTTCTACATATGCGCATAACTCTTGAAAAAAGTACACTCAGTCGGAAACACTGTCTGCATTATGACAATGAAAGAAGCCCCAGAGAACAAACGAGCTGAGCTCGAGACTCAAGCTTCGATTGGTGCGGCATGGGATTCGTCTACTATCAAACGGCGGCTGCCTATCAACCAGTCTCAACAACCAGAGCTTCTGATAATACCGCATACATCTACCGACAGACAGCATGCTGCTGCCCATGACGAAGCCATCAGCATCAATGCCTTGGAAGCAGAGCGAGAACTCATTTCCGAAGAGCCTGACAAAAGGGCCCTCCTGGAGGAGAAGGAAACACAGAAGACCATCTTATACCTCGCATATGGATCAAACCTGTGCGCCCAGACATTCCGCAAGACCCGCAAAGTCACTCCTCTTTCACAAGCGAATGTCTACGTCCCAAACCTCTGTCTTACCTTCGATCTCCCTGGGGTTGCATATATCGAGCCATGCTTTGCAGGAACACAGTATCGTGACCAAAAGACCGGTATGCCGATTTACCCTGGAAAACCGCAGAGCCTGGGTGATGGAGAGGGTCTATGGCATAAACCACTTGTTGGAGTTGTATATGAGGTCACCATGAAGGATTACGCGCGCATAATAGCTACAGAGGGCGGCGGAGCGTCCTATGTTGATGTTGTCATTGATTGTCATCCATTCCCTGAAGATTATGATCCTGCGAAGCCAGTACCCGATATACCCGATACGGAACCTTTCAAGGCACATACCCTTCTCTCGCCTGCTACTGCTGGAAAGAACCATCAAAGAGGCACCGAAAATAAATCATCACTATTTAATGCTAGGTTTGATCGAAACCGACCTAATTATGCCCGCCCTTCGCCACGCTATATGAAGCTTCTAATCACGGGCGCAGAAGAGCATGATCTACCAGCAGAATATCGACAATACCTTGCATCTGTCGAACCGTATCGACCTACTACCTCCTGGCAGCGTGTAGGCCAATTTATCTTCGGTGTCGTTTGGGTGCCACCACTTATGCTTAACCTGAGGCTCAATGCAATTTTTGCCAACGAGGATGGGAAAGCACCAGGATGGCTAGCTGTAGTCCAGCGTTATATCTTTGCGGGAGCATGGATAACTTATGATTACGCTTTTAAGTATATATTTGGAGACGGCGAAAGGACCATTCCTCAGCACACAGGCGTGAAAGTAGAATGATCACCGCGATTGTAGCATAATAGTAATAGACCAGTAGCTATAGACCTATCTTTATGCTGTTTATTTTCTAATTAGTTACACTATCCCACATTAGTTTGGTTAACCTAAAACCTTCCACTGGCCCTATTATTCTCTGGGGCATTCAACTGTCACGTAGTAAGAGAGATAAAATACTTGACTAAAAGCCGAGTGGAATGATTCTGTATAACCGACGGTTAACTGGATGCTAGTATTCCCTCGAAATGAATGAATACTTAATACACTGGAGTCGATGCGCCAATGACTGAGAGGAGCACTGGAAGGGACAACGGAAAAGAGCATTTATGGTTCTAGACGTGGAAAAGGAAAGGAAGAGCACAGTTTATAAATACAGAAGATTGATAATTTCACAAAACTTAGCCCTGATTTTATGGTCACTCCCCAGTCCTCCCACTCTCTAAAGACGTGGAGAAAAAGTTGAAAAAAAAAAAAAAGTATGAAGCATGTGTGGTATGAGTGGTTAGGGTACAATCACAAAGTATTCAGAGATGGTCGGCATTGGCTTTAATTAGGTAGTTAGCCCTGGATTGGTATCCTATTTATCGCCTGGGGCCAATTGGTGGGTTGTAGACAATCTTTCTCGTTTTTATAGTGGCCCACTTGTAACGCTTGACCCAGACACTGATCGCAAAAAGGGTGCTGAGAAGGACTACAGCCTTCATACCCATCTTCTTTCGATCATCCATCTCGGGTTCGGCAGCCCAGTTGAGGAACTCAGTAACATCCTTGGCCATTTGGGAGGTGGTAGCAGGGGTTCCATCTTCATATTCGACAAGACCATCGAAAAGAACACGGGCCATAGCAATTCCTGTAATCTTCATGTGAGTATATAGTATGTTCCGGTGTTAACGCCAACAATTCGTTTTGATGTTCATACCTGTACCAGGGAAGTAGGGGTTGAAGTTCAATCCTTCCTGAACGCTGGCGCCAGCTGGGGGCTCCTCAGGATAGCCGGTCAAGAGCGAGAAGATGTAGTCGCAGCCACCATGTCTGCCCTTGACAATCAAGCTGAGATCTGGGGGCAAGGCACCGTTGTTGGCAGCTCTGGCGGCTTCGTCGTTCTTGTAGGGAGCCGGGATGTAATCGGACAGTTTTCCAGGACGCTTCTCAATCTCACCCTGGTCGTTGGGCTCGGTGTCGTACTCGTGTTCCTCAGCCATTGCCTTCATCTCGTCGACAGTGTGCATGACACCAACAAATGATCGCCACGGGACACGGCTGAGAGAATGGCACTGAGCACAAACTTCACGGTAAACGAGGAAACCACGGCGAAGGCTATTCAGATAATGAATACATCAAATTAGGCAAGACCTGGGCGAAATAAGTTGCAGCCGGAGGAATTGAAGAACTCACGCTGCATGATCGAAGGTCTTGAGCCACTTGCTGTGTTCCCAAGGGTACTGAGTAGCGTGGAGACTATTTTTGATATCGCGTCTGTTAGTGATGCTACCTTGAAATATCGAACGTTACAAGGTCAATTGAAGTAAGTAGACAGTATGACATACCCCTCCTCGGCGGGAGTCATGGCAAAGGCTTCATCTCCATAGAGATGATAATACCAGGCCATAGAGCCGATGGCAGTGGCCGTAGCTGCCGATGCGGTTAAGGTCAGGTAAAATGGAGACTGTGTTTGCGAGCCAGAAGCGGTGGAGGACGATCTCTGGGAGGAAGAGTCAGCGGTGATCTACAAATTGCCATGGAGAGGCCATTATATAGAGCAGTGTATGCTTTGACAGCAGGCGCAATGGCTCTCTGTTCGAAGGATGGGTGAGGTGGTGCAATGTACCTTTGCAACCTGCTGGAAGCATTGCCTGGAGATGGCCTTCGACGGCACACTCCGCAAGACAGATCGGGCCAACATCCTGAGGAAAGGAGAATACCCCGATGCACGAGACGATGAGCGTAGATGGGGCGAGCGGTTGCGATGTATCCGATGTACGGGAGTGCGGTTCACTCTTGAAGGCAGGTCAGACTTTCTTCCTGGTCGTTCGAAACAATCTTTGGTGAGCGGTCCCGTGATTGGCTCGCGGTGTCGGGTCGAATCAGCCGTCCTCTCATTGGTCAGTTCTGGTCATGTGATATGCCCTTGGCTCCTGGTTGTTCCGATGCGAGGACGAGAAATGGAGCGATATAAAGACCTAGGTGAGATAACCACATGATTGGTATATATATGGTGGTTAAGTTGTGCTGCCTATTTCGACGTGTGTCCCTGGCTTAGGTGCTTCCCTTCCACCTCCCGCTTCGCTTTCCATTCCTCTTCGACTCCACGCCTCAACGCTACCAATGCCTGGTCGATCGTACAGACTTCATAGCTTGTATAAAGGACAAGAGAGAGTGCAGGAATGCGCCGAAGAGACCGTCCACTGAGGCCCTAGGAAATAAATTAGAAGGGGGCACCAATACGCTGAGAGTGAAGTATATACATGTCACTTACAACGCTCACTTGTGCAACATCCGCTAGCTGTTTTGGGATGGAAGATGGAAACAGTTGATACCATAACTGCATCTCCCCATAACTAGGTAGTACGAGACACTGGGCAGGCTCGATAATGTACTTGAGCTCCGTGGCTGTGTCGGTTGGATCAACTGGGGCAACATCGAATCTTGATCCTTCTATCAGACCACATTTACTCAGGCTCTCTAAACAGCTTCTGAAGATCTCATATACCCCAATTTCTGAAGGCGGTGGAACAAATTGTTTAATATCAACCCTGTCAAGGAACGCTGAGTCCTGCATTGATGTTAATATGACATTATCAACCCTTTTATCCTGACTTCTGGGCATCAGATCACTCACTAGAGCAGAAAGGAGATTGCTTGTGCAGAGCACGATTACATTAAGGTGCTGCCTTAACCGATCCAAGGACATGAGAAGAGAATTAACAGCTCTCATTGCATCAAGGGGATCATTTCCACTTAACGTTTGTTCTCTCTGGGCCGTCATGGTCTCAACCTCGTCGATGAAGACACAGACCAACGTATCAGGCTCGTCCTCTAGCATGCTTTCCACCATGCTAAACATTTTGGCCACCAACTTACCACTCTCGCTGAAATATTTACTGCCTAGAGAATAAGCGTTGATCTCAACCAATTTACTCTGAGGGAACTGTCTCCCCAGGCGAATTGCCAGCTTTTGGGCCAATGAACGGCTACAAATCGTCAGAGTTAATGGTTTCCCGAGTTGTTCCACAATTACTACATACCACAGGCTTGTTTTCCCGGTCCCAGGGGGGCCATATAGAAGAATAAGGCGGTTCCAGGTGATCGTTCTGGGATCAAGTTTGCGCCACGAAAATCCGACTAATACTCAATCATTAGCTTTTGTTGCTAATTAGTGTTGGTATGGAGAAGATACTGACGCATTCGACTAACTGCATGAAGCAGATTTGTATGTATCGGCTGGTCAAACAACAGTCTAGAAAGTCAACCCATGTAACCACGCTCTACAAAACGCTTGGTATGTCGTACGATTCCCAGATACCATCTAGTTCCTTGTTTGGCAATGGCATCACCCGTGCTTGGGGAGAGTACTCATCCTGTTTCTCACCATCATGGTCCTGCGATAAATTCTCAGGTTCAGAAGCACGGAGTTGATACGCTTGGATGTCGAGGTTGACAACATCTAAACGAAACGTCTCGCTTTCACATTGCATTCCTGAGCACTCTATCACCCTGATTGAGTCAAGATACGTCGAATGAGGTCCTTTGAAACCGCCTGTATGGATCATTCTATTAGTTCCACTAAAAATGGCTAATTGACGAGTTTCTGTACCAAACGTTCGTATCTCCTGCCCTATGCTTAGCACAGCAAAGTTGTCGATGAGCCATCGCGCGACTTCATCGCGTACCTAAACAACCCAGAATCCTCAGTTAGCGAGCCGGAAAGCTACATATGTTGCTCAGGCGCTGCCTACAATATCGGTTCTCGTGATAGTCCCACCATCATTGGTGCCCAGCCTTGCCTCGACGTGAAGTATTGGGGTATTTATTGCCCTCACAGCCGACTGCCCCATTATCCTGCCTGTTCAATAATCAGCAATTACTCGCAAACCTCAGCTTAGATAGATAACGGTCAAGTAACCGGAGATTGTTATAATAAAAGTTCATTGATGAAGTCTTGGAACGCGACTTTAATATTCCCGAAAGGGACAAAGTGCCTAACTATACTGCCATGAACACTTCTGTTACCGCCTTCGACGTCATTTCTCCTCTCTTCACACACTTAGTTACATGAACACACGCTATGTGTATATTTTATCGAGATACTTGTTTAACAACATATAATCTTCGGTCATTTATTGCTAAAGAGATCCGTCCCTGCGCATTCGCCCCAGAAGTAGGCAAGGCCGAGCCTCACATCACGTGGAAAATTGAGGATCAATTACTAAGTAGTCAACGCATCATGATATCCGTGATACAATCGATTTGTAGCTTGATGATCAAGAAGCTAGGATACATTCCAACACTTGCAACTAATAAGTGGAGAGCTAGTTATAAATATCATGTCATCATGATAACATGGTCTCCTCCTTTTGCCTCAACTTGATCGTTATCGCTAACTCTCTAGGGGAACAATTCTCAAACCTACCCCCGTCTCCTATAAGTGGCGATTGTGGATGATGCTCGTTATTTGCAAATTTATGTCAATGTGAAAGCGGAAATACACATATATATCCGAAGTTCCCCCATATTCTCCTGATTACAGTATTTTCGCGGCCACCATGACAAGTTCCATCAAGCAAAGGCCAACTTCAAAGGTGCCTCGGGCACCAAGAAGAGATGTCCTTGCACCTTTGAAGCTAGCTCAGATTGAAGTGGTGAAGCCCTTGCTTCCTGCTGGTATGCCATGGACAGCATGCTTCATTGATCTGATTTATAGTCATGATACTAACGTGATATAGAAATCATGGCCTCAATCCTAGACTATCTTTCCCCCACCGACCTCATATCCGTTGCAAGAACGTCAAAGAAAATGCTCGAGATGGTATACGATGACACAAGATGGGTCAGATTTCTAAGGCAGATAGGATGTTGGAACGAGGCGGAAGCAAGGAGTGCGGCAGAGGGCTCTGAAAAGGACGCTGACCGCCCACATGGCGGGAAAACACGCTCCAGGCCTACAACAGCTGGATTGGATTCCAGCAAGTCTAATGAGAACATTACTGACACCAGCGGATTTGACATCGTTGAATTCAATGCCGAGGTTGAAGCTGAAATCACAGGCCCCTTGGCTGCGCTCCGAGATGCTCGGTCGACTCGAGGTAGAGCGAGGGAAGAGTACGGGAAAATTCACGAGTCTCTAAACCCCTACTACCAGGATATCATAAAAGCGGAGAACCCGACTGATTCCTCGGTTTTTAAGTCCTATGATAAGCCTGAACAGCAAGCCTTGCTATTGTCAGAGCTAAACCATTTCTCGATTGTTGATATGGGCCTTGGGTCTACGGAGCGAAGAAAGAAGTTGACTAATGTTATATCCGTATTTGAGAGGGTTGCTTTACGAGAGTTCAAGAACGGTTATGAGAACGGGAATTCTGAGGATATAATGCCACGTTATGCGCAAGTTTTAACGACCCTTAATGGAGGGGCGGCAGCTGTTGAGTTATTGATTTATCAAAATCATATAATCAAACAGAAAGCAGATTTTGGAAGTCCCATGGATGGATTCGATGCAGATACAGGCACAGTGTCCCTCGATCACACTCATGCTTTCTTGACTAGGCTCAGTGTGGCCTTCAACGAGGAGGCAACTTACATAAATCGATGTTTTCCCAACGGTCCAAACGTATCGTCCTTATTTCTGGAAAAGATATGTAAAGATATACTATCTCCATACTTTCTTCCTTTGCTCGACCTTCTTCAATCTACGAATAAGGCAGCTTACATTCAGACACTGCCGGGAACATTCGCCCAATCATTGAACTTTATCCGAGAGCTGAACCCAATCCAGGTGTCCAGTGATAAATTTAAGGAACTAGCCCGGGAGGCTATCGAACGAACTTTTGAGCCTCACGTTGACCTGTACCTTGCAGAAGAATTGGACCAATTTCGATTACACTCAGAATCAATCGTTGGAGATTGGGATAGACAGCTCTCTGAACAAGCCGCTAGTACGGAATCACTATACATGTCCAATATACATAACCGGCAGGCCGATAAACGAGACTTCCTAAGCTCGTTTACTAAAGTGATAATGGCCCCAGTGAATATGATCCCGGGTTTATATAAAAGTACAGAGTCAAAAAAGGGCGGGGCTAACAAGGCCGTGGCTAAGTCTACACAATCGTCTAGTCGTTCATCTGTCATCCTTGCTCCGCCTACTCCTCCCACTCCAGCTGAACTTCCAACGACTGAATTCGCAGCTAAAGCGGCGATTATGAATTCCAAACTCGAGGGCATCCGCAGCCTATTCAGCATTGAAGTCGCACTGAACCTAGTCCACGCTGCGAAGTCAAGCTTGGAAAGGACTGCACAGTTTGTGGGTCTTAAAGGGGGGTTGGGAAAAGCTGCACAAGCTCAATGCGAGGCTATCTTTGTCTCACTGCTTGATAGTCTGGGCCATCGCCATGTCATTGCTGGTTTTGATAGAGCTGTCAATCATCTGTCAGAATACCGTCCTCGCAAACAGGCTGAACAGGAGAAATCCGGTGTAGAGCCCCTTGTTACTTTTCTGGAGCTAGTTAACGTCGGAGACTTGATTCTCCAGATGTTAGACGTATTTTATGAACAGGAACTGGTTGCTGCTGGCTTGACTGACCGGAATGATTTCCTTGACCCCGCTGTGAAGGGGAAACGGAAATTTGAACAGAAACTCGATGAGCGCGTTGCTGCAGGGCTAAATAAGGGAATTGATGTGTTGGTGGAGGAAGTGGAACATCTTCTAGCCACCAAACAATCGATTGGAGATTTTCATCCCGAAGCAGTTGACGCATCACAGAGAACAGCCGATATTGGCCCAAGTGAGGCTGCCAAAGCCATTGTACAGGTCATTTCGTCCCACACGAGAATGCTTGTTGGTGGAACGGACAAAAGCACATTAGATGTGTTCAACCAGGAAATTGGTCTTCGCCTTTTCAATGCACTTTGTAAACACATAAAGCGGCATCGAATCAGCATAGAAGGTGCTGTCAAACTTATAAGGTTTGGATCACCCTAATTTCGGAATGGTTTTGCAAAGGAGCACACTAACGCTCTAAACAGTGATATGAACCATTACTTTGGACTCATCCAGTCCATGAGAAACGAACAGCTGCTCCTTTATTTCAAAGCCCTAAGAGAGCTATCTCAGGTGTACCTAATTGATACCTCGGACTCGAAGGAGATAGCTTCTATTATCTCAGACGCCAGCCGTTTTCATGGAATCTTCCGTGCTGAAGAGGCCTATGAACTTGCTGAACGACGAGCTGACTGGTACCAAGTCAAAAACAGTGTTGAGAAAGCCATGTATGGCGTTGGATGCTCTGTGATGTGACGCCCTCTCTTGATATTCGGATTAAATCTTCAGTTTCGTTTTCCTTTCCTAAGATTACCGCATGTTTCAAAGCTGTGCTATGTTCTAGAAGAACTTTGTACTATATATACACTTCTCTTTTCCAACCTACGGGAGCCTACATGACAGGATTTTGAAGCGTCTATATAGTCCATCCGTGGCAGCCGAACAACAACCGCCCAAAGTGTGAATTGACCCCGGGGTAATCGATAAACCGTATTATCCGAATAGCCCCAGCCACCCCACAATTATGATATGAAAGTTGGCGCTGAACTGGTATCTTAATAGTTGTTAATGTGACGAACAGATCACCCGCTCGACTGACGCTCTTTTCGGCCACAGGAACAATTATATCTACGAGGTCTTCTAGTAGATTACTAGTGCCTCCAAATTCGTACTGCTTTGTCTCTCCCTCCACTTCCGACTCTTTCTCCATCTGGACTCCAGTCAACTGCATATACCTCATCTTGATGGCCAGGTAAGTCCATAGTCAGCTTCCCTGTTCGGACATCCCAGATCTTCAAAGTAGTGTCCTTAGAGGAAGAAACTAGAAGTCTAGAGTCTGCAGAAAAGCAGCATTGATATACAGGACCAACATGGCCGCGGAGAGAAAATATAAACCTACAAGATCACGGTTAGGCCTATTTGGTTTATAGAGTAAGGTCAATACGCTATACTTACTTCCCATCTCGAGCATTCCACAATTTCACATGGTTATCAAAACTGGCAGAAGCAATATATATTCCGTCTGGGGAGAATGTGACGTGATTGACCTCCTTTTGGTGGCCTAACATTCGAGCAACCGGTTTGCTTGAGGCCTCTGGGTCCCATAGAAACATAGTGAAATCGTCACTTGCAGAGACCAATTTTTCGGATATCTTATTATTGACCGTGGCTGCTTTTTCAAACCTCTCCTTTGCTAGTTTTATCTTTTCCTCTTCTTTCTCTGGTGGTTTTTGGTTGTGTTTATTGAATGACGTACGAAGGACAAAATCCGTTGATAGTGCTAGATGGTTGACACGGTGAGTATGGGAGGACAGCGTTTGTATTAGACTCCCGCTCTCTGAATTCCATACTTTGATGGTCTTGTCGTGAGAAGAAGTATATATTTTACCAAGGCCACCCCATTTCACACATGATACGGATCCCTTATGGCCCGTTAATACGGTTTCAATTCGTCTGGACACGACATCCCATATTCTGACCGTTGAATCTTTAGATGCAGAAGCTAATCTGGGTTTCCCAGGACTTTGTAGATGATATGGTTCCCATGCAAGGCCCATAATCCATTTTGTGTGCCCTTTCATGGGTGCTCCTAGGGCTTGACCCGTACGAGGGTCCCAGAGCCTGACGGTGTTATCCATGCTTCCGGTAGCTATCATGTTGTCGTTAGGTGACCAACTTACGGCCAGAACCCAGCTGGTATGGCCTTTAAGCGTATGGAGAGGAGTTCCCGTATCACAATCCCATACTCGCGCAGTCGAATCACCACTACCTGACACCATCCGCGAAGACGATGATGAGGCAAAAGATGTTGCTAATATAGCTTCTCCATGTCCTTGTATTGAAGCAGAGCATCTTGACGCAACTTTGACGCGGAATACAGCTTGTGGAGTATATTGTAAATGGATGATGTCCTCAGTTGTCTTTATGCCAGGTTGAAGAAGAGAGTGGTACAGGTTGGATGAAATATCAATTACATTCCCATCCTTATCTTCTTGCTTGTATGTGAATCTATACGGAATCCTTTCGTGATCATCCTGTTGAAATATTAGTAAAGTCAGAGTCCGAAGGTATCGCGGGGTAGCATACATGTCCTTGAAGTGTATTCAGTAGGATCTCTAAATTCTTCACTGTTGCATCGCCCAAAGGAACAGCCACGGCCGGGCCAGAAGCAGTCCCAGTAGACTGGTCAAAAAATTGAACTCGAACACTCCCCAAATCCTCCGGGATTGAGTCAATCTCCTGTTGTTGTCGTGCTTTTTCATCCATTTCGCGCCGTTGGCGTTTACTAGGGGGAGGTAGCACTGTCGCCATTTCGTTCCTGCGTTTCTCTCCTCCCTCTGATGAGATTTCGATTAATCGCACTCCAAATAAACGTGGAGAGAGCAATGAACGAAAAAAATGGTTGATCTCGAGCTAATCTTATCTGCAGTGCTTGTCACGTGTAGATAAGATCTTATCTGAGCTGAAAAGTCTCCGCATAAGTTTTCTGTCCAATGGGAATCCTTTGAATCTAGAATTACCATAGATAGATTTTGTATCTGATTATGTAATACAATGCAACATCTAAAAATGGGAAAAGCAACGACCTCTTGACAGGTCATTAACCGGCTGTCATTCTTTGTCGAGAACACTGGGGAGAAGCTGGCGCATCTCGTTACCTTGAAGCCATGGGATCAAAGATTGCTATCGAAATGCCTAGTCGCACCCCATCTATCCCTTTATACCCGTTTACATCGGAAACCAGGTCCACCCGCCCAGGTACCAGTAGGACGGCTGCTGGAGGACATCGAGCAACTCGACCCACAACAGCAGCAACTACTGCAGCATCCCAGGAGATAATATGTGCTATAAGTGAATCCAGGGGTATCTCTCCAGCCGTTGGATTGGCTTTTGTCAACTTGTCTACATCAGAAGCTGTTCTTTCACAGATTTGTGATAGCCAGACCTATGCCAGAACAGTCCACAAGCTTGCCGTATTTGAACCTTCCGAGGTGCTCTTTATGAACACTTCCAAAGAACCTCTTTCAAAATTATATGCTATTGTTGAAGAGAACCTCCCCCATATCCGGATCATTACATTTGATAGGAAACACTGGTCTGAGCAGAACTGTCATGACTATGTTGAGCGATTGGCCTTCAAAGAAGACATCGAAACCATAAAAATGGCTTTAGAGGGCAGTTATTTCTCTGCCTGCTGTTTCGCAGCTGTATACACCCTCCTAGAGTGTCTCTAGACGCAAGCACTGGCTGACGAACTCTCAAGGTCTTATCATATATCGAGCTAGAACTTTCAGCGACTTTTGCACCTCACTCTCTCAGACTAAGATACGAACCATCTGAAGGGTCTATGATGATAGATTTATCTACTATTGTCTCGTTAGAACTTATTCAAAACTTGCAAAATGCAAAGTCAAAGGACTGTCTTTTCGGCATACTAAATGAAACCCTCACACCCATGGGTGCCAGGTTACTGAGAAGCAACATTCTACAGCCTTCTACGGAAATTGCTAAACTAAACACCAGATATGATGCTGTCGAAGAGTTGTCATCAAATGAGGGAATGTTTTTTGCTGTTAGACAAGGTTAGTCGCCGATGCCGAGTATCTTCAGGAAACTAAGAATTATACCATATAGCTCTTAAGTCATTTGTTGATTCCGACCGAGTACTCACGGCTGTAAGTTATAATCACCTTGCCGAAAGTCTAGAGGCGTAATGATACTGATATTTGACCGTTAGTTGACGGTTATTCCAACGAAGCCAAGCTTTTTATTTGCTGAACAGTCTATTAACAACGTCATCATGCTGAAAACATTTGTATCTTGTATACGGCCCATCCATGAAGCGTTAGCTGGGGCAAAATCTAGCCTCTTAGAGACAATACGTGATGCAAGTAGATGAGCTTATAGCCAATGTTCAAGTTATTCGATCCTCTAACAATAAACACAGCTAGGCTCCCCCAGGAATTATGAGCCAGTTCAAACTATTCTTAAGGAAACGCTAAACGACGACATTAGATACCAAACCAGTGCTCTTGATTTACGCAATCACAGAACTTACGCCGTCAAAGTGAGTGACTAGATATATATGAACTCATTTCAGGTCCTAACAGTATAGGCTGGAGTTAACAATCTTCTCGACGTTGCGAGACAAACCTACAAGGAGGCCAATGACGATGTTTCGGAGCTATGTGCTCGTCTTACTGGTAATGTATATATTCGTTATTGCTATCGAAGGAAGATTGCGACTAACTTGCATAGAGGAGTACGATATTCCATTGGACTTGAGGTTTGAAACTGGCCGTCACTATTATTTCCGTGTAAAATCCACCGATCTCCAAGGTGTGGTACTGCCAAATATTTTTATCAACGTTTATCGGAAAAAAGCATATGTGGAATTCCAAACCCTGGACCTTGTCAAGATGAATCAAAAAATAACAGACTCTCATAACGAGGTGGTTAGCATGAGTGATCGGAGCATTCAAGAGCTTATAGATGACGCTAGGTCTCAAATATCGAGCTTGTTTCGTATCAGCGAGGCAGTTGCTCTACTAGATATGATCGCTGCCTTTGCTTACCTACATACATTACAGGATTATGTGCGCCCCGAAATAACAGACACTCTCGCCATCAAGGCCGGAAGGCATCCGATTCGAGAGAAAATACACTCAACAAAATATATACCCAATGATGTTTACGCCTCTTCACAGTCCCGATTTCAGATAATAACCGGCTGCAATATGAGTGGAAAGAGTACATATATTCGGTCGCTTGCCCTGATGGCAGTAATGGCACAAATTGGAAGCTCTGTTCCCGCGCAGTATGCCTCATTCCCGATTGTGCATCAACTTTTTGCTCGCGTATCAACAGATGATAACCAGGCTACCAACGTGTCGACCTTTTCCACTGAGATGAGAGAAATGGCATTTATTCTACGGAACGTTGACTCAAAGAGTATGGTTATAATAGACGAACTAGGTCGTGGAACCGCTTCAACTGATGGGCTTGCCATCTCAATTGCTATTGCAGAAGCTCTAGTGGAAACTCATGCCTTAGTTTGGTTCACTACCCATTTCCATGATTTACCAAGGATTATGGAGCATCGCAGTGGAGTTATAAATTTGCATCTTGCTGTTGATATGTCCGACCCGAGGTCCAAAATCACTATGCTATATAAAATAGTTGATGGATATGTACAGGAACAGCATTATGGCCTCGCACTCGCCAGAATATTCTCTTTACCTCCATACCTTATAGAGGTAGCTGAAGAAGTGTCAAATCATCTTGCTCTGGCGGCACAAGATAGAGCTAAGTCGCCTGCAATCATTTCTCTAGCCAAACGGCGCAGACTCCTCTTGACATTAGGAGAACAGCTGATGCATGCTCACGAAGGGACCATGGAAGATGATGCACTTAGAGAATGGCTTCTCAGGCTTCAAAGGGAGTTCACTTTACGGATGACGGATATCGAAGCCGAAGCAGAATCTAACATGGGCGACGGAGAAACTTCACCGGAACCCAGAGAAACTGAAGGATCCCAAGAAGACCGCGAGCATATGGAAGCCGTATCTCAGATTTCTAGCCAATCCTTTCCCATCATACCCGTAGATTCTACTCCAAACCTCAAACGCCCTAGGGGTCTTGCCAGCCATTCTTTTGAAGACAATGAGCTGCTCCTAAATAGTGACAGCGGGGAGTTAGACACTACTCATTCTTGTACCTCAAACGAGTAACTAGTTCATCGAAAAGCATGGTAATATGTTCCTCGGGATGTTACTGTATTACTGGTGTATGATAGGTAATTTTTTTTTTTTAATACTCGAGTTTGCATTTGCTACGGTGCAGGATTATGAGCTAGACAGAGAAAACATAGGCTATGTACACTTTTCAAAGCTATATCAGGGGAATTGCTTGCTCCTTAAGTACGCGTGAAAAAAAGAAAAAGAACAGGGGAAAGAATCTCACGAAATGCCCCTAATTTCTGAAGCGACACGCTCAACAAACGCAGCATAAAATAAGAATAAATTTTTTAATGCAGTTGCACCTCCAATGAACCTATTTAGCCAAAATGATAGAGAACTTGTTTCCCTTTTTTGCCCTTCCCTTTCTTATCTTGAGAAGCGGACAAATCTGATTCTGCAGGTGTTGGGTCACTTGATAAGCCCCAAGCAGAAGGCCTAGCACTTGCGGCATTTCGATCATCCCATCTCACAGTTCCACGAGTAAGACCGGCCATAAGGGTATTCGGCTTAGGAGCTGCTGGAAGGGCAGGGAAGGCATTAGAATCGCCAGCAACTTTTGGCCGTGAAGCAGGGGCTGACGGTCTAGAGCCAGAGCTGCTTGGGCCAGAAGATATGGCAGGCGTTGTGCCCCATGCATTGCCTCCTTGAGGGGCTTTGCGACTGGTAGTATTGCTAGAAAGTGGAGGAAATGGGTTAGAAGCGGCGTTAGAAGGAAGTATTCCAGAAAGTCTGGAGTTCTGGCCGGAGGCTGATCTGGAGGACTGCGTTGTAGATGATTTTAAACGTAATACTCTTTTGCCCGAGCCAAATCCGCTGGCAGTTCCAGTGTAAGGGGTTGTTCCACTAGGTCCTGGAAGTGCCGGATAGTCTTCATTGATTGCACGCCAGTCATTACATGCTTTTAGAAGGCCCGTACGTTTATTCTCGTCTTCATAGATATGAGCAAGCTCCTTTATTAGCTTCCCCAATTCTGCCGAAGACGTATCGAAGAGCGAAAAGAACGCTTCTATGAGCTCGTTGGCTCCAATAGCGTTGCTTCGGTATTGTGAGACCTTCCCTCGGAAATCGCTAATTTTTCGTTGGTCATTTTGGAGAAGGGAGCATGCGCGGTCCATAACAGCTGAGTGTGCTGCCTGTCTAGCATGGTCCTGCGGTGTTACTGGGGCTGTCGGCTGCCCAAGATCAAGCGCTTCTATAGAAGGCAGCCCTGAATTTTGTGTTGCTCTCGCTGCGGGAGTAGCTGCGGGAGTAGACCTCTGGGTAGTTGGAGCAGATGAAGTTGCTGTAGGTCGCGAAGAAGTAAGTTGCCCACCAAATGTTCTTGTAGAAACTGACTGGGAACTTTGAATAGCCATCTGGCGCTGGTAAGCAAGTTCGTCTCTCCGTAATGGCTGGGCGCTGGATTGCGGAAGTGGTTCAGAATTAGGGTCGCGGCCTCTGCCAGCTCCCCTACCGTCACGGCCGTCACGACGCTGGCGGGTTGGTTGGTAAGGAGATCTATAATCAAACGTTGACATGTCCACCAGCCTGGCATCTCTCCTTGCATCTTTTGATAATCCAGAGGGATGAGCTTCAAGTTGGTGTGCTTTGAGGTCCATTTGCGAGTCAAAAACAACAAACTTCTTATCCAAGCATTCTTTATCAAGGCACAGGAAGTGATCCTTGCCGAAGTGTTTCTCTAGCGCATCATAATCAACATAGTATTGCGGGTTGCTGCCTCCGGACCTCCGATCACAGAGGTGGCATCTCTCATGTTTGTCTCTGCAATGTGCGTAGAGCTCGTCGTCTCCGTAGAAGCGTTGACGACAAAATCCGCATTCCGGATGCCCCTTAAAACCACTTTGATCAACAGCACCGGGGTTATCGTCACCATATCTTTCATGTTTTCGTAACAATGCAGCAGTGAATAACTCATGTTCGTGGGTAAAAACTTTCTTATTCCGTGTACAGAGATCGCTATTGATATGATTAGTACAGACGAGTTGCATGTTTGATTAGATAAATGGCGGAACTTACCACATCACCTTAGCATGTTTACTTTTGACATGGCGATGCAAGTCTGGCCACCCAAGACATGCAACATCACAATCACTGTCCGGGCAATTGTATCGGAGCAGCAAGACGGTGTCCTCAAAGATGTCAAAGTGCTCATATTTTATCCCCAGGTTATCGTCAGAACGATCAAAGTCAGAGTTGGTGAATTCCTCGTATTTCTTAGTGGGATTGTTGGTGAATATAACAAAATCCGACTCGGTCTATGATTATAATATTGTCAATGCTCCGTCATCAAAACCGAAGGGGTGTATGCAGGCTTACTCGACAATGAGCACAGGCTTTAGTCTTGTACAGTGCTCTCAACCTGAGGGAGCAGATATGACAAGTCCTATGGTTACAAGGCGCCACTGAGATATGGTCAATCTTTGAGGCACAAATGAAGCATATCTCAGTTTCATCAGCCTCTTCCTCTTCTCCGGCAGCAGAACCTCCAGCTTTCTGCGCGGGCTTCTCTTCGCCCTGCGAACGTTTGGCATCTCCGGTCAGGCGAACACCGGAGGTGCCAGTGCCCTCAGCACCCGCTCCTGGCGGCTCACTGCCATCGTCGTGTCTGCCATCTCCATCCTGCGTTCGATTTCCTCCACGTCGTGGATTCCTCCCCCCACGTCCCTCGTTGTGTGCGCCGCCGCCTCTGCCGCGACCTCTTCCGCCACTCCCTCCCTGGTTATGTCGACGGTGCTGCTGGCTAGGGTCAGCGGGAGAAGAACCGCCTCCAGTAGCTGCGGTACCGCCTCGCCGATTGCCTCTGTTGCCCCGATTGCCTCTGCCTCTAGTTGCTTCTCTTGATTGAGGGGTGCCCGATGGGTTTGTTGTAGCTTGATCTGCCATTATCGCAAAATACGGGTATGTTATGAGCTCGGAAGAAGGAGAGTAAATAAATATCGAGGAAAATCTTCGTTTCTATGGGGAGAAGAAGCAGAGAAAAGGTGCGCGGTGCCCTGGGATGCAGCGTTCAATTTTGCAGCTGATATTTATTTAGTTTAACCAACTAGTTAGCCAGCTGTTTCTCCAGGCGTTGTTCGGGTTCTTCCCGCTGACTCATCAATTCGGGCTTGCAATGAATCATTGTGACTCTTGCAGAAGCTTTTGAAGGCTGAAGGGAGTCAGAAACGGGCCCTACGAACGGAGAAGAGAGAAGAAGATAGTCAGAGAATACACCAGGTGCTACATTAAGGTGGAAGAAAAATAGAAGAAAAGGCAGTAGAGTTAAAATAACTAGTAATTAGTTGGTTAATTAAAAATGTTCTGTTATAGCCTGTCCCATCTAAGCAAAGCCTGATGCTCCATTGAAATAAAATAGCTGCTGCCTTGCTTGCATCAAGCATAGATGAGCTTTTCGCCTATTATTCATCGTTGAAAGATACGTAAATACTGTGCATCATATAAAAATAACCATTTAATCTGCCGTTGATCATCAAGATATGTAATAAAAAAAGAAAGGGGGGAGGGCTCTCCAGGGCAGAAAGCGCCTAGTAAAACACCTTTTCCTCCCATATAGGCGGTTTCATGCCGACCTTATCCCACACCACCTTGTTCTTCTCGTCAAGATGAGCTTCGTTGTCGGTCATGGGTATGATGGTGCTGGTGAGCTCGACCTCCTGTCGACTTACACCCCCAGCATCTCGTGGGATCCAGAGAAGGGGCGGGCGGCTGTACACACAACTCGGGTAATACGCATTGTCCGAGATATGTTCGTCGTAGGGAATAGATGGATCCTGTCTTATCTTCTCCCGCAGTGCCGCATAGTTAGCATATATGCTAGGATGGAAGAGCCACCAGCGGAAATTTTCGAACTTGTCCCATATCGAGTCAGGCGCAGTAGTAATCTCAGCTAGAGTCAATGTACTCTGGCGTCGAGGCAAGAATTCCTTCCCGCTGGTCATGGTTCGGGACAAGAATTCAGGCTTTTCAAAGTCACTTGGCGTTGTGCACGTCCAGTCGTCTTCATTATTGAGAGTGTGAGGTAAGGCGGAGAGCAAAGGTGCCAGTGCTTCATTTAGGGAGATGTGGCATAGTGCTGTGAACGCGGTAAACATGCCCATCAAGACCATAGGGCCAATCGCTGCACGGATGGCAAAGAGTCCAAACATGCATACTTCTGCTAGGTAAACGCCCGTTAACACTTGTTGAAGTGCTCGGGGATATACCAGGCCCTTTGTGTCGACAACAGGTTCGTACACGAATAGCAGGTTATATCGATAGGCCTGGTATACCAGATAAAGCCCAAGAGCAGAAAAGCCAAGGACCAACGGAGCTATACAACTGTAGGTGATTGCTAGATCGTGCCTTATGTTAGGTTACTCTACCAAAAATATATAAAACGAGGATGACAGCTCTGCCTACCTATAACAGCCATATTTGTGAAGACCGGGAAAACTGTTCCCCACCATACTCCAGTAAGTGCAGCCCAGCGTGAGTATAACTTTCGAGGCGTAGAGTCAAAGAAGGCCCGAAAGAACTTGAAGAGCAGGAATGCGATTACTTGTACCACAGCCCCCGAACTCAGCATTAATCCTTGAAAAAGGAAGTACGAGATGTAGAAATTCGTGGCCTTTGGTAGATTTTTCGCCAGTAGGTCTTTGGCCGAGAGTGGGTTTTTGATAATTTGACTCGTGGCTGCAGATGCCGCGGATGTAATGGTAGTTACCAGGAATACTTGCACTACCTGAAAGCAAAAATGTGCATTCTGCGTGAATAGCTCTGCTTTAGCCGTTGAAGGGACACCTGACTGCCTCGCGCACCCTAGATCAACAATGTTAGAACGGAATCGGTTTGCAAGCTCAGGTTGAGGGGTTTCATACATCTCATAATCCAGGGAACTGCCGCCATCAATATAGCTAGTCCCGCCGCAGGAAGAAGGCCACTTATTATTCCCTTGATGAAAGAAGGCAATTCGTTCACAAACTTGAGAAATTTGAGAAGATTGGTGAGATAGGTGATGTTGGAAATCGATCCAATCAAGGCCGATGGGATAGACCAGAAGATTATCATAACGGTAATGAAACCCTGCACGGCAAATTTTCTGACGATTCTTTGGTACCACGAATATCGTAGTGCGGGCCAGAGTACCTGATGTGGTGGTATTCCGATGAACCGAGGTGTCATCTGAGAGGGATGGTGGTGTGAGAGCGTTTGGTATGCGATTTGGGCTTCTCGCTGGGTGGTGAATTCCACAAATACTCCGCCTACAGTCTTTGCTTCACCGACTCGGTGTTCCTGCTGCAATTCATTGACCTCTGGGATAAGTGTAGCAAGACGAGAACGCAGGTCCTCAATTATGTCAACCTTTTCGCCAAAGACGTAGTGCGCTAGTCGTGAAGGGCACTTAACATTTAGTAGCCAAGGAGCCTGGTCGAGATCGGATTCGTTACTGCTCTGCTTGACTGTAGCTTGTTCTAACGAGACTTCTGGGTCACGGCCTTGTTTCTTCAACACCTTCAGGCGAGCAGCATGCGCAGCTTTAACGTATCTAGTTTCGGCATCTTCCAGACTATATGCAAGTCTATCTCGCTTACGAACAAGCGTCGCCAACTTTGAGGTATCTTCTGAAGTCCAGACACGCTTGACTGAGTCACCGAATATTTTGGATAGCTTCGCCTTGTTCTGGTAAGACTGAGGAACGGACATGAACAGCACGGTCCGAGAGGAGATCCGGTCAGCATATAGTGGTGAGAGCAGGTAGGCTTGTCGGAGAGCTGCGTAAAAGATGCTTTCACGACAGACCATGAGGAAGACAACCCCTACCAACAAGTTAGAAAGAGTAATTGGCGACCCCTCGTGGTCACTGGGTATCTAAACAGGGAGACTAGTGTTCGCTCACCAAAAAATATCCAAGAGACAATTGTATGTGCATAGTACCGCTTGGGATTGACAACATTGCTGAAGGTAAGGAGATCCAGCTGGGTATTTCCTGCGCCTCCTGTGATATTTATGGGCATCAATATAGGCCAAGTGATGCAACATCCGATAAAGCTCAGTAGGGACATTTTCTTGAGAAATCGAAGGAAGAGATAGCCATCTAAGGATGAGTTCCGGAGAACGTGGCTATCTGAAAGGCGGATGAAGTCCCCTATCCAGTTTACAAACCCATAGGGAAGTTCTGGGCTTCGTTCACTGTTCAAAAAGAAATCGTGCATTAGATATAACATCCCATTCCGCAAACTCCCCCCCCCCCCCAACACACTACTGATGTAAGAATGGCAACGTACTGGTCATGTATATGCCCTAGGTATGACCTCGGGGAGTAAAATCGGCGTTGGGTTCGACGGCAGATGAGGAATATCAGGAAACCAATAACAGCCAGGATAAATGCGGGAAGGAAAGTGGAAAGCAATGCCATTCCAGATGTAGACGCCGTTATCCCTACAGTCTGGAGCGCATCCGACGTCGAGGATTTGTTACTTCCCCGCGCCGATCCAATATTTGGATCATTGCTCGGATCCTTTTGATGGTGAAGTTATTAGCTGCATGTCCACCCAAGTTATGAATATAGGGAGAGAGCGCGGGGAGGGGGTTGCAGGAGAGTAGAAGGAATGCATACCAGCACACCCCTGCCGATGAGGGCGCTCATTGCGACTAGGTCCTCTGAAGACATCTCCATCTTCGATTGAGAGGCTTTGCCTTTGCGGATGCGACAAATTACTCAAAAACTCAGCACATTCTCCGGTGAGAGCGCCTCCGATGCCATCATATTCAACCTTGACTACAGTCCCCGGACGGTGCAGTTAAAACATCACTGGTGAGGGGGTAACGTGAGGGGAGACGCAACCGTTCGGTCTTATGAAGCAAAGTATGGATAGTGACATTGACGAGTCTGGGGAAGAAAATGTCATTGTCTGTCTGAGAGAATGGAAGAATGAATGGGCTTCGGCTCTGGCTAGCTTCGATGAGCTGTCATATATAATTAAGTGATGGGCTCGCTTTTTTTTGGCTCCAGCAAGCCATTTTTTCCTCCCATCAAAGGACCCAGCAGGGAAACCCCCGAAGAGTGAGGGACAACCAGCTATTGGATGATAGGCAACGCTCCAGCCCGCTGCTGATATGCGAGAGCGAATGAAACGCTCGATCGGCTGCTCCATGGCGCTGTGCCGCACAGTAAAAAAAGAAACCAGAGACAAAGCCAAAAGAATAAGCAGTGTGGGACAGGGACTCCCGGGGCCGAGACGATTGGCCTCCCTACACTGGCTCTGCAGCGAGAGATTGACAGCCCCAGCGTTCCTCCATTGCGCAGGGCAGGTGGCCAAAAGTGAAGGACTAGAACCCCATGGAGAGCTCCAAACGTCTAGGCGGAGATGACGGCGGGCGAGAAGAAAAGGGACCTCGACCCTCGGTGGAGGGACGCATTCAGGAAGTTCGAGCCATCAACCGATCGTGGGGATGTGAAGGGCCTGATGGGGTTGCGTTATCTGGGCGAATGGCAAGAGGCGGCTGATGTGGCCTGCATGTCACAGGCTGGAGCAGAGCTGTGAATCATGAATATTATAATAATGATGCTGCTATTGCCCGTGGCCAGGGGGGGTGCAGCCCTCGTTGACAGCAAATCTGTATGTTTGATAGACAGGCCGAATCCCGTATGTATTTACACCCCATACGGTTGTCTCGAGAACTTGCAAGAGTAGCCACTGTCTGAACGAATATAGAACATCCGTCGGCCAATGCTCGAATGTGAGATCCTTTTTTTTTTTTTTTTTTTTTTTTTTTTTTTTTTTTTTTTTTGATAGACGGCATCCGAGATGGCTGTCTCAATCCGGCAGGCCTCGCGCAGGATGTGATGCATATAAAAGTCGACCAGCACAGCAAAGCCCACCACCACAAGACGGAAAATGCGTACGCAGCTCGTTGCACAGCAGTAGCCTTGGATAAACTGGGGCTTGTCCCTCAGCCCATGCAAGCGTCCATCGCATCTGTCGGGGATTGAGGCCGTCTCACACCCAGTTCATCCCCAGTGTCACCGCCGTAGATGTGCGTAGCCATGCAGTTGCCGGACCGTCTGTACCTCTAAAAAGACGGCTCTGCCAGCCATGTAGAGAACCGTCTGGCAATGGTCGAGGCCCCAGACGATGGGGATACCAGGCCAGCCATGCCATCTCGTCGTCGTCGTCGTCCCCGCCGTGCCTCCAGCCGAACAGCCCTATATCAACAACATCCCCCCCGAGCCGACATTGAGCAATCCAGCAGCGCCATGGAGAAGAAAGCCGGTGTTTCGGTAGCTTCCCCGCCGCGGCAGTAAGGAGGAGAAGGACGGCGATGACGATGATGAGCGAGAGAGGCAGCGAGGCAGAGAATCAGCGAGAAGACGGGAACGAAAAGCCCGGCCGTCTGCCATATAGTTATCGCCCTGGATCCTCGCATCGAGGCCGTCCGTCTTTTTGTTTTTTCGCATCGCCATCTCAACGAGCGCCCCAGGCACGGCAGCGAATACCAGATTCTCTCGTATTCCTCCCCGGATGGCTTGGGCGGCCGGACAGAACATGCCTGGGAGATAGCTGCCGACACCCGCCGCAGTTCCCTTTGTCCGCTGCAACGATGGAGCAGCAGCAGCAGCAGCAGCAGCAGAAGCCGGCCAAGTTCCACTGCCAGTTCGCGGGCTGCAACCGCTCGTACCTGAGGAGCGAGCATCTCAACCGCCATGCGCTGATTCGTGTGTGATCTCTTCCTTATTGCCATCCTCCGTGTATTATCCCCTGTGGTGCAAGCGAGCGTCGAGTGAGTTAACCGGACGGACAGACAAGAAGGGCGCCTTTCTCTGCTATCTGTGCCAGAGACGCTTCACCCGCAAGTAGGCAACCGCCCAGCAGTGCCAGCAGCTGGGAGACCGAGACCGAGACCGAGATCGAGACCGAAGGCTGACCTCGCGATGCCGGCGACAGCGACCTGCTCAACGCCCATCTGCGGCGCCATGAGAAGCGCAAGTCTGCCTCCGAGGGCTCAGACGCTGCCCTCGCGCCGCTCTCGCCCTCGCCCTCCGCCAGCAACAACAGCAGCAACCTAGCCGTCGTCGCCAGCAGCTCCCCGTCGGACGCCAGGTCCTCGCCGGCCACCGCAGAATGGCATCTCGAGCAGCAGCAGAGCCAGGACGTTGGCCGTCGTCCCGCAGCCCATTTCCCGTCCATGGCGCCTCTCACGCTCCCGTCGCCCTCGCCTCGATCCGATCCCGCCGGCCATATACACAGCGGCGGCAGCAGCAGCAACAGTAATAGCAACAGTAGCAGCAGCAGCCACGGCCTGCACCCCCATGGGCCTCCGCAGGGCTCAATGGGCGCCGTGGGCCATCTACCACACCTGCTCGGCCAGCAGCAGCAGCAGCAGCAGCAGCATCACTCCCACCAGCCGTACCTGGCCATGCCCTCGCCGTTCGACGACTACCCGTGGCTGTTCCATAGCACCAGCCTCTTCGATCTGCCCTCGGACGACTACCTCAATCTTCATTTCGGGAATACTGCTGACCATACGTCGCCTCCTGTATGTTGTCTGATACAAGTGGCCATGCTGAGCGTTTTATAACTCCAAGAAATATCGTGAGCCTGTTCTTTACTAAAAAATACGTTGCAATTGCCCTCAGGACATATACCTCCCGTCTATCGGTTCGAACTCCCCCCAGCATGAGGCTCCTCAGATCACGGCTCTCGACCATGAGAGGATACTGAACCATTGTTCCGTATGTAAATATATATATATACACCGTCTTATATCTATCTGTCTGCGGGCATCTGAGCTGACGCCAACTTAGGATCTACTGAATACCCCGTTAAAGGACCATATCAGAATGAACCAGATTCTCCGTTGGGCATTGGATTATTGCGATATATACATGCCCTTTTTCCACCGTCCAACTCTCAATTTGTCCCGATCTCCCCCTGTTTTGCTCCTCGCATTGTGCAGTCTGGGAGCGTTTCTTAGCAGAACGCAGGAGTACTATGAAGTGGGCAAACTGCTTCACAGGCATGTGTGGTCTCAGACTATCGAGGTGGGGAATAATCCCGTCTTCCTTCTACAGAACCTATCCTTGCATACACCGAGCTTACAATCTATCAATAGAAACCGCTTATGAGTGCAAGGGTCGAGATGCCTTTTATACAGACATTGTTCGTTTCTCGGCCTGGCTTTCTCGGGCTGCCACAAGATTTATACAGGATATTAATTAAACTAACTGCTATTTAGAGTTGTCCTGGAACACATCTGTACGTATGCCATGGCACGTCACGAACATGAAATGTCGGAGATAGTGCACGGGATAATCGTTACGGTAAGCTTGTCTTAAAAAGCCATATCTGAAAAGAAACTGCTTTTGACGAGATAGCAAGCTCGCACGACGAAACAATCTTATGACAGAAGGGCCCAACCGAGAGGGGGGCTCACGACAGTCCCCAGATGTCAGGTGGAGAGAATGGGCACAGCGGGAATCCGTTATCAGGTACGGATACGCTGAGATGCATCGCATATCAAGTTAAATTAATGCTTACAGGGGAGTAGGATAGCGCATACAATCTTTGTCAACGACGTACAGTATATGGTCTACTTCTCACATCATGCCTTACTTTCTGTGGGCATGATGAAAATACCCCTTCCGAGCCGGCAGTCACTATGGGATGCACCGTCAGCCGTCAAGTGGGAGGATGAGATGCGCCAGCTAAAGAAGACGACCCGATCAAGGTACTTCAGCCTAGACTCCGCCGTGCAATCAATACTATCCATGAAAGACGCAGAGCACATGCGCGAGGTTCTCCACTGGCACAGCACTCCCAGCCCGCTATCACTGCACATCCTTATCCATGGCATAACGTCGGCGATAGGGGATGCAAAGTACCGATCCGTCTCGTCTTCAAGCAGTCTGGTTATTCGCGAGCTGCAGAGACTGGAGTTTGACAGCGCACTAGCGTACTGGCGAGACCAGTTCGACCAGCTATCTGGCCCTGATCAGCGATGTCAGCTATCATGGTGTGCCCTGGTCATGTATGACTTCTCTGCAGTCCTACTTCGGAACAATCTGTCCGACATTCAGATGGCAGCTGGAAGTGCCTTTTCGTCGGGACGCACAGTTACACCTCAAGTAGCACAGGCGGCGTACACGCGGCTAGTGTCCACGGACCCCGTCTGCCATGATTCCTACCTGCACGCCCTCGAGGTGGTCGGTCTATGCATAGAGGAAGGCACCGGCAACTGCAGCGTCAAACCCGGCCTTGGAGTGCTATTGTCCCAGCCCATTTCACAGCCTCGACCGTTATGGCAGACGTACTGTGCATTCCTTGGCCTTCTTGTCCTCTGGGCTCGAGCCCTTGGTCTAGAAAACAAGGAGCAGTCTCGCAACGTGTCCAGGATAGGGCTACGGCAGTTCTCACTGCAGGCAATTCCGTCAACTGCTGCAACCATCTTGGCCAACATGCACCACAGGGAGCAGGCTCAGTTCTCAGCCGCCTCAGTAGAAGTCCAGGTGCTTAAAAGCGAGCTGAGAGAATTGATCGGCACCGTCAGTGACCGGCTCTCGGCCAGCTCATGGGAGATATGTAAGTTAGATTCTTCCAGCGGCCTATTTTTTTTTTTTTTCTTTTATTCCCATATACTGTTTGTTTCTATTTCTAACCTGGTATTGGTACAGCACATGAGGCGGCTAGAATCCTGACCTCCTTGGTAGAGAGGGAAGGGCTGAACTATCATAGAAGGGCAAGCTCTCTTCTACAGGCTTCCCGTGAATGACATCTATGGCAGGGCTAGTCTTGGAGCAGTATGAAAGGATTCGACTAACTCACCCGCTTGACATACTCCCCCAATACTCGCCTGTCTGGTTTTTTTCCAACCAAGTAGATGTACTATTAAGACTGCTCCTATCTATCTATATATACACACATATATATTTGGTACTCAAGAAGAGGATGGTCCTCTTGCCAGTATCAACATTGGACAGGCAGATACCCTTTCAATATACGATTCCCATGGCTCTCCATACCTATTTCTTTATAGTGTTTATTGAAGTTAGCATGCCCCAATCTGCATTTCTTTCCTTTCCTTTCTTGTGTTGCTAGTATAAACCCTTGCCTTTGCTTGGAGTGTTTAGGCATGCAAGAGACAATAACATCCTCCTTTCGCTTTTACCAACATCTACACATCTAACCAGTCAGCGCGTATTCGACGTCTCTTTTATCCTCTACACCACTATAACACTGCTGCCACAGCCTACCTGCAGTATAGAGGTATGCCTTACTGATCTAATCTATATAAACAGCTCCTAATTGAATGGTCTCCTAGTACTACTACTACGCCTCGCAGTACGCTCACAAAATGTGCAGCAAGACCACTCCGAAATATGCCTGTGGACATCTGGGAGCAACCCGTATACTTCCATGCCATAAGAAGGAATGCAAGGGACCTGTCCTAGCCATCCTTCCCAGCCGTCTGATGTGTGCATCTTGCTGCAAGATACGAGATATGAGGTAATAGGGGGGGATATAGAGCAACAGACGCGACACAACAGAGAAGAAACAAGGAAGTCTGCAGCCCTGGAGAGATGAACATGTAGTTAAGAGGCGGATATGCTTTATTTACAGCCTGTCATTGTGTGAATTGTGTGAATCTGCTGTGGTTTCTACTGTACCAAGTTGCATCTCTCCAGCCCCTGACTAGCTGGTATGCCATGAACTCTCCAGCTGCCATCAACGAAGGAACTCAGGGAAGTCAAGGACAGCCAAATGCTACTGCTATCAAGTACATAACAAAGTCCAGGGTCAAACAAAGTCCTCCTGCCCCTGCCTCAGCCTGAGTAAATGAAACAAGACGTTATGTAAATACCCTTGGCTTGCCGCCAGCCCAGCAGGCACCCCCTGGCCGGTTTACGCATAACACGCCAGCTATAACCAACTAGCAAACTCATAATAATCAAGAGCAAGGGCCGCGGGGGCGGGGAAGCCGATAAACTAGTTGGTTGGTTTGACAGGTATCTGCAGTATCTCGTGAATATCAGACGGCATCGCTGCTCGACAACTGGCAACTTCTATGCCCACCTGTATAACTATCTAACTATAGTTACATATCAAGAAAAGGGCCGCCTACTCGCACAAACATAGCCACGATGAGCTCGCAGGCCCTTCACCCGGGATACTCCCACGCGGACGCCTTCGACGAGGGCTTCCTCTCGGTGGGATCCATCCACAAGATCCATTACGAGCAGTATGGGAAGAAAGACGGCAAGCCAGGTGAGCGTTGAATAATAACCCCAGTGCCTGCTCACTCCTTGCTGAACGAACCGATGCCTAGTTGTCTTCCTCCACGGCGGGCCCGGCGGCCACTGCACCAAGATCAACACGACCTTCTTCAATCCAGAGGTCTACCGCGTCGTCCTGTTCGACCAGCGTGGCTCCGGCAAGTCTCTGCCAAATTCGGAGCTGCGGGAGAACACCACCCACCACCTGGTCGAGGACATCGAGGCCATCCGCAAGCATATGGGCGTCGACAAGTGGCACATGGTCTTCGGCGGCTCGTGGGGGTCCGCCCTGGCACTGGTGTATGCGCAGGCCCATCCAGAGGTCGTTGGCTCTCTCGTCCTGCGAGGCATCTTCACCTTCCGCAGAGAAGAGCTGGAGTGGTCCCGAAGCATCGTGGCCGGCCGTCTATACCCCGACGCCTACGAGGAGTTCGTCAACTACCTGCCAGAGCCGGCCCGAGCTGACATTGTCGGCTCGTACTACCAGCTGCTCCTGTCCGACAACAGAGAGACACGTATCAGCGCTTCCAAGGCCTGGAATAAGTGGGAGCTGTCCATCAGCGAGCTGCGCCAGAACCCTCAGAGCCTGAAGAAACTCGAGGACGATGACTGGACGCTGGCACACGCTTCGATGGAACTCCATTATGCTATGAACGATGCCTGGCTTGAGCATGGTGCTCTCTTGAAAAAGGAGAATGTTGACCGGATCAGACATATCCCCAGTAAGGCTGTCTCTTTTTTCATTCATCCATTCTCTTTTTTTTCTGTATCTTCAGGGTGATGAGTTAAGTTAGGTAACGACCGCTGCTGACCTTTTTTGAAGCAACTATGGTTCAGGGGCGTTATGACATCGTATGCCCTCCCCAGACAGCCTATGAGCTGCACAAGGCGTTCCCTGAGTCCAGGCTATTCTGGATTCCGGATGCCGGACACAGTGCAATGGTGAGTCCCCCGTTCCGCGCCGAATTCACGCATTCCACTACGGAGTTAACTAACCAGCCTGTGGCCAGGAACCCGGAACCCGCAGCAAACTGACCGAGACTTGCGACGAGTACGCCGGTTTATAATTCTGAGGTCGGGCCATGATCTCTCATGTATTGATACACTGCTGTCAACAGACTCAGAGTAGTTAACTAGTAACTATCATTATGCGCAAGAAAGAATTACATAGCTATCAGGTTGAACTTGATGACTGGTCTTCCATTCCTCTCCAGCGGCGTTCCCTGGCTATTTTTCAATGCTCCTTTTCACGGCAGCAACCACAAGCTCTCCGAACACTAACGCAGATCATAACGGCGATACGGATGCTGCTCGTGCTAAACAGAGAGTCAGTGGCTCCCTGGATGCACCTAAAATAGCGTACATACATAGTCAATCATCAGATCGACAACGTCAAGCAGTGAACCAACTAGCCGGTTATCCAACGCACCCGGCTGTGAAGGACTCGCAGTAACTCACAGAATGCAGAGAGATATGGCTGACTGGCTCCCTAATTATACGGTTGAACCACGGATGCCTCGTTAACTTACCTGATCAGCGGATCAGCGAGCCGTGCCTGGCCTGTCCGGCGTCTGGCGTCTGTTTTGAATGCACTGCCCTGGATTATGGTAGCCACCTAGCTACCTCAGCTACTCCCTCGATGGTTCCTAAGTTGACTATTTTACGGCCAAACTCGACGTCCACTCTTTACATCCCCATCTCATCCATCCAGATATCCAGCCTCCTTTTATGCGAACAGACTCGGAGCAGCAAGCTAACCGACTAGTCAGACACTGTCAGCCCTGTGGAAGGCGAAACCCTTCTTTCCTCTCATCTGGGCCCTCACTTACATGCTTTGTCCCGCGCCTTCGCCATGTCAGTTATCTACGGACTACTGCGATTGAGCTGGCGTTGGTTCGCCTCGAGTTCTGCATACCAGGCACGCCCTGGACTTCTTTCCTCTCCAGAAGGATAGGCTCAGGGGAAACGTTCGGTCTACTCTGGATGCTAGAGCCCACGCTGTCACCCTGACTTGCAAGTACTCTTTCTTCCTTTTTCTCTGCGGAGAGCGTGAAGCAGACGCTCAATGAGCTACTTCGTTAATCCAATTTATATCCTCACTCTCACTGCGGAAGACTTTTACCACTCCCTACCATAATAAATACCATTGTTACCAAGGAGGCAAGGCCGGAGATTTCTATTCTCTGGTGCTGCATATACGCCCCAACGTCATTGTGATATGGATTTCGAAATTTTATATTCGGGCCGTGGTAGCTCCAACCAATCTGCTCATACCCTTTGATGCGGATTGAACAAGCCTCAGCTAGTGAGAACGCAATCCTCTTGAGTCCATTATCCTATAGCTTGTCAGTTGATCGACATATCAACTTCCGATATCTTTTGTTGTGGATATGGTATCTTTAGGACGTTGCTACAGTCATTACTCAAGACATCCAAGCCCAAGAATATAAGAATGGCCCTCTCTCCCTCGATAAAAGGCCATGCAGACGTCCATGTAGTTCATAGCAAACTACTCTGCCATATCATCCTTCTTCTACACTATTATCTTTACATGCCGCATTGATCAACCAGTTATGAAGGGCCTTCTCTCACTGCTCCTTGTGGGAGCTGTTACTACTTCGGTGGCTTCCTATGAATCTCGTTCCATCACGGAGGAGATGCTGCAAGGCAAGGAGAAGGGAATCTGGGACGCTATCAAGGGGGAAGTACCCGGTGCAAAATTGGAGGATTACTTCAAGCCTCCTCCAGATCATCAACGCAAGTCTGATGACAAGTGGGACGGTAAGGTTTCGGGAAAATCCGTCAATGCTCTTTGAGTCGAAGAAGGAAAAGACAAGCCCTCAGGTATCGAGGAGTACGACATGAGATTCAAGACCGTGGACCCCAGCTCCCTCGGTGTCAACGACGTCACGCAATACAGTGGCTATCTAGACAATAACAAGAGTGGCCAGCACCTTTCTTCCGTATGTGATCCTTAATACTTACCTGCTTTATGGTAGAGTACCTACTAACGTCCTGGTGTCCAAGGTTCTTTGAGTCTCGACGTGATCCACAATACGACTCTGTTATTCTCTGGTTGAACGGTGGTCCAGGATGCTCATCCATGAGCAGCTTATTCATGGAGTTGGGATCGGCCAGAGTTGCTAAGGACCTCACGCTCACCCGTAATCCTCACTCCTGAAATAACGAGGCTTCCATAATTTTCTTGGACCAACCCGTCAACGTCAACGTTGGATTCTCTTACGGTAAATCAGGTTCCTTGAACACCCCATCGGCCTCAAAGGATGTCTATGGTTTCTTGACCCTGTTCTTCAAGCAATTTCCTCAATATGCCATCCACGACTTCCATATCGCAGGAGAGTCTTATGCCGGTCACTAAATTCCAGTATATGCAGCAGACATCCTGAAACAAAAGTCCTACATCAAGTTGAAGTCTGTCCTGATTGGAAACGGCATGACCGACCCTTACACCCAGTTCGCATCCTATCCGTTCATGGCCTGCAGAAAGGGCGGGTACAGTGCTGTCTTGGATCAGCCTACCTACAAAGCTATGGAGGCTGCCGTTCTAGAATGCCAGAAAGAAATCAAGCGCTGCTATGACAAGCCTACAGATACTGCTACTTGTGTTAATGGTGCCAAGTTCTGTAAGGACGCTCTCGTTCGCCCATATTCCCAGACCGGCCAGAGCATCTATGATATCGTGGTCGCTGCGAAGACCCTAAAGACCTCTGGTCTCCTATCCTAGGCTAGATCGCCAAGTACCTCAACCAGCGCCATGTTCAGCATGCTATCGGTGCTGAAGTCTCACATTTCGAAGGGTGCAACAGTCGGATAAGCAGCCAGTTCTTCACCCAGGGAGACTACAACCAGCCCTTCCACCGTAAGATCCCCAGGATTTTGAAGAAAATCAATGTTCTTGTCTATGCTGGTGAAGATGACTATATCTGCAACTGGCTCGGCGTCAAAAAATGGACAGAGGCTCTCCGGTGGCCTGGGCGCCCTATCTTCAAGCACAAGAAACTCAGCGTTGTTTATAATAGCTTTAACAAATGGCCACTGGGTCGTGTCAAGTATCACAATGGCCTTGCTTTCCTCCAGATCTTTAAGGCTGGCCACAGGGTTCCATATGACCAGCCTGAGAATGCCTTGGACTTTCTCAACCGCTGGCTTGCTGGGGAGTGGACTCCATGGACTTCCAGTACTCAACGTTGACTTCAATGCATACTCGCTCAGAGGGGGATTGAGCTGAGCTCTTTTGCATAGCTCACAATAACTTTGGTCTTAGGGGGGACATTAATGTCTAATTTTTATCTTCTTGTACTTGCATAATAAATCGGGAGACTACTCCCATTCAATAATTTTGATGCCATGTATATCCCCCCATATCTGCTCCATCTTTTACCAGTTTGTTCACATACTTTAGAGCATCTCGCGGCTGTCTTCCTAATAACTCGCCCATCAAGGGGTCCACAGTTGCAGTATCCCCTTTTTCCATAGACTCCACAAGGCTTTGCCAACTCCTGAAGAAGGCTTCTGGTTTCCGCCCTCTACCTTCTCTGGCATCCTCCAAGGCCATAATGCGAGGGAATTCATCCTTTGACACGCATTTGATCTCAAGTTGCCTGCCCGTAGCCTCAGACACAGCATTGATGACATCCGTTAGCTTGTAAGTTCGTGGCCCGGTGAGTAGGGCAATGTTATTCTTCAGGTTCAAGCCCTCTGGATCACGTAGCATGAGTTGAGCAGTGGCTTCACCCAGTTCATCTCGAGAAGCAAAGGCAACAGGGCCGTCGCCAGAGAGATATATGGTAGTTGTATTTGGATACCAGAATACAAACACAGGGAAGGCATCGATATACACTCCTTCACGGACAGAGGTATAAGACAACCCAGACCTAGATGTAGTTACGGTCAGAATACCCAATTTACTCAGCATAAGAGCGCCCAGAGTAGAGTACGTACTCAGCTAAAAGCTTTTCAGTCACCAAGTGAGCTTTTTGGACAGAAGCCTGGGACTCGTAACCATAACCCCCAAACGCAAGACTGGAGTAATATACCTAGCATAAAAACCCTGTTAGCACAAAAGATGATAATTATTATCCAAGCCGGTAAATAACATACATGGCCGACTTTTGCTTCGACAGAGGCCTTAACTACTCGTTCATGCTGCTTGTTCCTTTTCTCGGTGTTCACTTCAGGGCTGGAGACGAAGAAGAAACGTTCGACACCGGCCAGGGACTCTACAAGCGACTTTGGATCATTGTAGTCGAGTCGTCGAAATTGGATCCCAGGATAATCCTGCTGGAGTTTTTGGCTCGTCTCAAGCCTGGAGGATGCAGCTGCAATCTGCGAAGGGTCAGGGACGTTTTTATATAGCGTAGCCAGAACAGAACCCCCCAGACCGCTGGATGCGCCGGTCACCAGGTACTTGACTGGGCTGTTCATCGTATATCGAGCTGGGTATCTTGGTTTTAATCGAGAGTGAAGAATAGCGCATTCAATGAATTTTCAACTGCTGGTTGATGATGCCAGCTGTTGGTGGGCGGCATGGTAGTTATCTTTTATAGCAGCTTCCTCCATGGTAAATAGTTATCTATTGCAGGCACAACAATGACTGTCTATAAAATGTCGCCGTAGCGGACATGTAAGTTGCTCCATGGCCACCGCGAGCTGTGGACCTTCGATTTCAAAGCCTCGGGGACATTTCACAGTTAGCTGTCAGTGTTCCGGATGTCTGAAGCGAGCTCAACTAGTTCTGTGGCCCGAAAAGTTACCGAGTCGGGCCAACTTTTGATGCCGTCGAAGGACTCGAAGGATCGAGGAAGAGCTTAGCATGCAAACCCTGGACCACCACGGGGAGCTTTAAAAAAGAGGGCGAAGGAATGTTCCTGAATCTCGTATTCAAGGCCGGAAGTGCGATATCGTCACCTCCTGCAGAGGATGTGCGTGTTCTACGGCGGCAGCCTAAGGCCGGCCTGGCGGGGAGGCCCATGGATGGAGTTAAAGACTTATATCTCCGGTGGTTTCGCCCGACGAAGAGGACTATCGAGCTTAGGTATATATACAGGAGAAAGGGAGCAACTGATTTCAATTTCTTTCATCCATTTCATAGCTGACATATTCGACAAGGTTAACCATTCGAGCTGTTCAAAATGGCGTCCAACCCACCAGGAGAATGCTGTATCAGAGGCTTCATCCATGAAGGCACTGCTACGGGGGAGACAAAGAAGATGGGAGACCGTAAGTACCTCATCTATTCTATACCTCTACATCACTACTAGTAATAGACGAAATATCAAACTAACCAGGCCATAGTCGACGTCTACTTTTCTTATCCCAAGGAATTTTGCAAGAAGGCCGGCAAGGCGATAGTCATCCTCTCAGACGTTATGGGCATTCGCACCAATTCCCAGCTCCTTGCTGACTACATGGCGTCCCAAGGCTATCTCACGGTGATTCCAGACCTTTTCCGTGGTGATAGACTCACGCCTGCTGTGTTCGAGCCAAATTCTGGATTTGATCGTCAGGCGTGGTTTGCAAAGTATGGCACCGATGCTGTTGACCCCGTCATCGAGTCTACTATCAAGATGCTGCGAGAGGAACATGGAATTGAAAGGCTCGGGGGTGTTGGGTATTGCTTCGGTGGAAAGGTATGAAAGGAAGATAACTGTATGGCTTTGAGTATGAATCTAATGATCCTGACGGCTTTCTGTAGTATGTATGCCGATTTTTGAAAGATGGAAAGCTGGACGCTGGATTCACGGCACACCCATCTTTCGTCTCGAGGGAAGAGCTATCTGCTATCAAAGGACCACTATCCATCGCAGCAGCAGGTACGTTTTCCAGTTCTGACTTGCATGCATAGTCGCTTCTGACAGGTATTTGGTTGTCTAGAAATTGACGAGATCCTAACCACCGCATTGCGTCATGAGTCTGAGGAGATCCTGGCAAAAACAAAGCAGCCGTACCAGATCACTCTCTATGGAGGAGTGTCCCATGGATTTGCCGTTCGTGGCGACCTGTCTAAACCGGATATCATGTTTGCAAAGGAGCAGGCCCTGGCCCAGGCACTGGCATGGTTTGGCCAATACCTGTGACGGGTTATCAGCCATGAATGTCATAACTGAATGATATAAGTTAACAAAGAAAAAGGGGTGAAATCTCTATGATGATTCATTGCAACCATAGATGTATCTGGCCGAATAAACAAATGTATCAGAAACCTTCAAAGGTATTCCGCCCTTTTCTGTCCTTCCTGCGCCTCTCATTTCGACGTAACCGTACAAAAAGACATGACATGACATGATATAATAGAAAAGGATTAGTGTCGAAATGAGAAGAAAAGTAAAAAAAGCAAACTCGATGGAAAACACAAAGACAGCAAATGCATGCAATTAACTGATGATCTCTTCAGTTTCTTCGATGATCTCCTCGACAATCTCCTCTACCACTGTATCGCCCTCAGCGGCAGTGATACTGGGTTGAGCAACGATGTCATCATCTGGGTTGGGAGACAGACCAAGATCTTCTCTTTCTTCGAGAATCATTTGCTTCTCCTTTCTGAGCCAGGCAGTCCATTCGCTAAGGACCCTCTTTCTCATCTCGACTATGGCGGTGTTGGCAATATCGACGGCGTACTTGTCTTCTTCGTCGAATTCGCGAGAATATTCGCGGAGGTTCTTGCGGACTTGTTTTTGCTCTTCCTTTGAAAGGAATGTTGGAGGTCGCGGGCGCCAGAGGAGTTGCTTGAACTTCTCAGTGGGGTGTTCGGCTAATGTTGTACCGGAGAAGGTGTGAATATTATAGCCGTTTTCAAGCTATTTATAGGTTAGCTATGGCCTTCATCGAGATGAAGTAAAAAATGTTTTGCGTCAGCGTATACATACCGAGTGTGTCCAGACAGAGGCGCTGGAGACAACGTATCGACCAGTTGGGTCCCAGTCAACATCAGTCACACCAAAGTGGTCGACAGTCTTCATGAGCTGTAGATTGGCCGAAAGATCTTTCTCACTCTCTGGCTTCTCACCCTCAAAGTCCAAATCCCAGAAATCAAGGTCAAAGTTCTGCTGTGAATGCACGGTAGCGACGACAACGAATCGGCCCTTGGGAGACCAGTAGATTCCATTGCTCGTCTTCTTCTCAATGGTGCGGATGAGTTTGAAGTTACCGATAGCGCCACCTTTCACCTTCTCGGGGCAAAAGAAAGAAACGGCAGTCTTTGGAGCAACAGCAGAGCCCGCGATGGCCTCGCCAGTTGTGATGAGGACAAATCGATCACCCTTGGGTTCCCAAGCAAAATTTATGACAGTGTCCTTTAGTGAGTCAACAACCTCGACTGGCACGCCCTTTTCTTTCACTCGGAAGATTTCCAAATTAGTAGCCATGGATTTCTTGGACTTGGAGTGCCTGTCAACCTTGACGCAAACGTAGGCACCCTGGGATTGCCAGTGTAGCTTCACATCGGAGACATTGAAAAGATTTCGTGTACGAACGATCTCCTTTGAGGGTATGCTCATCAAACCAACCTTGGCAGGGTTGCTTCCAATTTCAGGAGTCCAAAAGCTGAAAAGCTGCTCATAGCGTTTGACACCTTCCCTTTGTACAGTAGCAGGGGACCATTCGAAATCCATAACACCTTCAATCTTGACTACGGTCTTGTCAAGAAGGTTCATACGAGGTAGCTCGTAGACAGATATGGACTGGTGCTGAAGCATACGAGCAACATATTTCTCATCCGCTGACCATTTAAATGCAGGCCACTGTACTTTCTTCTTTTGAGCAGCAGCATCATCGGCGCCGGCAGGGGCAGTTAGGTCATGGCTGACGAAGGATCGGAGAGGCTTTCCGGTGGTAATATTCCAAATGATTATATTCTTGCCGTCTTCATCATACGACAAAACACCAGGTGCTCCCTCTATTTGTATCGGGCGGCTAGACCATGTGGTAAGGTAGTTTTCCCGGGGCGAGAACTCCACAAGCTGGACGAAAGGATGAGGGAACTGTTTTTGTTTGCTGAATTGGGGACCTCCCCAGAGTTGAATACCTTGTGGATGTACGGAAGCAAGGTATGTACCCATGGGAGACCACTGTACAAAAAGCTGGGTCCAGTGATCCCGGTCGACAACATTCTCTGGAGGGTCCTTCTTCATATTCCAAAACACACCGACTTTGTCACCGCGGTACATTGCGAACTGATCGCGGGCATTGGGGTCGCCCAGCCATGATCGAAGGTGCTCTTTTTCCTGGAACGGTTCGATCTTGGGAGGTTTGTATTCATCGTCTATCCGGCCTTCACGTCCATACCGGTCTATATCAGTGAGCTTGTTGACTGCCAGGGTGTGCTTCTTATCCAGAGGGGTTCCATGAAGACTCTTTATGGCAGCAAAGGCTTCCTCGGGGGTGTCATATTCAACAAAAGCGAAACTGTAAGCAAGGGAAAAATAACCCAAATTAGCCATGTACCATACAACCTTCCCCTTGTTCAGCCCATACAACAAGCCTTACCCTTCGGACATTCCATTCTCATTCATGGGTAGGAAAATCTGGCGGTTCGGGTCGATGTTGCTCGATGAGGGGCCATCCTTCTTTATTTTCTTTAATAAAAACTTAATCAACTTCGCCTTATTATCTTCAGAGACGATTGGGAGTCCATCGAAAACGACGAAGGTATCGAGTCCTTCTTCCAGTCGGACTTCGAATTCAGCCTTTAAATCTGCACACAAACAACAGCTGTTAGTTCAGCTTCTTCAACTAGGTTCTTTTTTGGAGTGGGATGTGTGCGGGCATGCCTGAGAAATCGATCTCGACTTCATCCTGCTGGAGGTCCTGCTCGGTCAAGGTATCGAACGTCGACATTGTGGTGATCTCGCGTCTCGCAAGCGGCGGCGGGATAAGTTGACAGGCAAAGCAAAGCGACGACGAAGTTCGTGGTGGAGGAAGAAATCTGATATTTTTATGTGGACGAAAAAAAGTTGCAAAAGAACGTTGTGTGGGCCATTCCACATCGGGATTAGCGCAGCACGGTACAAGTTCCAGGTCGATGCAGTCGACTCGCGGCATGTAAAGAGCCAGCAACACAGACAGACGGCGACGACGAGGACATTGACGAAGACGATAGATAGTACGGAGTAGAGAAGCTGGAGATGGAGAGCAAATTCGAAGGACGGTAGCAACGTTGGGACTAAGGAGAAGTTGTTCTGTTTCATTGAGGTTACCGCAAACTCCGAGCTAGTTACAAGATATCTCCTATAGAATGCACCACTGACGCCCAGTTCAAAAGATAGATGGATGGTGGGGAATAAGGGGAGGACAAGAAAAGAGACAGAAATTTCGCAGAATTCGGATAAGTCATCGCTAGACTGCTGATGCGAGCAATAACAAAAGAAAAGGGGAGAAGAGGAGAGAGCAGAAGGGAGAGGAGGGAACAAGCAGACCTCCAGGGGAAGTACATGGTCGTTATCATAAATGGTTATAACGCTGGGAGGGCAGATGTAACGGGGATAGTAAAATTATGGGACCGACAAATCATTCCTCCGGGTCATAGAGATTTTGATTGAGTACCTTTGTCATGGTAAACATGTGTATGCGATCCTGTTTGAAAACGGGGCGCATGAGGTCGTCGCATCGGATCTGGCGACGGTCATTTGGATCCTGAAGCTCATGTTCACGGATGTACTCCCAGACCTTTTTCACCGTCTGAGGTCTCGACAGCTATGCGCCCACATTAGTATCGGGAGAGTTAAACAACAGCACGAAAAGAGATATAAGTGCTCACAGTCACTTCGCCTCCAAGTAAAGCGGATAGCGCAGGTGAGAGCGCTAGTGGTTTCTGTAGTCAAGATTGTCAATAGCAGCCCTGGATACATGGGTTTGACGACATGGTACGAAGTTGCATACATGAAAACCGCCCGTGCGATTCACTTCCTTTTTATTTTCCGCACCAGAACCATCTACGTCTGAATCATCGGACGCTTTCACTTTTTTCGCAGTTTTGGAGGTGTTCTTTCGTTTCTTCTTGACTACTCCGGTCTTCCTTGAGTTGGCGCCACGTGTTGTCCGGGCACGTAGATTCTCCTCTGCCTGTAATTTCGCTGCATAGGCAGCGTCCGAGTCTACCACGTCGTCTTTTCGCTTCTTTACTGGAGGAGGCGAGGAATCAGTTACATCTGGTATGCCTTCCGGGTCCGCGCTGCGCTTCTGCGGCGGCGAAGGCAGGGAGTTACCGTTAGCAACGGGTACGGAGGAGGTGACGGGCTGCGGTTGGACTGCGACGGCGTTGGACTGCTCGGCAAACATGTCGAAACGCTCCATGATCAGTTCCTTGAGGGTAGCCTATGTAGCTGTCAATACCAGCTTGCTAGTTTGGCAGTAATACAGGGAAAGATAGGGGCCCTGGAATCTAGGGTAACCACCGACCTTATAAGGTGTTAGGTCATGGCCGGTAGTTTCCTGCAAGCCCCTGCGAATTCGCTTTTCTGATATGGTTGTAAGATCGCTGCTAGCCAGAATAGAATCAATTATGGTAGCATAAGAAGCTTTCACATCGGGTGACACTATATTTATGGAACCAGGGTGAAAGTTGTTAGCTCGTAATCAATCCTTTCAACGGCAATAAGGTGAGAGAAAGAGCTCTCACATTCCATGTTGACAATGCTCAATGAGAGACACTGCGCAGTAGCAAAGAAAAACAAGACAGGCAGAGTATCTATGAAAGTATATGGACAAAGCTAAGCGACGTAAGTAAGCGCTGTTGTATGCAAAAGAACAGGATGAAGGCGGACTTTAGAGCAGAACCAGGAGGATGGGAGAATGATGTAGTTGACCGGATGAAGCAGCCGGAGAAGCCTTTATTTAGCGCGGCTGGCGGGGCGAAAAGACGCGAGATGCGCTGCATTAGCCGCCACGGATCTAATAATAGCGCGCCATCCGGACGGGAGCATCAGACAAGATGCACGTCGGCGGCTAGGTGCAGCCTCATATATCCAATAGATGGATATCTGATGAGTAAACGCAAAATATATAAAACAGGAAAAAATAAAATATATGTACAGCTTAGGTTACGTGGCTATCATGCTAGGAACTCGCCGTCGGCAAGAACATTCCACGGCAGGCCTACCCGCCAGGACTTTTGCATGAGCTTTCTTGCTCCTCGTATCTATAGTTAGAGGCAGTTAGAAGCGCTGAGTGATGAGTAGTAAGTTCACCAGGACTCACCTGTTTCATGCCAACGCTCTCAAATCCCTGGACGCGCTCGCTCACTTGCTGTCGCTGGTCCTCATTTTGGCTCTCGCACCCAGCAGTGAACAGCGGGAACAGTATGCACACTTCTTCTTGTCCGCCACGAGAAACTTGATCTAGAGAGTCGAAGAGTGCATCTACTAAATCTATAACGATGGGGTCTGAGGTTTCACGACCCAACACCCTTCGATGGAGGTGGATCATCCCGGCAAGTCGATACGCCTCGTCCATTGCAGCCATGCCATGATCTACCGGCTTCCCATGGTGTGTCATGGGCGTCGACCTACGTTCAGGACCTGCGTCTTCCATGTCTTGAAGCAGCCGTTCAGCTTTCGCTAGCACAGATGCGGGTGGGTTCCAGCTTGTGAAGAGTCGTCCGGCTGGATCTACTCGTACGTTGTCGCATTGATGCGTCAGTGCACTTAGCCGCGCTAGTAATGAACAACATCGGGGAGTAAAACCAGTAAAGCAGTCTACCTCAAACTCCTGGTCAATGGCTTTCTTTGGATATTCCGTTGCGGTATCAAGGGGCCAATATGTGCCGTTAAATAACGGCGCTTCAGCGCGTCTAGATGAAAGACTACCGAAGAGGTCAAGATATACAAGCCAGCGATGCAGAAACGTATTTACCTTCCCAGTGAAATGCTCCGGGTCGGTCTTTTGACGTGTTAAAAATATCTCCCGAGCCGTCATCAAGTGGGTCTCCCACCGGATGGGGACTTCAAATGTGCTAGGCGATATAACTTTCAGGGAGACAAGCATGATCGCCGTAGCTAATGTGGCAGCAGAGGTCCTTCTTTGCGGATCACCAAGTGCGTGGCGGAGTGATGGGAAAACGCCGCTAGTCCATCGGGCTATTCGTGTATACGGTTCTGCATGGCCCAAAAGTCGTGATCTATGGCTCGCTGAGTACGCCAGCAAGAGGTTTAGAATATTCTCGTCTTCAATTGCCACTGCATATGCTTATTAGTGCTGCCATTTTGTAAGAAAATAAAATGTATGAAAGAAACTAAGCATACTTGCAGGTAGGACCGTAGCGAACGGATTTAAATAGCAGTCGTGAGGCACCAGAATCCGCGCTGTATGATTTATGAAATGGTGAAAGTACAGCATGTTTATTGGGCTTTCAAGTAAGGTGGGTGGTAATGGGGATAATAAGCGTGGTATAAGTATAGGGACGGGTTTGGCATAATAGCCTCCTTTAGAAAAGACAGTAGTCACGCTTCGATAAACTCCGGCGGATATATCCTCTTGTGAAGAGGATGGTGTAGCCGTACTGCTAGAAGCTTTCTGATATTGAATGGCTTTGAGGTTGTTTATACCACCCGTGGATGTATCACGCAAACTAGCTAAAAGTTCAGCATCTCTATGCACGTCTAGATCGGGTTGACCACAGTCTAATCCATAACTTCTTCCATCGCGTGGGTCCGGCCCGGAAGGTATTGATAGCAAAGAGCTGACCGAAACACGATGCATGTCTGCAGGCGTGTTTACACAACTTGTGTTTGAAGCTAATGGAAACTGCAGTAATGTATCCTCCGCCATGCAAGACGCTAGAGACTCTCTAATGGCCAGTTCAGAAGCACGAAATATGCCAGTATTATTAGCTGTGGGTATATAGTTGGTATGAGCCGTCGTTGATAAATGTTGAGGGTCAACATGCTGGACAAGGGTAGAGGAACTGGGTGAGGTAACTTCACAACTCTCCCCAGCAGTGATTTTCTGATGATGTGACGGAGAGGTAGACTGCCCTGATGAAGCATACGAACTAGATTTTGGTGTGTACGGCAGCCATGCTAGGTCCACTGATGTTCTAGGTAGGCAAGCACTTAGCCCCGATAGTGGCTGACTATCATTAACTGGGATGATAGGGCTACCAAATGGTTCTGAAAGGACCTCGCCATGATCTGACTGCTGTTTAGTATCCAAATGTGGTCCTAGATATTGCTGTAGAGGCATGAATACGTGCTTTACAGAGGAAGCTGGGGAGCCACTTGCCCCATCCCTTGCTAAGTTGGGAGTGGCCGGTGATAATGGTGATGGTATCGACTCGCTATTAAGTCCAGTATCTTCTGCAGCGGCTCGCTTCCTTGCACGGCCTTCCCAGTTTAACCGAATGCTATAATCGCACTTGTCACCTTGCCTTTTGCAATTGATACAAGATGGTTTTTCTTCACCACTTTATTGCATGTAATCAGCATTCAAGTTTATATATGGCTGCCTGATACAATAAGAGTCGATTTGTATGCTAGGCTTCCATGAAACAAGTCTGAACTTACCACTTAACCTTTCGAGATTTGCATGGCCTATTATCTAGATAATTAGACTACAACTTGAGTTTGACGATATAAACTAGATGTAGAGAGTGACATACCAACAGCCTTTCCTACTTCTCCTCTTGGGCTCCGGAGCACCTGGCTTCTTCGGGCGAGGCATCTCCCTTTATTTGTTTGCTTTTTCCCCTTTATATTCCTCAATCGATGTAATCAATCCGGATGTTTCAGTTTGAATGTTAACTTTCTTATCTTCGTGCCTATACCATCAATTCCATGGAGACTTGCCCGTCCGCCTAACATAAGGAGAAGAGCACAGTACTAGATGCATCATTGCCTAGCCTGGCATCGTGAGGGTAGTTGAGCAGTGGTATATGTAATAACGAAACAAATCATTATTGTCATGAGGGACTTCAGCCGCCCCAAGGCTGTTATTTTTTTTTTCCAGCTTCTCCTAGCCCTGGGATTCGGGGTACAAAGGAGGGGGTGCCTGGCGCAGGAAGTAAAGGAGTTACCAAGGCAGCTGATGTGCCTTTTTCAGCCATAAAAGAGCAGGAACTTGGTGTTCGGTGAATATATGTGGACTGAAAAGCCTGTCACCGTCCAAATGGCACAGCCTGGTGTCAATCGATGGCTTGGATCCTTTTCGTATCCAGCTTCCGTCTTTGTCACGGTTTCCCGTCAACCCTTGCTTTTTATATCACGTGATAAATTAGGCCCACCGAGTGGGGAGCCAACCGAAAAGACTATTAGTAATCAAAGTCCTGTCAAACTATTCGCTCCGCAAAGAATATAATATAAGTGCTCTAATTTTCGACTGGTTGCCTAAGATATAGTGGAATGATTTATAAAAGGTCACCACCCAGCTTATAGTCTAGGAGGAAATGCCGTTTGCTTAGTAATCGATGTATATTCCCCGGGCCTATATTTCTCCAGATACATATCATGTGACTTTAACGCCGGGGCCGCTTAGCTCAGCAAAAATCTTGGCAAGACGAAATGCTGCTTTTGGGCAAAAAGACGTCGAGAACTTTGCGAGCATCAACTTCACCACCAGTTTGAAGCATCACACAGCCATGAATACGCCAGTCCGCACGGCTGTCCTAGGTGGCAGGCTTTCAAATGCTTGGTCGCCCTTGGCCACCGGCGCAAGCGCCCCATTTTCAATGACAAGCTACCAGCATCAACCATGCCGCCGGTCAGCACCGCAATCATCACTCAAGCAACAGCCCATGCGAGCTTCAAGCTACACTACAACACGCAGATCTCCAATGCATCCAGCAAATTCGTTCTCAAACACATGCAGAGGAAACTATAGCTCATCGTCTGCCAACAGCCCTACCCTCCTATCAACTATCCGAAGCTCACAGTCTTGCCCCGAATCACGACGAAATTCTTCCACATCTACTCAAGCTGCCTCGTCCAGTAGCCATCCCACCGGCACTTCCAATACCCCAGTGAAGCTTGACTGGAACACCTTTTTCCAGCTCCGTGCCTCCCGCCGGAAGTACTCTCTAATTTCTTCCGTTCTTGCTGCATTCACAACCACTGCGGCTGGGGGCCAGATTCTAGCTACGCAAAATCTGGAGAGTTTAGGTGCACAAATTATGGGCTTCGACCCATTGATCGTACTTGGCCTGGCGACCGCTGCCTCGGGCGCATTGGGCTGGTTGGCTGGTCCATTCTTGGGTAATGGCCTTTGGGGACTAGTTTACCGGAAGTATAAGAGTGCAGTTGCTATTGTATGTACCGATACTCTCTTTCCGTGAAACCATTCCTTTACATTGATTTGGCTAATCAATAAAATAGAAAGAGAAAGAGTTCTACGACAGAATAAAACGCTTCCGCGTTGACCCCTCCGCCAATTCGTTTGCTAACCCTGTGCCTGACTACTACGGGGAGAAGATCGGCAGCGTCCAGGGATACCGACAGTGGCTCAAAGACCAACGAGCGTACAACCGGAAAAAGCGAAGATTTGTTTAGGCCACTGGGCTGGTTATAACCTATATGTGCTGTCATTGATTATGATTTGGCTCAATATCTCCCTTATAGGCACCAATTATGATTTTTTATTTACCTTCACACATGTATTTGAGCCTTTGCAGGCCCCATTGTTCCACCCGGGTTCCGGGAAGAGTGGACAAAATCTGTATAATCTTTAAATATCGGCCAATTCCCTGCTCCGCATTCATTGTACCAGGATAATTCCATTCTTTTACAAGCTACAGGCGCCTTATCACACTCCTTGATAGAAACGAGCTTGATAGTTGTCTATTTGACTGTACTTGTTTAAACGCAACTCTCCCCATGCATCGCCCTCCATTATTATTCTTCCCTGAAAAATGATTTTTTTTTCTTTCTTCCTGCCTTATATCTAAGGGTCGGCACACCCAATGCTGCACCCATCCTCTGATTCCTCGTCCTCCCTGGTGCCGGGAAGAGGTCGGGCACACGGGTCCGGAGAAAATCCAACAGTACATTCCCTCAAGAGAGATCTAAGAATTCCATAGGCAGCATCAGCAGCTCGAATTGAGCTGAACTGGACTTTGACCTCAGTTTCGTCAGCATTCTCAGTCATTCTGTCTCCCATCTCAAAGTCAAGGCGCATTTTGTTTTTAAGATTCTTTGCTATGTAGCTGTAGCGTTTGGGGTCCCGGTCTCCTCGAATCACCAAGCAACGGGAATAGAGCTGATCTATGATGTTTTGATGCATGGTCTTAGGGATTGGGTATGTAGGAGTCTTGGAGAGGTAGACATCAACTCTGGCATCATTGAAGTATACGCCGTGATTGGTCGCAAAGTTGACGTAGGCAGAAGCATCCTTGCCTCGAACAAAGGACACAACTCCCATGTGGTACCCTGCATACTCCTGCATGTTCATGATATGCGCTGAGTACACAGCCCCTCCTCGGATAGCAGAGAGCAATGTCCTCATATCCACATCCAAGGGGAGCTTAGTGAGGAAGACAGTGCGATAGGCATCTTTATCATCAAACCGGGGGGTATAAACTAGGCCATGAGAAATGAGTTCTGAACGAGACCCGAATCCTGAAAACCTTCCTTCCAACTTGCTGAAATCAGTATTTGCCAGCGTATCAGTCCAAGAGATATAACCGTCCCAGGGCAAAGCTTTTGCAGGCGTAGGAGGAGAGGAGCTCGAGGTGAAGAACTACAGACATCGTTAATAACAGAGTGCAATTCCAGTGCTGAAGATGCCACATACCTCATCGTCATCAGAATCAGTATTATCCAAGCTGTTGCCCCTTCCACGATGGTGAATAAGGTCATCCACCGAGCCTACTCCATCCACCAATGTCTCGTTGAGGTCGAAGGATGACTTGATGGTAACAGGAGTCAGAGGCGTAACTGCGTTCTCCTTGGTGCTCCCCATGCTACCCATACTACTGAGACACGACTCGAAGGCATCCAAGTCATCGAGAAGGTAAGGAGAGCTCGCATCATTAGCGCGAACTGCAGTGGTTTCGCCATTAGAGCCGTCAAAGAGACTTGACTTCCACATCATGGCTGCTCTTTGTACAGAGATTCACTGCTCTGGGGAGATCTGAGCCAAACAAGAAGGCGATAGCAAACTAAGACCCAGGATATTTGAAGTATTTGCAAGGTCTCAGCGAGTAAAGCAGCCGAAGAAGGTTGATGGTGGGAGGAAGGAAGGAGAAGAAAGAGGTGAAGCTCAAGTCAAGCACAGAGAGAGAGAATAAAAGGGAGGCGGGCAGTCAAACAACACTGAAAGGTGAGAAGCCCCCAGCCTCTTCTTTTTTTGGTACTATATAGACGAAGCTACTATGCTTGAATTCTTCTTCTCTCGTTTGAAATATAGTAGGAGCTGGAAAGTAAAAGAAAAGTCAGGCTGTGGTTGCTCTGGGTGATGTCAAATGGGAGGCGCAATGGTATATAAATTGAAAGATCAGAAGGATATCTGCCAGATGCCAAATCAGAATTCAAAGGGCCATATGGTATGAAAATATGGTAAACATGCTTTCGTCTAGTCTTTTTAACATGATAAAGGGTATGCTTGAGTGCCATTCAGGGTGCCCTGGTATACATATTCACAATTCGCTGGCTCTTTTTCGGGCCTTCGACCACATGGCTACTTGCCCAGTTATGTATACAGCCGAAGCAGCCTTTTGAAACTCGAAAGGCATAAGTGGTCTCGTAGTTGTCCTTGATGCAGAGATGGCTTCCACGGGCAAAAAGGACCGCGGTCTCTCCTTCGTCTGAGGCGGTTGCTGGCGGGACCAGGTCTGTCACCTCGAGGTCACCCTTTTCCCCTTCATCTTCATCCATAAACCGTAGTTGATGAAAGATATAGTCCGGCAGGTCCTCAGTCTGACCATCTTGTGCGCTTTCTTTGCTGGATTCCATGTTGACCTTGACGAACCATACGCTCAGGCTGGAATCTGATAGCCGCCACATATATCTGCGTGACCATTTCATCCTCGTCGAGTTACGGCCTGATGGGTCTCGCATCTCTCCTTGCTCCTCATATACAAGGTCATTTGGGATGCCGGACCTTCCATTGCAAGCTGGTTTGAACGTTGCCGTCCCCTTGAGTTCCCCTTGCATGTCCCGATGGTTATCGCTTTTGAGCCTGCGAGTGAGATTCCATGGTCGAGAGTCGGTGGAAAGGGCCTTGAATATGCCGGATGCTAAGCAGTGACTTGAGCTCATACTATCTGGCCCTTCTCTCACCTACTCCAGCTGGGGGTTGCGGAAATTTGGAGAGCCTTACGCGGGACTTGGATCTCGGTGAAAAGCTGAAGCCTGCTCAAAGTGCTGGCGATGTTGAGGATTTAACGTTAATATCATACGACCGATAGTATTTTTATCTACATGCATACGACGAGGTGATATTAAGTGGATGCATTAGTTTCAACCGCTAGAGGTTTAACCGCTGCCTATTCATTTCAGGCAGGTGTGTGTATTCTATGGAAGTAAAATTTTAACCACATTGGACTCGAGAAGTAACTTTTCCATTCCTATGGCCGCTCAGTGACGGTCTCTCCTGCGAGGAGCGCTGCGAATAATGTTGTCAACCCGTAAAAGTAGCTAAAGAGAGATCTCAGTTAGAAATGAACAAGAAAATATTAGCTACGGCAGAGGATGGGTTTTAACTAACCTCAGCAGCTTCAGAAGCCGACGAGACAACGGCGTGCTTGAGTTTGTAACTCTCCACGACACCAAGTTCGCGCATGTTGGCAATACCTCCCCCAGGGGTGAGAAGGTCTAAACCGGAGCTGGTCAGGCCCTTGTTGATGGCTTGTCGAAGTCTTGTGACAAGATCGCTCGAGTCAAGACCGGCGTTGTCGGCAAGGATAATGGGTAGTTGTTTTAGAGCCTGTGCGAAAGCGTCCACTGCTAGCTGCTTCTTTCCGGTGGTGTTTTGAGCAGCATGTTCAACTGCCTTGGCCATAACCATTTCGGCGCATCCTCCACCCAGGGTAACCTTGGGTTCTTTGACAGTCTGGGACAGAACGGCAAGGGCGTCGTGTAGAGACCGGTCAGCTTCGTCCAGGAGTTGTCCAGTGGCTCCACGAAGAACGATGGTGCAAGCCTGGCCAGCAGCAACACCAGAGAATTTAATAAGGGTATCTTCTCCAATGATTACTTCTTCGATCAAATCACAGTGACCGAGCTTGACTTGGTCAGGATGGTCAAAGGTGGAGGCGATTTCACCTCCAGTGACCAAAGCGAGACGCTCAATGCCGTCGAAATCAGCATGCTCGATAGAGACGATGCCAGCGTCCGTGAAGAGCTGCTCGGGCCAGTTGTAGATAAGCTGACGGTTGACAAAGCAGTTAATCCCGTGGGCCTTGATTCTCTCGACCTTTGCCCGCATCTTCTCCTTCTCCGCTTTTTCAAGGTCGGCCAATTTTCCTGTCGAGTCTACCTTGACTCTAGCACCAAAGATCTTGACTTTGTCGGTATCCATACCGGTATTTGCGACCAGTATCTTTGCCTTTTCAAGCCTCTTGGGCTGATTCACTCCAATGCTCTTATCCAAAATGAATCCTTCATCGAGGTACGAATCAGAGAGCTTTCCGCCGGCCTTTTTAATTATCTGTATATGACTGAGATCAGTAGACCCTTTTAACCTCAACACTGCATCACAGGCAAGATTGGCAAACTGGTCTCGATCCTGGCTTAAAACTTTGGAGCTCAGTGTGGTCCGCGCAATAGCATGGAGGTCTTTTCGGAACGCAACAGGGTCGGCACTATTGTCAACCGCGCTCGCTTCCAAGGCTTCTAGGGCAGCACGGCTCGCTATTCGGTATCCATCAATGATAACCTGAGGATGAATTTTTTTTTCAACAAGTTTCTCAGCTTCCCGTAGCAGTTCTGCAGCCAGGACTGTGACCGATGTTGTTCCGTCCCCCACCACATCATCCTGGACTTTGGATATATTGACTAAAACTTTGGCAGCGGCATTATCAAGCGCAATAGCCTTGAGAATAGTAGCTCCATCGTTTGTCACCATGATCTCTCCTGTTGAGCTGTGATATAAATTAGCACCTCCTAATTCTCGCTGCGCCCCTTAAGAGCTCTGCCTAATTTTCAACTCACGCAGATTGCAAGATCTTGTCCATGCCCTTTGGACCTAAAGTGCTTTTAACCAAGTCTCCAACGGCAATGGCACCCACGAAGGCTGACAATCGCGCATTTTCGCCCTTTTCCTCGGTGACATCCTCCCCAAAGATCTGTGTCGGGTTATTAAAAGAATTCGCCTGGGTGGGGTTAGCATAGAGTAGGCAATATACCGGGAAACTGGGTGTGTCCATACCATGGCAGTAGTTGGACGACAATATCTTCGCTAGTGCAAGGGCAAATAGGGTCTCCAGCAAGGTTGAGGGGCGTAACGGAGCTGGTTGGTTTTCTACAACTGCTTGTGCCTCCAAAATATTATATTTCTTAGTTATCAGGCGATAAGCCCTCGTCCATTGTGGATATCACGTGATGTTAAAGCTACCTATTTTTCTCAGCCTCAAGGTCGAGATAGTTTTATGCTTCATACAACATAGGAAAGAAAGAGGGCAATCAAGGCCGATTTATTTGGGGAGCTGGGAGTTGGTGGCTAAAGCTAGAGATATGTCTGAAGCTGCAGGATCATCGGAGAAAGCGGTCAATGTGAGGCTACACTCGCAGGTGGAAGAAGACGAACGTGAAGGTCAGTTTCACTTGCTAACCATAGTACCTCCAGGAATTAATATTGACTTGATAATATCTAGCTGACAATTCGTCCTCTGACGATGACTACGGCCCTGCTCTTCCTTCCGGTCCATTGAAGAAGAAAAAGCGGAGAGAACTGCCCTATGAGAAACTCTATATCAAGGCCCTTCCAGCTTCTCCACGATACTCTAAATCGTTGATGCACCGGGATCAACTTGCGTATGTGACTGTGACACCACATACTGATTTCATCATCACAAGCTCAATAGATGGCGTGGTCAAGTTTTGGAAGAAAATGGCTGTTGGTATGGAGTTTGTGAAGGAGTTTCGTGCCCACATGGGGGAGATCAAGGGGGTCAGCGTGACATCAGATGGACGAAGTTTTGCAACCATTGGGGATGACAAAACTATGAAAGTATTTGATGTGATAACATTCGGTATAGAATCATCTTCTTCATTTGCAAGATACTCTTGGCTAACCGGGAAATGTAGACCTTCTAGCAGTCCTAAACCTTGAGTTTGTTCCTAGTTGCGTATGTTGGGTACACCAACGAGGAGCGTCTTTGCCTTTGTTAGCGGTGACAAGCGAGGAAGATAATACCATATTAATATTCGACGGCCGATGTGAGAAGACAGCACCTCTTCACAAACTGAACTCAGTACACAGAGCGCCCGTTATTTCCATGGCCTTTAACAATGCATTCAATTGCGTGATATCTGTTGATAATAAAGGAATGGTAGAATACTGGCGTCCAGATGAACCATTTGACAAACCAGAAGGCGTTTTCGATTTGAAATCATCAACAGACCTCTTCATCTTCAAAAAATCAAAATCGTTGCCATCATCGATCTCAATATCTCCATCGGGTCATCAATTTGCAACATTCTCGTTCCCGGACAGGCAAGTTCGAGTCTTCGATTTTGCTTCCGGAAAGTTATACCGATCGTACGATGAGTCCATTCAGACTGTGACAGAGATGCAGCAGGCGGGAACTGCTCTTCAAAAACTAGAGGAAGTCGAGTTTGGTCGTCGATTGGCTACAGAACGCGAACTTGGGAACCCTGCCACAGCCCCCAAGGTAAATGTGATATTCGATGAGTCTGGGCATTTTATATTATATGGTTCAATCCTGGGCGTAAAATGTATAAATACATTTACGAACAGGGTCATCAGGGTGTTTGGAAAAGACGAGCCTTTCCGAGCCCTGAACCTCGGAATATATCAAGGCCAGCCGCAGAAGAAAGGAGTTGTGACTGTTTCTATGGCGGCTAGTTCAAATCCACTTCTTCAAGAAGCTGAAGAGCGCGACCCGATCCTAATAACCACCGGGTTTGCCAAGGTCAGGTTCTATCTCTATACCAACGAAACAGAAATATCAAAAACAACGCGAGATATCCAGAACGAGAAGCCGATACATGACAAAGGCGGTGCAGACTCGGCCGCGGCCGCAAAGCCTGCGGAAACAGGAACGTCCGCAATTTTACACACCACCCTTGGAGATGTCCATCTTCGACTTTTCCCTTCTGTTGCTCCAAAGACAGTCGAAAATTTCGTGACCCATTCGAGGAATGGGTACTATAACAACACCATATTCCACCGTGTCATTCGCAAGTTTATGATACAAGCTGGTGATCCTCTTGGGGACGGCACTGGAGGAGAATCCATCTGGGGAGGGGAGTTCGAAGATGAATTTTCATCTCTCAAGCATGACAAGCCATATACACTTTCCATGGCCAATGCAGGGCCAAACACCAATGCAAGCCAGTTTTTTATCACAACGGAGAAGGCACCTTGGTTGGATGGGCATCATACCATTTTCGGTCGGGCGGTCAAGGGCATGGACGTGATACATAAGATCGAGAACGTTAAGACACATAAGGAGAAACCTGAAGAGGATGTAAAGATAGTCAGCATTAGTATCAGCTAGATGCCACAATTTCATTAGTTCTTGTAACATTAAACGAAACGTATGGAAGATTTGGACTGAACAAAACAAGTCTTCAAAGGCCGTTATTTATTAAGAGAAATAACTGTATTTCACATTTCATCAATTCATTTCAGGAAACCACAGGCCAAACTACAAGTACATTCCAAGTCAAATCCATATATAATTCCCGAGAGAAGAATAGGGTATAGCTGCGCTATTCATGGCGGAGTGAAGTATCGTTTGAATCTCTCTAAGTCAACCAAACCGAGTTTTCTAATGACCCAGTGGCAGTTGATTAGCAATCCTGGGAACCGAACCGTCCAAAAGTTCAAGTATCCATCTGGAAGGCCGCCGATATGAGCTTTGAGATGTTCCGACATGTCGTTATAGTGGTTACGCTTATTCCGTAGTGCACGCAGTAGATCAAGCATCTTCGAGCCGGTATATTTGCGTTGCTTGCCCAGACTGTCTTTGAATTCCTTGGGTAACAACTTTAGGAAATCCATGTCCGGGTACATGACATTTTCAGCAACGGATTCAAGGCATTGCAAAGCTGGTGAGGGCGGGTCTCTTGGCTCGAACTCGAAATGATCTGATACATCGCAGAGGAAACTGAGCCGTTCAGCCAGGGACCAGAAAAAGGGGTGAATTAAGACTGAAGTGGCGTCAGGCCTGGGCAGTGAATGTTAGCAGGGTATACCTGTTTGGATTATCGTTGGATGAAAGGGTAATTTACCTTAGACGCGGATCTACAGATAACATGCGACTGATCAGATCTTCTGCCTCGAAAGCGTAGTTTCCGAGACGTTGGAGTTCGTCGAGGTTGTAATGGCCTTTGACAATGTTGGCTTCACGCATAAATTTGCCATCTTTATCAAATGGATGACATCCGTGAGTGAGGACATAATAGAACACGCAGCCAAGGGAGAAGATATCAATGGCTCTTGTGGCCCTACGATTAGTCTGCGGATCAACCACAGCCGGCTCAGAGGAGTCCAAAGTGCCATTATTAGCCCACGAAGCTGGGTTGACATTAGATTGATCCTCATCGACAAGCAGCTCAGGGGCACGCCAGCCAGATGTTCCTGCAGCATGTGCCGTTGTGGCCCTAAAGGAGCTTTGGTTGTCTTCGAGTTTCTTGCAGAGACCAAAGTCAGATATAAGGAGGCGTAAATTGTTCACTCCTCGCGCGGATTTCTGAGCAGCAACAAGGATATTTTGGGGCTTCAGGTCTCGATGGACAATCTTGAGTGAATGGAGATAGCGAACACCAGCCGTGATCTGGCGGAGGATGTCTGGTAGGACTAAACCGTGCTGAAGGAGCTCGGGGAAGTTATGGGGTCGCTCAACAATATCCTGTAACGATGCAGGGCACAGCTCCAAGGCAATGTAAAGGAAACCTGCGGTTTGTTCCCTGCAAAAGTAACGAATGACATTGCTATGATCATCACTTTCCTGAAGCAGGCCTACCTCATGGGCAGCAATATCGTAAAATTCGACTAGCAGACGTTTAACGGCGACGTTTCTGCCATCAAAGCTGCCCTTGTAGACAACTGTACCATGGCTACCGTGTCCCAATACCTTGTCGGTGTATACTTTCAGCTGGCCAATGCGAATGGCTCCGTCGGCGTCGATAACCTCAGTGTTAGATGGGGTGCGAGCTAGCTGTAGATCAGACAGCGAATTGAGCCTAGCACCCTGGGATCCCCCAGATTGGCTGGGAGGGTTATCCGGATCGGCGCTTTCCTGGGTGTTCTTCTTGCCACGCTTATGTGCCTGACCACCTCTTCTCCCGCGACGGGCTTTCTTTCGTGGCGTCTTTGCAGTGGGATCTTCTGCTTCAGCAGGTTCGTCCGCAGTTGGCGTCTGAGACTCCTTAGAAGGCGTTTCTTGATTTGACTCTGAAGTCAGTAGGTTGGAGGACTTTGAATCGGCTGGTGCTGGTTCAACTCTGGATTCTGTGAGCGTTTCATCTGTCTCTTTTGGCTCTTCCTGCTCAGGTGGTGGATGGATGACAAGGGTAGGATATTCAGTCTGTTCATCCGCGGATTTCTGCTCAATTGTCTTGGAGCTTGTTGTGACCGAATTGTCGGGTATAGATATAATATTCTTCAGGTCAAGACGGTGCTTCATCAGCTCCTGAATATTCTGGGTATTGTAATAAATAAAAGTGCCAATGAATAGCAGAACGAGAGTGACGAATATATCTAATGCATTGTCCCAGCCCTTGCGAATGATGACGCTGTTCCTGCCTGGGCCAGCCGGGGCAGGGAGCTTTTCCGGCTCTCGCGAGATGTCCTTGGGAGTGTCATTGGAGGATTCTGCGGGAGGACCAGAAATGCTGGGAATATTGGGATGAAAGCGGTCTGATGGCTCAGTGAGAGAATGTACGCCGACAAGGACGGCTTTCTGTTGTGCGAGATCAAGAGAGGTGATTGGTCTGTCCTGAGACAAGAAATCCCTACCGTAGCAATCTGCTATACGTGCTCGACCAGTGACAAGCGGGTAAGTAAGCTCGGACATGGCGTACCAGCCACCTGTTTCCGTGCAATTTATAAAAACGCGAGACTCCCTATTATCAAGACCCGCCGATCCGTAGTCGTTGGTGGATGGAGGCTGCGCAAGGATAGCCAGTGGCGTGTCAGGCTCATCGGAAGACATGGGACGAGCAACGTCAAACACACGGGCTACCGGCGAGCTGAGCCGTTGGGTATAACGGCGGCCATCTATCTTCGAGTGGTCGAACCCAAAGATGACCCCGTCGTGCATGCTGTATATGTGACGTTCGTCCATAGTTTTGAAGTACTGGCTCTGGAGGTCGACGTCACGGTTGTTTGGAGTCCACTCCGCATACTTGATCGTACAGATGGGTTGGCCTGTGTGTGTATTCTGAATGGAGACCGTGTATTCAACACGCCCAAGGGTAAGCTTACCGCCGGACTTGCACTCATGTCCAGCTGGCTTGAAGTCATTGAGCCGCCGACAAGTCTGGTCTGGGTCCACGAGTCCGCGGGAACTGAACATGTGGAGGATTGAGCCGGTCCTGGCATCAACGGTATAGAGGGTAGTCTCCTTCCTGGCGGTGTAGGTAACAGGAGGATCAACGCCGGAGTAAGGGGTCTCATCAACGAGCATCTTAACGGTCAACCCCAGCCGCTGCAGGCCACCGTTCTGGGCCTTGTTGTAGATGAATAGATTGCCATCACGGCTAGGCTCGACGATCCAGAGAAAATCGTCTTCGATCTGTGCGTCCTTGGCCGAGTGCGAGCGATTTGCTCGGTGGTAGACGGTCTCTACCATGGGGCTGCTGGGCACCTCCAGCGCCCAGCGGGGAGCACCAGTCTTCCGGTCTCTTGCGTGAATTGTGCCATCGACGGTCGCCAACAGGACAAAGTCCTCCACTTCCCAGTCCTGTATAGATCGCGCTTGGAGCTGCGGAGTCGGGTCGTTCCGACTGCTGATCTGGACAGGAGGTGCTCGAACGGCGGAGCCAGAGGCCGCCAGAGCCAGTGTTTCAAGGGCGCTCTCATCAGACCTCACGGGCGGACGGATGGGATCAGATATCGAGTGTGGTATGGGCAGGCCGGCATCGGCAGGAGCACCGCGAAAGGAGGCTGCCAGAGGCACATCACCGGCCTGGGAGAGAAGCAACTGCTGCTGAGCTGCTAGGAGAGGGAAGAGAATGGCGAGGCTCGCGGGGACTGATGCGCGAGACCCTCGAAGCCGCCAGATCATCGTCTCTTGTGGTATAGGCGTTCGACAGCCTGCGGGCGGTATCGAGGAGGGCGTGCCAGCAGAGATCGAGTCCGCAAAGGGACGACGGGGGCGAGATAGACGAGAGGAAGAAGGGAAGATCGAGTATCAGGACACCACCATCAGACAGCCCTCTCGGTCGTGGCAGTCCTGGCGGTCCTGGCGGTCGTTGGTGATGACGCTGCGGGTGGTGGAGGGAGACGACACATATACGACAGCATCCAGCGGCGCTCTGGGGGCCATCAGGATGCAGGCAAACGCAGCGGCGGTCGAGATGCAGTGTGCTCCCCGTCCTCCCTTGCTTCAAAGAACGGCAAAACGAGCGGGCGGGCGAAGTCGAGAGAAAGCGAGGGAAACACACAGTCGATGGACGGCGGTTGGAGAGGGAGTGGCTTGTGGTTTTTCCTAGCTTTGGAGCGTTAGCTCGGGGGATTTTCTTCCTTTTTCTTTCTTTTTTCCTTCTAGTTAGTTGGCCCTGGCCATGGGGCCGCAGTTTCAGTTCGGGACAAGGGGGTTTTCTTTTTCCACCTACACGGTGCTCAGTTGAAGCTGCTGCTGCTGCTTGCTGCTGCTTGCTAGCTGACGTTGGTCGTGGGATGTTTCTGGCGATGCTGAATTTGGCCGCCTTCGAGGAGTCGTGAAAAAAATAAAATAAAATAAAATAAAGAATCTGAGCTGTCACCAACAACAAACACCGCGGCCGGGACGGGAGGACATTCACAGCTGGAAAAGGGAAAAGAGAGTTACCACAATCAAGAGCGAGAGTTAGAGAGAGGACGGCAGGATGGTGCTGCTCCGCCTGACCGTCAAGGTCGTCCCTCGCGCGGTCGAAGGCGAGGAGGCAAAGGACGAGGATGGACTGAAGAGCACCAGCTTCCTCATGGTCGTGCATCGGCCAGACCAGATGAGCCTCGGAGAGCTGGCCTGGAGAGTCTCAGAGCAGTGGAAGAAGCTCCGGCCAGAGGCTGAGTAGGCCTGCCTGTTCTCTGTTGTGCTGTTGTAGCGGTTACTTGCTGAGGTCCAGGTGCTAACATGGGATTTATAGGCCGCTGATGATCAAGAAACTACTGGATGACAACCACGATACGGACGAGCTGGACGCCGATTTGACCGTGGCAGACGTGTTCATAGACTATGGCAAGGCGCGTGCAGACGGATTGGACCAGCGGGGGGTCCTGCGAGTCATCCAGCAGCCTACGAGCACTCGGCCAGTACGCTACGGCTCTGTCGTCCAGGACTGGGACGCCATCACAAACCGCCACTCTCGAAGGGCTGCGAGGCTCTCGAGACGGCAGCTGGCGCATTTCCCCATGGCCAATGGTCTAGCTTCAGCTTCTCCCGTCAAGAACCATGTTGCTGCAGTCAATGGAGGTGGCATTCCGTTCGAAGTTGCTGAATCAGTCCATCCGCTTTGCTCTATCGAAGAAGAACCAACAGCTACGGAGTCACACCAGCGCAGAGAACCATCGCCGGCTCTTGGGGAACGAGAATTGACGCAGGAAACTACAGACACCAATGCTTCGAATCTAAGGTCATCCCCTCTGGATGCCTTCCCTAGCTCCGCACGCCTTCCTAGGCATCACCGTGCTCAGTTAGGAAAGGATGGTGACAGGCTCGTTCCAGGGGTTCATACTTCGCTGCTTTCTAGTGAGTGGCCGCTGGATATACTTTTTCAGTCTCTCTCTGTGTCTGCCCTTCACTGACCTTGATTCACAGAGCAAGCTGCCCTACGAACCTCGAAAGAGGCCAAACCCTCGCAATCAGCCGTTAACGGTCGTCAAGAACGCCAACCAAAGAGACCAAGAACTGCCGATAGTGAGGAGCTGTCCGAACACACTGAATCCCTGGCTACTAATCAGAGGCCTCCAAAACACGTAAAGAGACAAAAGATCGCCGAGACGCCTGCTTCAGAGCTAGAACCCGAAGATGATGAGATGCTCGATGCTCAGCCGCCTGGAGCTGGTACAAGGAAGTCCCAAACCGCCCCGTATGCCGATAAAGGAAAAACAGACGCTCGACAGAATCCTCAGAGGTCCCTAAGGGAGGGTCCCAATGGGGCACCTGCTGTCATTGATCTAACTTGCACGTCATGCACAGCAGAAAGCAACAGTAAGCCGAAATCAAATCAGATAGGTTTAGGCATAACCGCCAGCCCCCCTAAGAAGCGCACAGTTGACAAATTAGATAACCATAAAGACAACTCCGACGCACTCTTAGCCTCCAAGGCGTCTGGACGCCTTAACCGCCTTCGCTCGCCTGGCACGCACCAAATATCCCCCGATCTCGCTCGAGATGCGCCCTCTTCGGCAACACCAGCTGATAACAAGAAAGCTGTGTCAAGTAGAAGTGCTAAAGCTAATGCAAGAAAGAAGACAACCATGCAGTCGGGCAAGGCTGATAACCGCAATTTCAGCTTAGGCACAGCGGTGAACGGGAAATGGACTGATAAGTTTGATGATCGGCTACCCGGCTATTACACTGCGCGAGCTACTGCCCATTTGAAATACATAGTTCAAGCTGCAAAGGAAGTTGATGATTCTCAAGACCAGATACCAAGATTGGAGAAAATGGCCGAGGAATTGGACAATCTTCCAGGACTTTCCGGTAAGGATAGGAAGAACGCACGCAAACGAATCAACCGGTTATTAGAGACTCTCGAGTTTATGGGTCAACCAAGGCTTAGCCGGGAGGAACCTCAACACCATGAAGAGGATGTGGATGAAGAGTCCAATGGAGAAGAGAATGAATCCCGATCCGAGCGTTCCTCCTCTACCGGGAACGATTTAGAGACAGAAGTAGATGAAGAATCTACAGCTGCCAAGTCAAAAGCAGTCAATAAAGACGAGGAGAAAAATGCAAGTGACGGTAATGGGAGCGAGAGCGAGAGCGCGCACAATAACGAAGAGAATGACGAGGAGAGAAGTGATAGTGAAGATGGTTCGGAGCAAGACGATGAGGAGAAAGAGGAAGAGAAGGAAGACCGTACGAGGCTTCGAGTACGTATATCTCCCTCTCTCTCAGATGCTGGAGACGAGAGACTGTCCGCCACTGGGCCTCGACGATCTTCTAAGGGGACTGTCCGTGATAAATCCCCATCTATCTACTCGGTTCCTTTGTCTGGATCTGAAGCCCCTAAGCCTGAGTCAGATAAATCTGAAAGCGGTAGTGAGAGTAGCAGTGGAGAAGAGGAGGATGATGAAAGCACGCCTCGTGCTAAAGTAGTCTCGAAGAATACCCCCAGCCAGGAATCATCTGCTGCTTCTGAGTCTAATGAACTGGAGTCAGTTAGCAAAGGAAATGCGTCTGAATCGAGAGCTACCACTCCATCCGAGAAAGATGCTGATATTAAACCCAACGGAACCCAGCAAGAAGAGGTAGAAAAGGGAGAATCGGAGAAATCTGGTAGCAGTTCTGAGGAAGAAGAGGCAGATGAGAGCGATGAAGATAGTGAAGAAGGCAAAGCTGAAAAATTTGAGGATGCGAAAGAAGGCTCTGAATCTGACGAAGAGTCCGACTCAGCAGGTGAAGAAGCAGCCGCATCCAACGCGGATACATCAAAAATGCCAACAGCAAAGAAACAAATCACTCTCTTTGAAGACTCTGACTCTGGCTCTGGCTCCGGCTCCGACTGCTCCTCTGGCTCAGAAGGATCAGATATTCAATACCGCAAGCCAACACCCAAGGACGATGACACTGAGGCGGCACAGCAGCTCGCTACCGAACAAGACATGCAAAACAAATTGCCAACTGCTCCAACGCCTCGCAGAAAGGTACATGTGTTGAAACGATCTCAGACACCGCTACATAGGCCATTCAGGCCAGGACAAGACTCGGCTCACAACAAGACGAATCCAGCCAGCTCTCCACCTGTGGAGGACAAGTCGACCAAACCGGACTTTATCACCTTCTCACAGCCTGCGCCAACTGCAACCAGGCCCCAGTCAACGCCCACAGGATCGAACCCAGAGCGCAACAGCAATGGACTTAAGGGTCTCCTCGTGGGCAAGTCTACCAGGAATATGTTTGGGTTATCTAGATCACCAGCTGTCTGAGCTGTGTAGTGTGAAGCATGTGGCCAGGGCATAAAAGAACCTTGAGCAGGAAGAGTCCAATTGAATAATTCATGCGAAGCATTATACCCTGTTCTTTAGTATGCAGTTTATGGAGAGAGGAAAAGGGGCTCAAATTAGTTAAAGAATACGTATCCTTAGATGTACGATATCAGGCTCTTTAGCCGTCTCCGGAAGAGCAGAGCTTCACACAGATGAATCCGTGTAGTTTAACAGCTTGTTACCTGCAAACCCTTCATCGTTACCTACGCAGTGCTCTTTGGCTAAGGAAGTTGTATCCTGTCTCCGTGATCTGATACAGGTTTGACACCCTGTGCCTCTACCCCCTGAAGCATAGCCTCTCGTGCATGCATCAAGCGGCTTACATGTCTTCTTCAGCTCCTTTCATTTGCTTTGCATAAGCTGCAAATATTAAAGCACCCAATGTCAGGTGTTGACCTGGCATAGTCGGCGCTCTAGATGGACACTGAGGTAAACACAGCGCATAGATAGACCTACAGTGACGGTGAGAGAAAACCGCCCCCATACCAGATCTACCTACACATATCACGCCTCCAGCCGGCCCATTTCCTGTCTTCTAGCATTCTGTGCCTGACTGAACCCGTGTCGATGGTCTCCTGGGTTAACTAACGTCTATCTGGCCTTGATACTCGAGGGCCCGGTATTAGTTCAGGGCGAAAAGTTATACGAAGTTCAGCCCACCAAAGCCTGCCCCCACAGTCAACCACCATCACAGACATATATGCAGCCATCGACCAAGCTCACTGGGTACACAACATAGCTACGCGCATAGCTCGAGACAGGATGGACATTGATCTCTGCTTTACCGTCGTTCAGCCGGCGCCCGACGGCTACGAGTCTGCTGTTCCCTTGGTCCTGATCCACGACGGCGGCGGGACAAGCGTCAACTACTACTACCTGCACTCCCTCGACCGCGCTGTCTACGCCATCCAAAACCCCAGTTTCTACTCCGGCGAGCCCTGGGAGGACGGCATTCCCGAGATGGGAGCGACCTATGCGCGTCTCATCCGATCTCATGTCCCGGCGGGCCCGATATTGCTAGGAGGTGAGATTTCAGTCCCGTCACGCGAGGGGCATCGCATATACTGATTCGTCCTTTGGGAGGGCCGAGCAGGCTGGTCTCTGGGTGGCATGATCTCTCTGGAAATCGCCAGCATATTCTCGAGACAGTCCTCCGAGTTGCGGGTGCTCGGCATCGTGATGATTGACAGCGTGTACCCTCTTGCCCCGAAGCCAGCAGGCCGAACGATCGTCCCGCACAAGCTGCAGTTTGGAAAATTTACAAAGCCAGAGACACAACGGCTGTCTTCCAACTGTATGGCCCAAGCCGTTGAAATGGCGCAAACCTGGACGATGCCCGTTTGGCGAGGCTGCACTGACGAAACGGAGTATATCCGTCGAGCGGCGTTTGAAAAGGAGCTGTCTCGGAAGATGAAGACGAACCATCCCGAGTCTGAAGAGCACAATGAAATCCCGATGAGGGATCTTGCCGCCTTACCACAGGCAATCCTCCTCCGTTGCAATGAGACGGTTCCGGTTTCTACACCAGAAGACCCTACTGCAATATGTCGCGTTGACGTGGCTCGCGACTCGGAGAAGCTCGGCTGGGAACAGTACGGCTACGACTTTATCTCAGCCGTCCTCCAGATTCCTGGCCATCATTTCAATATATTCTCTGATGAATATGTAAGCCCCTGAAAAAGACAAAATGAAGTCCCGATTATATCTGGATAAATATGTTACTGATCCTATCTTCATCTAGCTTGATGATCTCACATCCCGAATCAAAGTGGCTTGCAGGATGTTAGAAAGAACTAATATCTAAGTGCCTGCTGGCTCTTTATCCAAGGATTACCTTCTGCCTTTTCTCAATCCATGAACCACAGTTTGGCATAGCAGAAACCTAAAGATATAGAATACAAGTGGCAAAATTGGTGTACTATCAGTCCCTTTGATATTTTCAACCATGACTAGACTATCGGAATGCTTCCCTCGCGCCAAATAAGATGCGCGGCAATTGAAGAACTGTCGACCTCGCCTCCTCCAACCTTGGAGTGGCAGTACTTGAACCAGAAACCGCAAGTCCGGGGCTAGTACTTTGGTGGGCTTGTCTACCCCACATAACAATAATTCAGGGATACCATGGATTTGACAAGCGTATGTCGCCCCTGATCAAAGAAAGTTAAACATTATCACTACTTTAAATGAAGGGATTGGCCCCTTTAAGTGAAGTGACTAATTACAATTCCATAAGAAAGGGTGGGAGAAAGGCCCTGCCTCCAATCTCAACTACCTCCCGGCAGCCGTGATGGTACCCTGAAAAACAAAAGGTTCTTGCCAGTCATGGTACTTTTTTATACACCCACACCCTGATAATTCGTCCGTATATACGAAGAAAACCCTATGCTCAATATAACAAAGAAAAGAACAGGAGCGAAGATACCAACAATGCTCAACCCATCATTTTTCACTAATCGTGCTGGCTACTAGCTTACCCTTTAACCTTGCCTGGACACCAATGGTCTTCAGGTTCTTCGGCCGAGGAATGAATAGGTCGTGGCGGATTTGTATATCATCCAGTGTGGTGTCACACATTTCAAAGTCAAATCGGCGGAATATCGTGCTGGCCGCAATGAATATTTCGGCCTTTGCAAGACTGTTGATTCGTCAGTGAACAAAGCCATCAGGGACCAGATAATTTTGTTGGGTACACCAACGATAGGTGTTAGGTATAACCATTATCACGATTGGTCTACTTACTTCATCCCAAGACATCTCCTAGATCCCGAGCTAAAGGAGACCATATACTTTTCCAGATATTTCCGCTCTTGAAGATCAAGCCACCGTTCGGGGACGAAGTTATACGAATCGGGGAATATTTCTTCGCTATGATGCATGATCACGGAAGACATCCCCACCGGTGTCTGTTTTGGAATCTAGTGCGTTAGCCTTCTCCTGGAAGCAAGGTGGACCTAAAGCCCTTGGCATGGATGTATACTCACTCCCGGTGGGATAGCATAATTGCCATATTCAATAACGCTTCGGGGCGATTTGCGTTGCAGGCGAGTGCTGACACCATATGAGAGCCTGCTCACCGATATAGCTGGTTAGCATTGCACGAATAGTCGGACAGATGAAGCACATGCCGTACCTTAAACCTTCGAGGACAACCGAAGACTGCGGGATTTTTACATGGTTAGCTTTGCCCTGATGTTTGGTTTTTGTCGCGTGGGCAACCCGACTTACCAGGTACGGGAGACTCTCAAGCTGGCACAGCCTGATTTCGGCGGTCGGGTCTGGCTCGGCCTCCCGAAGCTCTTCCCTGAGCCTCCGAAGCTTCTCTGGATTCCGCAAGAGATGGAAGGAGATAACGGACAGGCAGTTTGAGGTTGTCTCTGTTCCTGCGCCAATGATGGAACGGACTTCCTGGGTCAACCTTGCCGGACGTTTCTCCTCGCCGCTGAGCCGGGAGTCGAATATCTGGTCGAATACGGTCTTTTTGCGCCCAATAGTTTCTTCAGAGCCCTTCTTTTCCCTCTGACGTTCGTATTGGACCTCGTCGATCCTTTCCCTACAACGTTCTGCCAACGTATAGAACAGTTTGAGGCCAGGATTCAAGGACATTGTGAGGGATTTTGGGAGCATCTTTAACAACGACAGTACCCAAGTCAGCTGTCTTGAAACCACTGACATCTCGGATGCGTCTCTAAGCACTTGGCCCCAGTTAGGGTACCAGTCTGGAGCTCCAAGATAACCGTAACACCTGTCCATAGTGAACGTGGTGATCAGATCTGTGGTCAAACAGGTATAACCGAGTGACAGCGGCACAGTACCGCCACTTGCACCAAAGTTCTCGATCCGGCTGCATAACTTTTTCACAAGGCCTTGGATTAGGCTCTCCTGCTGAAGAACTCGGCCTCTTGCAAAAAATGGGTTCATAGCACCCCGCCTCAAACGATGAAGCTGATGGCTCTCCGTGCCGAAGGACGAAAGAGGAAAGTCAAAGGGCTTCAGGTAATAATATTCCTTGTCTCGGGGATTGCTGTGCGAGTAAAGAACGTTGTAGAAGTGCGGATCATTGATATGAAGTTCTCGAGGGCTGATGCGAATTATAGGCCCTAAAAATGAAAGAAGCATTCAGCATATCTCTCTTTGCTGTCCTCCCTTACCGGGTATATTCTTTGTCGACAAACGTACCATATTTCTCATGCAGCTCCCTGATTTTGAAGATGTATCGACCCTTGAGGATGACATCATAATAAAACTCATAGAGGTACGTCACTGCGGCAATCTTTGGACCAGGAAACCTGGACAATGGGGAGAAGTGCAGTTGATATATGACATTGCCAATGACATATGCAAATATCGAAACAACAATCAATGCAAACAGATGCATGGGGAGGATGGAATGAATGTCCATGTTGACAGGCACAGCTTGTCCTGTAGGGGGAGTTGGGAAATGGGCCTGAAACCAGGCATCTATGAAGAGCAAACACACGACGTTCAGACTGCTTAAATAGAGGCAAACAATGATGGGACTCTTGCTGAATAAATTTTTTCATTGCTCTCGGTATCCGTTGCAACCATGAGCACAAACGGCGGCAACTAACAGGGGTGTGCAATACATGAGGTATAGTGACAACGGCCGGGTCTCGCTCTACGTTGAAGGCAAAAGTCTCGCGTTTAAATGTTGCATGAGACCCATGGCTTCGTCTGCGGCTTTTTTTATCTTTTCTTTTAATTTTCATTTCCATTCCTTTTTTTTTTTTTTTTTTTTTTTCATTTTCACTTTCGTCACTTTATTGTTTCTTATTCCTGGTTTATTCTTCACCCTCCCCTTCTTACACTTTCTGCAATGGACATGCATACACAACACTTCATCTCAGTCACGAGAAATGGATGAAGGACAGTATGACGTCTCAGACTGCGGCCGCATGTGATGGCTTTTTTTTACGCTTCATTCTTTTTTTTCAATTTGCAGAGGCAGTTGTAGTTAGGCAGCCTGCGGGTGTTTCAATACAGTACCGTCTGGAGCCTGCCGAACAACCTTACGCCGCTGCACACCCAATGCAGCCGCCCCCTGTGTGGAGTATGTATGTCCCTCTTTGCCATCCCTGACGCCGGATACCCCCCTCTGACCCAAGTCACAGGCTTATAAATAACGTCCCACGACAGACCCAAGGTTACTGCAACTTAGTTACCATGTTATATAACCAGAGGCCGAAGTTACGCATGGACGGATGCTGGCTTGCAAATATCCCCACTAACGTTCTAGTAGGCAGCTAGTCAATTTCTTGCTTCCGTAATGGCAAGATTGAGTTGCGGGAGGTCAGGGCTCTAATTCCTGCATGATTTATGGAGCCCGGGGATACCGAGCAAAGCTAGAGGGTGTTCGGAAGGACATGGTCCTCCGAATGAAAGCAATTCACTGGGAAGCGGATACTGGCGTAACTATCTAAAGACCAAACAAAGCCTTCATCCCAAGAACACCATACACCATCAAGGTAGAAGGAAGCTGTAATAGCAGGTTATATGCCACTAATGCTTCCAACCCTGTTCCTCCTCCACCCCTCTTCTCAAGACTTTAAGCCTAGCCGCCAAAAAAGATCACCGTGTCGATCGGATTGGCTGCTGAGAAAGCTCACCAAAACATCTTCCTAATGGCTTCCAGGAAGTGGCGCTTACAAAAATGGACTGGTAATTGCCCATATTGCTGGGATCTACGGGGTGGAATTGGGTATCTTCGTCGGGGATCAATGTTACCTGCGTCTGCATGAGCCAGAGTGCTGGGATATAAAAACCAATGACGTCTACGATACTCCTGCACCCAGCATGTATACGGTTGAGTAGCGCGTGTATTTGAACCAGATTTTAATTTCGACATGGAATTAAGCGGTGCAGGAAGGCCAGAAAAAGCAATATTACTTGAGCCGGTTCCAATGGGGAAGCCCCCATCATGTATGAAGATACGGAGCCCGCGGTATACAATACACAGCTCACCTGTAGCTATACGGAGACATTGCATGTTCATGCATTCCACAAACCCCGATACATGGGGGGCAGATTTTCTGGTTCGTTATTATTCACCTCCGTCCAATCATACCATATGGACATCCTACTGACACCACTGATAGGCCACGTATACATCCGTTTAGGTCTCCCTTCCGGCAGTTGACGGCCAATAAGAAACTGTCGTCCCCGGATGTATCAGCCTGTCGACAAACAAGTCTCTTCGCAAACATGTATCACACTTCATCCCAGCTTTTACCAAGGTGGTCAAGCGATATCAGCCCTCCTATCTTAAGAGAAGTACGAGTGCTCTCGCTTGCTACAACGGAACAAGCCCAATCGCCGCAGGGGGGTAGTTATCGGTTGATTGGCCTATGGTTTCTGAATAGGCGTTCGCAACAACTCCAGCTTGTTTGTGGTAGTATAGCGCCGAGCTAAGAAACAGGAGAGGGAGAAATCATTCGACAGACTTCACAGCAGATTCATGCCACGATCCCATCATTAGCTGCCGGACTAAGGAGGGGATGGGTGGTGGGACGGTTCGGAATCGGGGTTAAAGCCCAACTAACAACCCTGCACTAAAAGCGCTCTGCGGCATGCAACCCCCTCAAAATGGTGCATAAGGCGTTTCTAGTCTGGACAAGGAACGTTTGTTACGCCAATTCTGGTATATTGGATAATGGAAAACGAAGAAAATAGGCCGGTTGACACCTCTGATGTGTCGTCAGCAGGTACGAAGGATGCATATCCGGTGACATGCGATTCTACGGAAAGGGAGCTGAATTCGCTCTCAGCCCCGGGTATGAGAAGGTCATAGCACTGGACAAAGGCATCGTGCTGTATAATCAGTTCTAGATCAGCCCAAGGACAAGATAGTGTCTGGCGTTGGCCTTGTACGGCGGTCACATCCCAGCGGATATATTCCGCATCTTTGGGGATGGTTCAGGCCTCCAAACCTGGAACGACTGCTGGGCGATATCAAAACGCCGACAATCCCGTCCATTTGATGATGGTTGTCTTTATACCAGGATAGATGAGAGAACTCCTTGCATGTGCAGAGCCGCGGATATGGAATGAAGATTAACCCCGGCCTTTCTCATGGAATACTGCAGGGAAATCAATCGAAGCAACGTGACATCCTTTGCAAATTTTCGGCCAGAACGGCAGACAAACTGGCCGTTGGCCTTCTCTCTTTTCTCTTTTCGACTTTTTCCTTTTCTCCACCCTTATCTTCTGTCCATATAAAATAATGGGAAGCAAAAAGAAAAGAGAAGAGAAAGAGAGGAGGCAAAAGCAAGCAACAGCCCTGTTTTGCGCATGGAAGTGAAACTCACACTATAGTTGGCATACAGCCACACAGCAGCAGCACCAAACGAGTGCCGAGCTTCAGAGATGATGGAATCCGTCCATACTCCATGTGGCGGAACAAAGAGAGATAGAGATGGCAAGCGTTCACCATAGCCCAGAGCCCGCTCAACCCGCGTTTGCCTTGCCTGGCCAGCTACAAGGATGTTAGCAATCTCAGACTAACTCGCTGGCGACCCAGAGTTTGGATGTTGATCATGGCTCACTATTCTAGAGTTTCCGGGGAACGACACGGCCGACATGCAGGGAATCTTCCGTGTCTGCTCGTCTTCTACCGGCCATTCGGGGATGTGAAGTCGACCACCGAGAGGGAGAAAGAAACCTAACAACAACATCGCCGGCAACGAGGTTCTGGCTAACTCGCCATAACTACCTAATTATTAATAGCAACCGGAACTAACTCCGAGAAGGAAAAATATAACTTAGTTAACTAGTTAGCTAACTCATCGAGAGCCCTACATGGCTCTCTGGTTACAGCAACTTCAGCCTCCTGTACACGGAGTAGGAACGGAGTACAGGGTACGGAGTATGTCACTCCCCTTCGAGGCGTCCGGGCGAGTAGGGCAAGCCATAATGCATTTGTGATCGGCTGTTGACGTGAAGGAGCAATACGAGAACAGCCAACCTGCAGCTCGAGTCACCTAGAGTGCGCAGTGGCAGCAGCAGGCAGGCAGACCCAGGTGAACAGCTAAGCTAGCAACGCATCTGCCTCGGCAGTTCCAATGGTACAGCACAAGGCAACCATCAGAGAAACATACCCGGCACAACAGGCTGCGCTTCCGCTCCGTACCACTGCTGCGAACAGCACGATGCCCAATATCCAGTTCCCTGGGGCGGCTATCTCGCTCCAACGTGGTGAGCGTAGAGGCCATGATCATGGAGCTGAAACTGCGATTGAGATGCGTCCAGCGGATGCTCCGGGCGGACATGAGTTTGCTCCCACTACTCGCAGGCGGCAGTTTGCGGTTTTGATATGCAGCTTTCTGGCTGTTGCTATGACCATAGGCCCAAATTTCTCTTATGGCGTCTTCCAGGAATACTACGTTACGAGCACCTACAGCGTCTTGGACCCATCAGAAGCACAGAACCGGGCAGCGGTGGCCTTGGTTGGTACGCTCGGTGCTGGGTTAACCTGGAGTGGCTCCATTGTGATTAATCCTCTTGTGAGCAGAGTGAGCGGCAACGCAAATCAGAAGATTGCAACTGCAGGATGCTGCCTAATGAGCGCTTCGTATGCACTTGCTAGCTTGTCCCAGAAGGTCAGTGAAAGCAAGCAGCCCCATCCTACTCCATACCTTCTTGCATTGTATTCCACAAGTGGTGTGCTCTCTCTCTACTTGCGTACCAGCTATTTTTATTTGATTGGATGGTCATGCATCCGCTCTGTTTTAAATAACCGAAAAGCCATACCCAACCCTCTGGTAAACCACGAACAACAAACTAACTATAAACCAAAAATGTAGCTATGGCACCTCTTGTTAACCCAGGGTCTACTATACGGAATGGGTAGTTCCATGGTTTATTTTCCCATCCTTAGCGTTGCCCCGGAGTATTTCGATCGCCATCGCGGAGCTGCGATGGGATTTATTCTGAGCGGCGCTAGCATTGGGGGACTGGTACTCTCCCCCCTTATTCGAACGCTTCTGGGCGTCATTGGCGTACGCTGGACACTACGAGCAATGGCCCTTGCAAATCTGGTCATCACCCTTCCAGTTGCAATATCCGCTCCTCCAAGCCGCAGCATGACCAGAAGATCAACGCTGGTCAACATACGACTTGCAAAGAAGCCTGTATTTATCCTACAGTCTCTTGCAGCCTTACTGCAGGCGAGCGGAAATTCTGTTCCAATGACGTTTTTACCTGAGTTCTCAACCGTCATCGGTTTTTCTGTTTCCTTTGGTGCCGCTCTTCTTGCCGTTAATAATGGTATCAATGCAGTGTCACGAGTCCTCATGGGTGTTACAGCAGATAGGCTAGGGAGGCAGAATACGCTGGTCCTGGGTGTTGCTGGAAGCGCCGCGAGTGTATGGTGTCTATGGCTCGCGGCTGCTGTTAATGGAGGAAAAGCCGCTTGGCTCACATTCGTGGTTGTATATGGAATCCTAGCAGGTTCGTATAACTAATACAGCCATCAATCCTCCCTCTCCTCCCTCCAATTGACATATTTTGCTCCGGGATAGCTGCTAACAGTTCCGTGATAGGTGGTAAGAGCCGACCCAACCCTTTTTATTCCAGAGACCTAATTACGACAGTTTAACCAAGGAAAAACTGACGCTAACTTGGGGATGTGTAACCTTCAATCCATCTGATACCTAGCATTCAATGCGCTCTTTCCAACCACAATCACGGAAATCTTTGGCGTGCATGCCTACGCCTCTGTCAATGGCTTCCTCTACTTTGTGAGAGGTCTTGGTGCACTCTTTGGCTCCCCCGTTGCTGGTTTTATCCTCGGGGATTCTCGTGTTCCTTCGCCGGGTCAGGAGACCTCTACTCTGCTGCATGATTATCGGAACATCATTTGGTATGATGGCGGCCTTCTCTTGGTCTCATCCCTTTGTGTGATTGGGGTACGTGGTTTTGATGCACTAGAGAAACGCAAGTGGGCCTGGAGAGCATAGTCTGTTTATTCCGAGGTATTCAGAGTAGGCCAATGTGTGGTGTATAGTTATGGACCTACCATTTGCCCGACAGGCCAGTGGTACCAGTATAGCTATACCACCACGGAGCGCATGGTAATGAGCAAGCTCAGCATAGATACTACGGTACTATGCTAGACAATATATTGGTGAGCATTTTTAATCCACAGGCCTTCATAAGCCAAAAACCCTACTCATATCATACGAAATATGTACCGTTGTCTCCAAAATCTCTTTTACATTGAAAAATTCGAATACGCCCAGAATAAGCAGAGATGTCCGCTTTAATATAAATCTAAGGTAGATATGTGTCGTTCAAATATAGAGACACCATCGTGCTCGGTATCAGATAAACCATCCCTCTATGTCTATCAAACTCGTTTTTTTAAAAAAGGAAATAGACGATCCTCATCCAAGGAGAGGCGGTTCTTCTCTTTTCCATAACACGGTTATGGGCCTCCCAGTCGATCTCACGGCGTCCAGCGTCGACATCAATATCTCGGAGTTTCAACCAACCTTTGCCTTTCCAGATATGGGCACAGAGCCAAAATAGAATGACAACGGGAACAGCTAAGTAGGTCTTAAAGAAGCCTTTTGCGTTATTCACGCCTCCACCAAGAGGCCAGACAGCGGTATAAAACTGTGAGGTAAGTTAGCCATTGCACTGCAGCAAGCCGGCAAGAGCTCCCTTTTCTTCATGGCGAGAACCAAAGACATACCTGGGCAATGAACACAAGGCCAACCATTATAAGACCAAACCATGATCCCCAGACGCCAAAAGCGGCCTTAAATGGTATTTCATCCAGGGTGTGTCCCTTGAGTTTCCATGCGGCGCGGAAACGGATATGTGAGTAGCATATCTACAAGCATGTTAGATCTCAACTGAAAGAGGCTTTGACCGAATGCTAGGAGAAAGGGCGATAGAACTTACACTTCCCCAGGTAAACAGAGATGCCAGACCGGAGAGAGCTAGCAGCCAGCCGAAGATCTCCTCGCCGCTGGCAGTGATATTGATATAAGCAAGGAAGCTGACAAGAATCATAGCAACGGTAGAAACAAGCGGTCTTCCGGCTCGATCGACATAGCGAAACACTTTGGGCGCATAGCCCTGCTCAGAAAGTGCGGTCAGGGTTCTGGAGCCACCGTAGACGCCCGAGTTGCCAATTGAGAGCACAGAAACCAGAATAACGACGTTGAGAAAGCTGTCAAAGCCTGTGAGGCCAGCGTCTTTTGCGATGATAACCATGGGAGACGCTGCCACGTCGATCAGACTACCACTACCGAGGAGGCGTTTTTCGGTGTAAGGCACCAGCAGGCCAACGAAAACAAGGGAAAGGATATAAAACAGAGTGATACGCCAGAACACCTGCTTTACTGCTGACGGGAGGGACTTGAGGGGTGTTTTCGACTCGGCTGCTGCTAATCCAACCAGCTCTGTTCCTGAGAAAGAAAAGGCTGCGGTCACGAAGACGGCACAAACACCTGGTGAAAGTCAATATGTTGCATGTCTATTAAATGTATCTACAGCAGAAGACCAGGTGGGGGGGGGGAAGGAGTTAGATATGTCTCTACCTTTGAAGCCATTGGCAAAGGCTCCTGGATCTTGCCAGAGCCTGGCGCCCCAGTACTCGTTATATTTGCCGTACGAGGGGCCTCCCCCGAGAACACATATCAGGGCTATAATCATGAAGATTATTATTGACACCAGCTTCAGACTGCTGGCCCAAAACTCCTCTTCACCATAGCCCAGCACGCCAAAGAGATTGATTATGATAATGCCGACGATGAACACGGTGATCCAGACTGCTACGCTGATATTGACTCTCCAGTATCCGATTGTCAGGGCAGCAACCGTGAGTTCTAGCGGTAATATAATAGCCCATTGGAATATATAGTTCCAGCCCATTGCAAACCCCCAGGAAGGATCGATAAAGCGGGCGGAATACGTATAGAAACCGCCAGATATGGGATATAGAACCGCAAGCTCGCCGAGCGCATGAACGACATTAAACATCATCTATACGGCATTGGCACAGGGTTAGTAGCTGATACACATAGATTCAAAGCTCGGAATATGAACCTGGGAAGCCAACTGACCATTCCCGCAATTGCAAAGTCAATAACCAATGCTCCTGGGCCACCAACCCTCAGGGCAGAACCCGAACCAACGAACAAGCCAGCGCCGATGCTGCCTCCAATGGCAATCATGTGCAGATGCCGGGATTTCAGCGTCTGGTTGAACTGGTTGTGCCTGTCCTCGAGCGTTCGCTGCTTGAAAGACTCCGGGGTACAACCCATGCGAGTCCAGAATCCCAGCGCCGGCGATGTCTCCAACGAGCTGTTCGATACAACATCATTTTCCTTGCCGCTGCCACCGTTGTCCATAGCCAGGCCCGGCTCTTTCTTCTCAAGCATCTCCATGCTGGTTAGTTGCCAGGCGCAATAGGTAGAATCCGATGACTCAGGTCTGACCGGTTGCCCGGGACAGATTCATCAACCAGCGGGCAACGGTGATGTGTATATATATTGGCACCCGTACCAACAGCGCCAGGGGGCCAGGGAACATCTAGTTCGAGAGCCAGGGCACCTGGAGCCTGCAGGCCGAGCAGCGGGATGAAAGTCCTAGCTGCTTTCAGGGTCGGATCAGACTTTGAGGATGGCTTTTCGCTGTGTTCCCTTCGCTTTTTCCCTTCGCCACAGGCCCGGTGTAATGCGAGCACGAAAAGCTTTCAACTCGACAATCCCGCAGCCCCAAGGAGGGTATGATACCACTGGTCCTCCAATGTACCAACAGTTTGGCATCGACAAGTCCAATCTTTCAATCGCTATCCTGATTAAAGATACGACCGTAAGCGAACGTCGTCTCCCGAGGTTGCAGGTCAGTACCAAGGGACCAGCATCCATGGATGACGGCCATCACGAATTCTTCCAAGCGGATGGAAAACCCACTGCCAAAAAAAAACCCAATTTTCGAGTCGGCGATCAATGGCAATCACGGTTTTGCTCCTTCATCGGCCGTGCTGTTGCTAGCTGCCACGACCTCGAGTCCACGATCTTTTTTATCTTTCTAGAAGAGCTTTTTTTAGCCTCCTTCACGCACGACAGGTCGGTCAGGGGTAATCCCCGTCCTTTCCATGGCCGAGGATAATGATAACCATTATATCCATTAGATAGGGCTGGTGGAAAAGTCTAACTATGGGACAACGCCGCCAGGGGAGGCTATCAATCTCTTAAGTCTACTTCCCCGGGCCTTGGAGTGAGGTTATCAAAAGACGAGTGACTCGCTTCTAAGCATTTGAAGTAGAGGAGTTACAAACTGAGCTGCCAGCGACAGGGAGATCCCTCCCTAAGCATCTGCAGATCTTGGGCCGGCTGAAGAGGAAATACTCACGCAGCTAATTTTTCCCGCTTGGACTACAATACGACATGACCGAAAAATGAATTCCCCCAATGGCTTCCATGGTTCGTACAGCCCTCAACAGAGTTGTTGCTCTGGGCATAGGGCGTGAAATACAAGGTGTCCGTCCTTCAGCACGTCGCTTGAATATCTATTTAAAGGGAGAATTGGCCAATGAGGCGATTGATAGCTGCGCTGCGCGGTGCTTGACCGTGGGTGGGAGCCGTCTATTCCTAAGATCGTTGCTGGCTCTCTAACGACTGGGATGGCTTGATATACGGCCTGCCATCGTGTCGTGGAAGGAGGGGAAGGAGTAAACTTCCCTTTCCTGCATACTCCTCAGCGAAAAAGAGTTGTGGCTTGCAGGGGATCGAGGTGCAAGAACTTGAGAGAAACAAGTCACACTGCAGAGAAGACAACGCCACGCGGTAGATCGACTCGCCTCGTTTTGTCGGCTGATGGGATTCTCCCGTCAGCCCAGCCGTTTAGCGATTGACACAAGACGACAATCAGAATACTTGCAGGAAGGCCAGAGTCTTGGTACGAGGCCAATATGATAGCATCTCTGCGCAGTTACAAGAACGGATGCCCCGGTAACCGCTGGTTATTTTCTTTTTCTGCAACTAATAACGAATGTCATCAAAACGGTGCTCAGATGGAAGCTGTTCGTTTTACCATCACAACCGCAAGCCGACGTTTCCAGCAAAAAATTATTATAAATCTGGCTACGCGTCTCTTGAACATTTAGGAGATTTAAGAATAAATACAGAGGCTAAGCAGCATATTCCGGACGGCTCCACACGCTGCTGGCGACGCTGATTTTTGAGCAATATTTGTCTTCCAATCCTCACCGTTGGTGTGACAACGAGGCAAGCAGGCCAAATAGGGCAAAGGGAAGCTCGATAATCACCAATATTGCATGAACTATTTCAAAGAGGTGGGTAAATTCTCACATCCCACAAACCGAGAATTTCACTCTTTTGTTAGCACAGGGTAATTTAGCCCGTACCGGGATACTGCGTACTCAATCTTGGGTCCACTGGCCTAGCCCTCTCGAAGCTCCCACAGTCAATTTTCGCACTTGTCAATAAATATCCATAAATTTTCGTGGTTCCTGTCAAGAGTCAGGAGTTGTTACATATCCAAGGCAGGGCCATGTACGACGTATCCATCGGGAAATGGCAACCATCTATGATATACGATATAAGCGGCCACCACTCCTGAGAAGCATTTTGATAGTATTTGTGGTCAAAAAAGCTCTGGGTGCTGCCATGTTGCAATGATCCTCCTTTTTTTCTAGCCACAAGATGAAGTCATCGGTCTGATTACATAAGCAGGGTAACATAATATCATTAACAACAAACAACAAACAACAAGCAAGCAAGCAAGCAAGCAACTGCTAACAACCAACAACCAGCAACAAAACACAGCATGCTCCAACGGCCACCTGCTGTGCTGGTACAGCGACACGGAGATGGTTGTTTCCGTAGGCTGAGACGGTGTTGCCAATTGCGCTGCTATACTGCAGCTCCTATAGCTCGTATAGCTTCCTCCACCGCTCGTCGCAACATACCATGGACCGCGAACTTCTCTCGAACTCCCCGCTCAACCCACAGTCTCTCCATCCTTTCATCTTTGCCAGCCATGCTTGTTCCTCCGGTTGTTCTCATAGGATTGACAGTGACACTCTGGCTATATAAATGCACTATGATGGTAATCTTCCAGAACAAGATAATATATATGCCGTCTATCCCACCCTTCTCAAGGCAAGAGAAGATAGCCACCTACGAGAAGGTTTGCTGGCCAATCGTCTGGGAGGAGCAGAGAATACAATCCCTGGACGGAGTTGAGATTGCTTTGTGTGTTGGACGAAATGTAGCAATGACGGGCGAGAAGGAAGAAAAGAAGGTGAAGGGCCCGGAGGGAGAGGTCGTGATACTGTATTTCCAGGGGTTAGTTAGTTCGTCTCTAGCTCAATCAATGCGCCATCTAATAATAGAACGGAAACTGTAGAAACGGGTCGTCGATTCCCCCTCGTCTGCCTCAACTGTCGGCCGTGCTAAAGGCATTGGACGAGCGGCCATACATCCTCATTGCGGTTTCATATAGAGGGTTTTGGACTTCTCGTGGTCGAGCGTCCCAGCGTGGAATTGAGCGTGATGCTGTTGCTGCCCTAAACTGGGCCCGGAAGACATATCTCCATCCAAATACCCGGCTTGTCCTTTGGGGCCAAAGCATAGGAGCCGGGGTGGCCACTTTTCTTGCAGCATCACACCACCGACAACATGACTGCTTGAGGCGGTCAGAACCACCAGCCTTGATACTCGAGACGCCATTTGTGAGTGTACGGTCGATGCTGCTCGCTCTTTACCCACAGCGTTGGTTGCCGTATCGATATCTCGGCCCGTTCCTACGAAACTGGTGGGACTCGGAGGAAGCTCTACGCTCGATATCTGATACTAGGCCAAACGGGACAGGCAGGAGAAAGGTCCTAGTTGTTTCAGCGGAAAAGGACGAGCTGGTCCCTTCTGAACAAGCGGATGCCATTGAAAAACTGTGCATTGAGGGTGGGATGGACGTATCTCGAACAAGGGTTCGAGGCGCATTGCATACTGAAGCTACATTTCGAGGTGACGGGAGGAACGCAGTGGCGAGCTTTTTGAAACGACTATAATTATAGTAAATTATCCTAGCGCATGATTATTACATTAGAGCTCATAAGTATAGGAAAATTCGTCAGGGGCGTGTCAAACATAACGGTGTGAACTAAACGCAGAAGGCCGCCGATCTTTCAAAAAGGATTCCAAGAAACCATCAAAAATTCCACCCAGTAGTTTTAGAATGACGGAGGAAGTAACAAGATGAAACAACATAAAGAAATAGGCCATAATTCATAAGGAGTGGAATTGTAACATGTCCAAGATGGATTGGACGGGGTATATAGACATTATAAAGGTTAACTGAAAGAAAAATTAATATCAAGACATATCAAAAGGGAAGGCATTAACAATGGCAAGGCATTAATACACGCAATAACAAACCAAAAAATTGGTGACGAGCCTTTTTCTTCAATTTCTTTTCTTTTCTTTTCTTTTCTTTTTTTTTTAAAGGGATACGTGCTCAGCACACGGAGCTCACGACTCTCCTGTGCGATAGTTGCCGGCTAAAGGGCGAGTACTCTGGGGGTGGCCTTATCGTGGCGGCCGTCATTGTACTGCCAATAGACTCCAGAGTGTCTGAACGCTCCCTGCCGTATAGCCCCAAAGAAGCACGTCCTGTGTATTCAGCTGGTGGTGGTGAAATGCTCCTTGGTGTGAAAAAGGAGTCGGTATTCTGTACATTATCGCCTCGAAGGGCGACTGCCTGGGCTAGGCTCTCTGCGCCTGCAACCTGTACTGGGACGCGGATAGAGAGTTGCGGCACCGTTAAGCTCGTGTTTGGAGGGACGACGGAGAGGCTCATGTCCAGTGCATAGATTCGGGAGGTCAAGCAAGAGTGGAAGGTAGGCAGAAATGCCTTGGTTTTAGGTAATGTGATCGGCGCGAGAATGGTACAGGTGTAGTATGTATTGCCGGCATAGGCAGCTGTAGGCCCGGTTTGAGATGAATCGATAGAGGAAGTCGACTGGACGGAACCTCGACGAGAGTTAGGGGCAGACGATAAGGGGGTAGTGATGGCGAGATTGCTCGATGACGAGGCTGGAGAGCAAAATGTAGAGTTTGCGTCACCAGAGTGCTTTGTCCATGGTACCGAAGCGATGCAGCGAGTTTCAAGCGGAACAGTTTCAGCATACATGCCATGGTTAAGAGACCAATTAGGCATATTTGCTCGGGTTGCGAAATCCTTCCACGGCTCTGAGGCAAAGTAGGTAAACACTTTGAGCTTTGTCCAGAGGGTGCTAAGACGAGGTGGTTTCTGGTTTTCGTCGGCAGGATCGAATCGAACATGCACCTTCACAAGGGTACTCGGGGTTTCTTGTTCTTCGGAGGTCGTAACGTCTTCGCTACCAGGGTGGTGGATGGGAGGGAGATGGAAGGGCTTTGGCTGTGCGGCAGCCATTGCGATGCGACCAAGTTTGCCGCGCAGAGCGCCTCTCTTCACGGACTTTTCGTTTCGGAGACAGTACTCGATGCTGTTTTCAGAGACATCCAGCGGCGGCTCAACATCGGTGGCTGGGATGATTCGAACTTTCTTTCCTTGATCAATAACGGTTCGTAGTGTGCCAGTGCTTGGGTTGTGCTTTGACAATTTCGCCCTGACGTTGTATTGAATCTGAACCATCTGTGGCACCATGTCATCAAGCAGACTGTTCCCATCGCCAGCTAGCATAGGGTCGCCTGCGGAAGGAGGTAAGTTGGTGTGCGCAAGTTGTACCTGTGGGTGATTCATTTTGTGTGAACAAGATTGAGGAAGCATCCTCTCGGGCACCACAAATGTGAAGGGGAAGGTATATTTGCGACCAGCCTCGAGGATGCGAGGTTCCGGGTAATCAGACTCATCGATCGGTTGGACGAGCCTCAAGAATGTGTGAAACGCAGAGGAGCGTCCAACAGTCGGCCCTGCAGCTCCGGGTCTCTCAATGAGAGTCCTTGAAGTGCCTGTGCGATGCCCGTTAGCTTATCGTATTACGCCCGCCAGCTATATAGATATTTTTGACATATACATACCTACAAAGGAAATGGAGATCTGCTCAAACCGAGTATCAACGTCGGCTGTGAATGTTGCCTCACCCTCAATAGCGTCGAGGGTCGTATATGAGCAGATACCAGACGCAGGCTGGTCTTTCAGCGTGATGTCCACTCGCAGTGAAGAGCGCTTGGTCCATGGCTCAAAGGGAGCAGCTCGCGACGCCAAAGACGCCGCCATCGTGACCTTGCTTTCGCTATAGCTGGTAGAAGTAGCTGGTTTATATATGGCGGTGAAATAATATGTAATATATATATATAACTTCGTGCTGAAAGTATGAGGGCCAGGAAAGACGGAGATCGCAGAGGGACCTTCGGCGTTTATAACTCTCGGCAGCGCAGGCCTCTTGTGGTGGTAGCACGAGTGAAGCGATATATCCAGCAGTTGTCAAGGAAACATGACCAGACAAGCTGATCTTCTGTATGCAGTCGATAAACCTGCAAGGGGAGTTGTGGGGGTTCACACACACATATATATATGTTATGTGTATTCCCAGCTTGCAAAATGCCGGAGTTGACGCAATCATGAGCTTTCAAATCACCCAGCGTAGTATTATATACATCATCGGCAACGTCGTGGCGCTCCAGAGGCTCGGTACCAGGTACCAGCATCGGCCGCCACCAAGGTGACCTCCCGCCCAAAAATTTTTTTGAGTCATCCCTGCAACGAAGGAGCCCATGGTATGGATGGTCCAGCGAAATGCAAAAATTAAAAAGAAAAATAAAAGCCGCCAGGAGGAGTGACAAGGCCCGCCGGCCGCCGACAGCGCGAAGCTGAAGTACCGTTGCACCAATGCCGCTTTTAGCGGGCCAGGTCCGCCAGTCCACCAGTCCACTACGGTTCTGGCCGGTGTTAGTTAATCAGCCTGTGCAGGCGTGTCGCAGGCAGTCGCAGAGAGGCCCTTTTGGCTTCTGGATGCGCGTATCGACAGCTCGATGGGCTGCAAGCGTGATATGACTCCACCGGCAGAGTTTTCTTTTCTTTTTCTTTTTCCTTCTCCCCCCTTCCCTAGCCATCGGGCAGCGCTCGCTGTCGACGTTCGCCGTGGTGGAGCTTGTAAACAAGCAGTTTTCTCGCCGTCATGTTGCATGGAAGAGATTTTTCCAACCCGTTGCTAGGTTATTCTGCTCGCATCTGGCCTCATGGTGGATCCGTCATATCATGTTTTGGTACTGCAAACTCCCTGTTGCCTGTCTGTATCCTGTGGAAAATGGAGCGATCTGAGTCTGCTGCGCTCCAATGGCAAGCTGCAACAGCTGCACCGTACGATTTTGGCATATCCGCATGAAACAGCAGTCTTCCGGGCAAGGCAGCCTGCTCATCCGCGCGGAGCGACATAGAGTCAATTGAAGGGCGTGCAGGAGGTCACATCCAACACCTAACGAATCCCCATGAAAGCCGCCAGAGTGGCGAGCTGGCGACAAGCTCATTTCCTCATTCCATCTGCCCCTTGCTCTGGACGCCCAGCCGGGTAGTCGGCCAGGAGGTCTGAAACTGATATGCAGATGTATCTATAAAAAAAAAAAAACCACCTCAGAAAAAAAAAAAAAAAAAAAAAGGGCGTGGGACGCTTGGACCAGAGGGCGGCTGCTAATACTTTCCTATTTCAGGAAGGTGGACGACGCTGCTTTAAGGCTGGCGGTTGATGAATAAGCGCTGATTATATGATTTACATTACTAATCTCTGCCGCTTGCCCTTAGACCGGCGAGCAGAGAAAGCAACAGCAGCGACCAGCAACTCCTCTTGAATGGCGGGAAGGACGTAGCATGCCGTATAACTTGGCGTAATACGAGAGCAGAGGCGGACTGATGCCCACTTGCTGCCAAATTAACCACCCTCAACACGACGTTTCGATGACTCTTCTCTCACTCCACGGCTGTTCTTCCCCCACAGTCTGGTCGGCTTCATCTCGTCTGTGCTGTCCTTACCACTTTGCAGTCTTCCCCGAGGTAAATGAAGCATCCATAGGTATCTCCGGACTGCAGGAAGCTCGTATTGCCGATTGATCCAAAGTCTGCCAGGAGCTATTGGAACGGCCAGAGGCTGCCAAGCGCCGATGGTGTCTAGGACCTGCTCGGCGACTCGACATATGACCTTATGCTGTCGAAGGAGGGGATGTATCAAGAAACACGGGTGTCATCTAGACCGCTTCATATTATACTCCCTGCATACGGAGTGCACTAGTGTAGCATCAATGACGAAGCCGGGATGATCATTGGATTCCATATTATATTATTATATACAACAACTCTCTGGTAATCGAGCAGAAGCATGAAGCTATCCTTGTAGATCAAACTGCACAATCTTTCATGTGAACCACACTGTTACCACTTTTACCTTGATGATATTGACAACAACTACTACGATCGACAGGAAGACGTGACTGAACTCTAATCCAGCGACGGTTTGAGGTTAAACTGACGAAAATAATGGTATCGGTCCTACCCCTAGCCCGACTGATCTGAAAATCCTGTGACACGTTGCTGGTGTCATACCCTCCTTGTATACCTCTCACAGTGTCCCATACAAAGAGAATAAAAAAAAAAAAAAAAAAAAAAAAACAGGAGTCTCGTCTCAGAAGATCATACAGCTTTGAGGATGGAATCTTGGATTTAAAAACCGGCGACAGTCCCCAGCTGAGTGACTTACTAATTAATAGCAAGACTTGAGTTCTATTTTTTGCCAACATTTTCAAATTGAGAAGCAAGGGCCCCGCTGTCGTGAGTCAGGTCTTTTTCTCTTCGTCTATCTTTCGGGACCCTGCAGAACCTCAAAGGCCTAGAAGCAAGAGAGGCACCACAAAGATGCCGTTGAAGCGCCGACAAGAGTCCCATAGATGTGAATAATTCGAAAAAGTGCTGGCTAGGAGCGACTTCGGGAAAAAATTAAGTAAGGTTAGCTATGCCAAGCTTTTTGCCACGTGGAAAGTCACGTTTTACTCACGTGGTGTCCTCTCTTTTGACTGCAGGCCAGAAAAGCCAACAGAAGCGCAATATAGAAAGCAAGACATTGACTTGATATAAACAGGCATGTTGTCGCTACTATATACTGACGATAGACAGCGGGCCATGTCTCTGTTTCAAATGTTATACCCTACCTCGACATTTTATATAAATGGATTTCTGCCTCCCCTGCTTGAACTGCTGCATGGAAGCAAGCCACCGAAAAGGCTATCTACATATACCCATGCCCAGCATTGCAACCTGGCATAGCTTACCGAGCTATGTTTTATTTTCCAAAAGAGAAAGTTTGGAGCTCACCTGGTACTATCATGGAAACCTGTATGTTCTGTGGAATTTTATCGAGGACCGGGAGACACAAATTTTGGATACACATTTCGGCTTCTCTAGACATAATCCCGACTAAAGCGCACAGCCTGATTTATATAGCGGAGCAACTTATCACTTAATGCGAGATAAGTGTTAGTCTTACTAGTCGCGCAACCGTTGTAGCGCTTATAATATTGGATCAACGTTGTTCCGTTCAGGTGCGGTTGAATAACTAACTCTCCGTGAAGAGAATGACGTCGTCTTACGTGATCGTTGGTCAATGGAACTCCAGCTCGAACTATTTAATAACCACCAGGCGACAGTCTATTATTTCTTGCAATCTCTTCCTGCTCGTCAACCTTGTTCTTTTCACATTTTGGACTGATGAAATAAGATACTGTGATATTTATATAGGGAATGTACCACCGAGCTTACGTGTTCGGGGAGGAACGTCTCTCCAGTATCCTGAGTCTTTAAAAGCAATCAAGATGGCAACCCTCCCCACCAAAATACTCTCTGGGTTCAGCCATGATATGTGCTTCGAATTTTGTGCATACTTAGCGGGTCCTGAAATAATATCTCTTACACCCTTTAAAACAATACCCAACATTGTGCCGTGCCATTTCTTAGGATTCAGGTCGTAGATATTATCTCGGTCGTGGCCGGTGATATCTCCCCTACGTCTAATTTTCAGGTGGCTTTAGCGTTACTCCTCTATTGCTGCTGTATACTTTAGTATATCCCATTCACGAGTTATTTGCTTGAACTGTGTATTTTTAGGAAGACTGCTTTGTATCTTGAGGTGTTTCTAAGCCTTTCTTCGATAAACCTATCCGAAGAAAACATAGATGTTGACGACCACGAAAGTCACACTGATATTGAGTATAGAAATACTGTAAGGCATATTACTTTACTGGTAACCTTTTTAAGCAACTCCACTCCTAATGGGCCAGGTACACTGCACTTAGTGGCTACCAGCTGTGTCAGGATATATTTGCTGATATCAAGATGATACCTAGTATCACTATAACCATGTAGTAATTGGAGCATATACCGAGACCTGCATAAGATTTCAGCTATCAATCTGTTCTACCTTCATTATAATTTACGGTCTACCCCTTCGATCGAATCCGAATATTCAATCTAGTTGTTGAGATGTACGGTAGTAACGGTCTCCTTACCTGCAGTGACTATGCTCGTCCAGCAGTGTCTGATAACTACATGACGTCTAGTTATCGTCTCCGAATGACATCACAGGGAAGGGAAGCCCAAACTTGCTATATGATGATCGTAGATGAAGCCCCGGTGTATCCTGCTTGACGTCAATTGACTCCATTCCCGCGTCGGATTTATAATCACCGTCGTATAAATTCATCAGCAGTCCACTTGCACGCCCTGAAGTGCCCATCCACGTCAACAGCTGGCTGACATACGACCCAGGACATCCCCCCCCCCCTCCCCAACAGCGAGAAAAGAGAGATAGCATCCAGCATGGTCGTTCTGGGAGTAGCCCAGTGCATGGCCGGACATGGCCTGTCGACGTTTGAAGTGTGCGAGCCCGAGTCTGGGTCGACAGTGCGCGGTCTCTCTCGAAGGCATCACGACGGCCACCGGCGCAGACGAGGCAGCGAGGCCAATACTGGTGCTGATACATGGATACCCGCAGACGTAGGTCGAAGCAAACACTGCCTCGTTCATCTTCCTTGGCTGCGGGGGATGCTCCTTGCCAGGAAGATCTTTTAGAAGCTGTGCTGACGCTGATTCGCGAGCAGGCATTTCATGTGAGTTGTCTATTCATAGCACAAGCAGCATGGCAGCGCTGTTACAGAGTACAGGGTGAAATGACATGCATGGGCACTGACGCACCACGACGTAGGTGGCGCCATGTAAGTTTTGGCTCATGGAGTGCATGGCTTTCTACAGAGAGTGAGGTTTTACTGAGGACGTCGTGGTCTGCCAGGTCATCAAGCTGCTGCCCCGCGAGACCCGGCTCTTCGTCCCTGATATCCCAGGCTACGGGGTGAGTTCGCCGCCCAAGGCCAGCGACAAACGGACCGTAGGCAAGGCGATACTGGGGGCCCTGGAGACGATGCTGGGCCGCTCCAACTCTAATGATAACAAAGGCAATGGCAGCGGCCAACCGCACCGCATCGTGCTTGTGGGCCACAACAGAGGCGCCCGTATCTGCCACCGGCTGACAGTCGACGCAGCCGAGCACTCCCCGACATTTACTATCCTGGCGACTACTCTGCTGGACATTGTGCCGACGAGCGTGCAGTGGGCAGCACTCGCAGACCCGGCCGAGGCGCGCAACACGTTCCACTGGCCGTTCCTGGCCAACGCCGAGCTGGCAAGCACTATGATCCAGGCAGTTGGTGCAGAGGTGTTTGTGCGGCAGATGATGGAGCGCTGGCGCGGGAGCAGCGAGGCAGCCATCTCGCGGTTCGAGGCCGACGATGCGCTGGAGATGTACTCGCGGCCCTTTCGGCAGATGGAGAGCGTGGTACGCAGCTCGTGCGCGGACTACGAGGCTGGCAGCCAGGAAGACGTGCAGGCGCAGCAGCGCGACCAGGCGGCAGGGAGGCGGATGGGGGTCCCCGTGCTGGTGCTGCACTGCTGGGCGATGGGACGGCGGTTCGACGTGCGGCGGGCGTGGCAGGCGTGGGTTGAGGACGAGCAGCTGCTGACGGTCGTGCAGACAGAGGAAGGAATCGGCCATTTCGTGGCGGAGGAAGACCCGGAGGCCACGGTTGGCGCGATGCAGCGCTGGCTGGCGGCCGCAGGACTATCGGTGGCCTAGGAGGAGCCCAGCAGTGGCCGGGCAGCAGCCTTGTCTCCTCCATCGAGCCTCCATCGAGCCTCCATCGCAGCCTTCTTCCTTTTCTTTGCTTCTTTTCTGCTTCTCCTTCGGCTTTTTCGACGGAGATTAAGAGGAGGCTTAGCTGACTAAGCTCAACCCTGGAATAACACTCAAAAGCGGCCAGCAGAGACGACGACGGCGACGACGACGACGACGACGGTATAAAAGATGATATAAAGATAGTAAATATGGCTAAGATGGTATACAGATGCTGGTAAATGAAGTAGCGAAGTAGAGAAGTAGAAGCACTTCCCACCGACAGTCACAGCGAGGGAATCATCCTCGGCTCCTTTTGACTTTTCTTCCTTTTTTTTTCAGCTTCAAAAACGTCCAAAAATCTCTTCGTTGCCGCAGAAAAAAGACAGCAAAAAGAGAAGAAAAAGAGCAGAGAGGAGGAAGCAGAAGAGAAGAAGAAGAGAAAAAGAAAGAAGACGAAGAAGAGGCATCATCTCGACTCTGCGCCGGCAAGAGAAGCAAGAAGCAGCTTCTCCCTCTTGGCCGCCGTCGCCTCCCCCTGCGGCTTGTGGCTGTGGCCGCCGTCATCTCGCATATCCCTGAGACGCAAGAGAGAGAAGCAACAGTTACTTTGCGTACTTTCTACTCTGTCCTGGTGAGTGACTCTCGCTTTACTGCTGCTGCTGCTGCTGTCTGGCCTCTCGCTTTCTGCGTCGTCTTGTGCTTCATCTTGCTGCTGCTGTTGCTGCTGTTGCTGTGGCTGATCTAGCGATACGAGTCCAGGGGCTTCGATCCTTGCGTCTGCTCCGTTCCTTAAAACCCATATTTATTACTCTGCACTAAGACGCATCCCGGGCCTTTTTTCCTTGGGCCATTGCGAGGTTTCAAAGGGGGATTTTCAGCTTTTTTTTCCTATCCTTTATCTTTCACTCCTTCTGCTGCTGCTGCGTTGAGCAATCGGTTACTCGCCTGGAGACAAACATCCAGGAGATCACATACAAGACAGCGAAAAGACAGCATCGACAGAACAGACGACGAGACGACGAGGTATCGACAGTCTGGATGGTCTCGTCCGCGGTCTTCAGGGCACCGACTTCGACGAGTAACGCACTCGTCTCCTAGCAGACGCCAGAGAGCTCCCGCTTCTACCTCCCCCCAGCAGTCACCATGCGGCGCGGCCTGCTCATCTTCCTCCTCGTCAACACGGTCATCATCCTCTTCCTCGTCCGCAGCGTCTTCACCTTGCTCACCTTGCTCGTCGAGGATGCCACCGACGACGCTATCCAGAACGTCGAGCTCCCCGGGGTCAACTCCAGTCTCATCGACCTGCGGCCCCAATTGATCCCCAAGATCATCCACCAGACCTACAAGAACGAGAGCATACCTGAGATATGGGTTGGCCCGCGGAACGGCTGCATAGAGATGCACCCAGACTACGAATACATCGTGAGCTTCCCTCGTACCTCTTGCTTTCTTATCTAGCTACTTTTTTCAACTGACAGGCCCGCGCTAGCTCTGGACGGACAAGAAATCAAGGGACTTCATCGCCGAGCACTACCCATGGTTCCTCACCACGTTCGACAACTACCCCTTTCCCATCCAGCGGGCGGACTCGATCCGCTACTTCATCCTCGCACACTACGGTGGCACATACATTGACCTTGACGACGTTTGTACCCCTCCATCAGCCTCCCAATCTCCCACTTACCCCTATCTACCTTCATACAAAGAGGAGGAAGAAGAAGAAGAATGCGACTGGTGCTAATGCAGTGCAATATATGCAGGGTTGCAACCGACGCCTTGACCCGCTGCTCTCTTACCCTGCTTGGGTACGCCGGACAGCCCCTACAGGCATCTCCAACGATGCCATGGGCTCTGTCCCCAACCACCCTTTCTTTCTGAGAGTTATCAAGTCGCTGCAGGCATATGACCGCGCCTGGGTGCTCCCTTACATCACCGTCATGTACTCGACCGGCCCGCTCTTCCTCTCCGTCATCTGGAAGGAATACAAGAACACCGATCCGGACGGCGTCAACCGTGTGCGAGTACTGCTGCAGGATGCATACAACCGCCACTCCTGGAGTTTCTTCACTCACCACCCGGGCAGCAGCTGGCACGGCGAGGATGCACAGCTCATCTTCTGGGTACGTTTCGCCGATGTATCATGTATCTTTCTTTTCTTTTTCTTCTAACAGACTTTGGTCATGCAGATGGGGAGCCATTGGATGCTCATCACCTTCTCTGGTTTCCTCGCGGCAGGCATCGTCGGCCTGGCGCTCTGGCGAATCTACCGTCGCGTCCTGTCCCTGGGCTCGAAGCACGCCCGTTACACACCCCTCGCATCAGGCACATCGTCACCACGCCGCTCCCTCTCACCCTCGCGCCGCAAGATGCGCATTCTCCCGCTCTTCTTCCAACGGTCACACGCCAAGAAGGAGGATGAGGAGATTGGACCAGATTCGCCGTACGAATTGGGCAATCGATAGTAAAAGAAAAGAAGGACAATGCGATGGCGGCCCCACCCAATAGTATTACATCCGACCTTTCATACCGAAGAAACAGAATAAGAAAAGAGAAAGACGAGGAGAGAGACACTTAAAAATACAAAAACAAGGAGAAAGAAACTCAGCCCGGGGACCTTCCACCTTCTGTGAAAATATTCCGTCAATATGTTTTTTTGATATATACCGGAGAGACCATATTACGACCTTTAATACCCCTTTCCACCACCACCACCACCACCACCATCACTACCATCGCCATCACTACCATTTCTACGGCCTCTAGGGCTGGGAATCATCTCCCCCAGAATCAGGATAATGTTAATATTCCTACCCCGTCCCCTCTTTTGAAACGAAACACCTTAAACGGCCGCTCTGATACCTCACTATTACTAGCATGCGCATACACGCCCAGATGCGTTTGAAAGCATTGTACTAGTTAGATATGTCTGCCCCTTTTCACACCAGTCTCTCTTTCACCACACCTACTATCCCCCTTTTTCTCTTCTCCTTTCAGCTCACGGCTTGGTTTTTCTTCCTCTCTTTGGGTTGGTATGAGTTTCATTGCACTGCAGCGTTCTGTTGGCATCGCATCTGTATTTGTTCACACCCCCTTTTTCCTTTTCCTTTTCCTTCAATGTACTCTTCAATGTACTCTTTCAATATCCCTCACCAGAGCCAGAGGGACACTCTTCAATATTATTAATGATAGAGACAAGTGAAAATATCCCTTACCATGACTACCACTATGTACAAAGAGGAGAGTAAAACAAGAGTAGAGACACAACCCAACCGTATAAACGCCCAAAGATGCAAAGTTACCCGGTCCACCCAATACTATACACCCTGCCTGAGCCGCAGCCGCAGATGCAGAAAACAAAAAGTAATCAGCTATCTCTCGCCCTCCTCTCAGCTCGTTTGATCTTCCGGACTACATCCAGGTATTCGCCCACCCGCTTCTCCGCCCATATACAACCCCCAAGCGTCATGATGCTGATCTGTATAAACGTCTTAAACTGCGGCGTCAGACCACGATAGACTCTCGACATCGGCGCAATCGAGTTCGAAAACGACACTAGAGGTCGGTATATCAGCGGTGTCGGCATTGGCTTCGGCGGCGGCGGCGGCTTGCCGTTGGCTGCGTTCGATGTGCTTGATGTAAAGTGCATTGGATGCGGGAGGGAGAGGATTAGATGGGCCAGGATCGAAAGGGCGCCGAACTGTGTGGGAAGGTCGTCATTATCAATAGGATCGATCTAGGTATGTACCTTACGTACGGGAGGGCTCGGGTAGGTATTTCTATGGTGTATCTAGGGGTATAGATGCTGCCAATTGACTGCAGGAAAGAGGAGAGAGGACTTAACGCACTCGAACGGCGCCTGTGATGAAGCCCATGGTGGCTTCTTTGGTGACTTGGGGCGGCGGCTCGATGTCCGCTCGCTGGTTGGACGGCGGCGGCATTGTTTGTTGTCTCCGTCGGGTGTATTGATATCCGGCTGTTATTGATAATTTCGGGTCAAGAGTAAATGCCTGGCTGGCTTTGTTGGCTGTGTTGGCTGTATCAAGTTTGCTTCGGGTTTGATATCGACCTCGGGCTTTGGCTTGTTTGGTTGGAGATTGGTGATGGATTTACTTTTGGCCGCTGGACAGTCAATTACAGGTACCTACTAGGATGGCTACGATGTTTCATTGTATCTTTGACTATGATAGACGACAAGTATTATCTATTCTCGACGCATTAGATTGCAATGTTGTACTCGAACATAATTAGCTGCCGTAAAGCGATGTGCAAATAAGAAGACATAAAACCGCCCAGTAGAAAATCCCGCCCAGGAACCAGATGAACCGCCTACAATGAGATGTAAAAAACAAAAAAAGACAAAATAAGAGAATCAAACAAATGTAAAAAAAAAAAAAAAAAAGTATGCAGGAGATGCTCATTTCTGATGAAAATGTATGCGAGAGCTGGGGGGATGGCATGGACCAAATGCACTCATGCAGAAGAAAGGTAAGGTAGGTTGGTCGGTGTATGTACTGGAACTCATGTTCATATCATTCCGGTCGATCCAGGACAGGTTTTGGTTCGAAAAAGGCTTTCGTTCGAAGCATATGAGTATGTTTCATCAAGCAAAAAGAAAGAAGAAGAAAAAGGGGGTAATAAAATTAGGGGTATCGAGTTGAAGTGAAATGGTGAAAAAGGGGGGGCTGCTGGCAATGTAAAGATTCAAGCCACAGGGGCATGCAGAATGGGGAATGAATAGAAAAGAAGTCTATGGGTGTTGGGAGAAAGAGAGGTGTAAGAAAAAGTTGCTCATGGCGGAAGATGTTCAACAATGTCATGCCGTGAGCTTTTTTGCTTTTCGTCTAAAGGAGGTTGATCTCGGGAAGATCCCAATCCAGCTGTGGTGGAATGTTGGATGACCCAAGTAGGTCGGATTTCTTTTGTGTTTCTCTCTTGCTTGTGCTTCTGGCAGTCAGCATGCCACGTAGCGATGGTGTCCGTGCCGTACCGAATTTCCGCCCGTTGACCGGAGTCCTGTCCATTGTCATGCTGGTGTTGGTTTTGATACTGACGCTGCTGGTGGAGTTGCTGCTACGTACGCTGCTGGTTGGTCGTAGGAGAGCCGGTCGAGGCTGGGTGGACACAGGTACCGCGAGCTCGTCGGTTTGGATATGTGACTGGGACGAAAATCCTGAGCCCGGAAGGACGCGGTCAATAAGTGCGCTCTGCTTCGAACAGGACTGTGAAAACGACCAGTCCAAGTTGAAATCTACGGCGCCAATGTCGTCCTTCGACGTGTCCGTGTCATCAATAATATAATTGTTGGCTGTCTTGAAGCTCGCGGACCTGCTAAGGGCTGATGCGTCACTTGACGGCGTCTCAGCTGCAACAGATGTGCCATCTCGCTGGCTCATGTCTTCGACAGGCGCAAGTGAGAGCTGGTTGAGGAATGTGGCCAAGCTGGCTGCGGTGGCTGGTCGTCCCTCGCTTTTGGTGTCATCATCACCAACAGCCTGATCAATATAGCCGTGCAGCATGTTGTAGTTCCGGTAGAGATAGCGTTGGAGACGAGCTTCCTGTATATTCCACTTATTCTGAAGCGCTTCAATAGCGAATTTGATCTCCGGCCGGGTGAACTGGGGTACTGTTGCAGATGCCACCATGCCAGACTGTACGCAATTCATAGCCCCGAGAGTGGCAGATGATGCGCGACGAACACCAGAGGAAGCTGCCCCTTGTGAAACTGAAGGGTGCGACTTGACCAACTTATTGCCGCCGCTGGTGCTGCTACTGCTGCTACTGTAAGAGCCTGAGAATGCTGCACGCACAGATCGACGAATCGAAGATGCAGTAGAGAGACTCGACCGGAGCCCAGTTTCTTTCACGTCGGCTTCCATTTCCCGTTGGACTCGTGCAAGAGATCGTTTGCAGTCGCTTGCCATTGACGGAACGTGTAGCAGGGTTTTATTCTTCTGTAAAGCATTGACTATAATGGTGAATGCCTGCAGATTGATCTCGTTGTTTTCACAATGTATCTCAACCAACGAATTGTTCTCTTCGATTACAGATGCAAGTGTGTTTGCTCCCTGAACACCTAGCTTCTGGTGCTCAATCTTCAGTACCTTCAGGGTATTGTTCTTCTTCAACCCCGTCAAGGCAAGATTCAATCCAATTCCAAACCTGCTTACGTCAAGATGGGCCTGTTCGCTGCTGATGTCAAGTTCTTGGATGGAAGAGTTCTGCTCAAACATTCTCTGCAGAGCCTTGGAAGCCTCCGCACCGGCATCGTGAGGGAGAGAGAGTCTGGAGATATCAAGATACCGCAAGGTATTGTTCTGAACAAGCGCCTCCACCAAATGCCTAAAGTCTTCGTCACGCTGAAACTCTATGCTTCTCATCGTGAGATGAGTTGGGGTCCGGTTCTGCGATATTGAAGCGAACATGAGGTCGCAGTCAATGGCCAGCCGGTTGTCGTTTACATGCAAGTGTATATCGCGAGGCTTTAATTCCTCATCAACCATGAAATACAGCAAAGTAGCGACATCACCGCCGGTAATTCCACATTGGTTCAGGTGCAGCTCACGAAGGTTTTTAGATTCCGGACTAGCAAGGTACATTGCAATCGACTCCACCGTCTGCTCGTTGACCGTAGTATTGTTTAGACATAGTTCCTCCAGCTCCCAGTTCAGCAATGTCTCAGCCGAAAGGAGAGGTTCACTCTTTGAGGTCCGCAAAACCTGAGAAAGCTCAAGCTTCCGGATATTCCTCAGGCAGCCAGCCTGTTGTTGGAACTGGTCTGGACTCAGTCGCCCAACAATATTCGAAATCTGCAAGCATTTGAGGGTGTCCTTCTGGACTCGGAGAGTGGACAAAATCAGGTTCAGATCGTGGACCTGCAAGCCACAGTTGTTCGCTTCAAAGGCTCGGAGTGCCGAAGTCTTTTGAGACGCTGCATCGACAAGATAATCCAGATCCGAGTCGCCAAGCTCTATGCCATTGAGAGCAAGCCAATCTACCCGGGTTAGGTTGCGTCGGCACAGGGGGAAGACAGCCTCTGGAATACCACATCCAGGGTCGCGTTCACCCCCAACCGCCTTTGCAGAGCGGGTCAGGCAGTATGAGAAGTCCATGCGCTGTAACGTTCTGCTCTTGAGAGCTAAGGCCCGTACCTCCTGGGTTAGCGAGACAATTTCCTCTTGTCCGGGGATATGGACCGCCACATTCGACCTAGTGCGCATGGCGTCAAAATCCGGTCCGTAAGGGTCGCGCATTTGTTGAAGGATATCCAGGTTGACGCGCGCAAATGAAATAGTGGCGAATGATTCGTTATATCGTAGCGCACGGAAAACGGCAAGTAGTTCCAGAAGCAAATATCCTCCTCCATCCGGGCAACCTTCCCGCGGAAGTAGTTGAAACGCGGGCGCATCTTCACAGTGGTAGTCTACCATGTAGCGGATCTTCGAGGTATCGACATCGTATGCGGCGCAGTAAGCAATAAGAGTCCGGTCAAAGCATCCATAGTCCTCCTCAAAAGTAACTGGCGGCATTACCCGAGCCTGGACATGAGGGGGCACGTTAAAGGCAAAAGGTTGATGTATCCATCCTGGCCTTAGGTACTCTGCTCGTTGTCTCAGCAATAGTGCAATTTCGCCTGAGTAGCTTGAAGATAGGTTGACTATTGACGGGCTTTTAAAAGGTATCCTAGAGAAACAGTTAGCCTAGCTTTCAAAAACGGTACGAAAGGCAAGTATGATAGTAGTAGAAAATTTGTAATAAGCAGGTATACTTACCTGAAAATCAATTGAAAGGTATCGTCGCTGGCTTGCACTGAGATAGAGGATAAAGCCATTATTCCTAGACACGCATCTAAATCCAGCTCAACCAACGAGGCCATAGAAGCTCTATTGGATGATTTGGTGTTGGTAGGTAAGATATGTATTTTATGGACTCCAATGGCAAGGAGACAGGTGTTTGATGCCAGTTTTGTGATATCGTCTGTTGACGCGCGGTTGCCTTGTTTGGTGGACATCCGGTGAACGACTCTGTATAGCCCAAAGCAACCTGGGTCGTAATCTCTCTCCTGCTCCAGGACATTGGTGACATAGTTGATCGTGTCATCGTCAAAAACGGGTGGTTCAATTGATATGGCAGTCTCTGCAGCCGCCCGAATGCCCATCAGCCATAGCTGTGCTTCCTGCGGGTCAGCAAGCTGGATATGGATAGCCGAGCCTCTGGGGTTCTTCTCGTCCATGTAGCACACTTCGACTGAGAAGTATGGTTTCCCGTCATCCAGCCGGTGGACGGCTATGATGTTGTTCAGGGCAATGCCTATTCCGCCCTCTCCGCCACCTCCAAGGGCCGCTGCTCCTCCTGTGAGCTGGTTTTCGTGTAGAGATGCAAGAGAGACCATGGAAAGCCGGTTTGACGCTGCTGCTGCGCCAGCACTCCGGCCCCAGGACGACGGTATGGAAGGGAAGACTTCGGCTGCCTTGCTCTGGCTCTTGAAACGGACGAGGTGAGACTCGGTCAGGACGAGATAATGACTTCTCTTCCGCCACATTGCCCCTGCAGTCTGCACTTCGCCATGATGCAGGACCTTTATGCCAAAACTCCGGTTTATCAGTGGCTGGTTGTTGTTATTGTTGTTACTGCTGCTGTTGTTGTGGTGCTGCTGCAGCTTGTGGGCGCGGGAATTGCCAGCTTCCCGCATGATGGGGAGGTCATCTTCGTTGCTGGACGTCGACCTGGATCTCGTCCTGGTCGAATTCTGGTCGTCATCCATGGACTTGAGGGATCTCAGCGAGCCAAAGACAGAGCTCCTGCCCAGAGTGCGGCTGACAGACTTTGCCCGCGAGCGAATATTGGGTTCGGTGGCAGAGTGAGGCAGCGTGAAGTTTGGCAGGCTGAGCTCGTCCTCCTGGAAGGGCAGCGAGGGTGAGTAGGACAGAGGCCTCACCGTGGCCTTTGACAGCCTCTGCCTAGTGCCTGTCGTAGTACCTGTAGTAGCCGTTGTGGTGGTGGTTGTGGTGGTCATTGTGGCCGTCTTCATCTCGCCGGCGCTGCTGGTCGGACGCGGCCTGACAAACGCCAGGCCCAGCAGCGAGGATCTGCTCCCCGAGCGTGTTTTCCTGTTCCGAAGCTTCTCGTCCTCCTTACTGCTGCTGCTGGCCCATGACAATGGCTGCTGCTGCTGCTGCTGTTGCCAGCGGCGGTGGTGGTGGTGGTGGTCGAGGTAGTGAGGTGGAGGCTGCCCGTCGAGATGTCGCAGGTGGCTGCTGTCGTCCTGGTCGAGGGCTCCGGCCGCAGAATCCAGCACATCCGCTTGTCCGCGACGCTCGCCGTAATATCGAGCCAGCGTTAATGCATCGCAAGAGGCCCGGTCTCCGGCGCGCAGCAGTCGAGAGCTGGCGACGGGTGAGGCGGACTCCAGAGACAATAGCCCAGTGGACCCAAACACGCCAAAACTCTTCCTTCTTTGCTTCTTCGACCGTTCAGCCATGGCGTCGCGACGCTGCTGCAGCTCTGCTTCGACGACGAGGCCAACCCAGCGCGGGTTTCAAAAAAGGAACTGCTGGAGGAAAAAGAAAGAAAGCCAGAGAGGCAACGGGAGGGAAACAGACGACGATGCAAGAGGGAGAGAGGAAAAAGAAACGTCGTGATGAGGCCTGAAATCGATCTTCTCGTATGATACGGCCGGCGGAGCTTCTGTTTTAGCAGCAGCTCATCGCTGAGACGGCGAGCAGGAGGCGGTTTCTGCGTCTGCGTCTGCGTCTGCGTCTTCTGCTGCCTCTCGCGGGCCTCGAAACACGATCTGGACAGCTCTCGTCCTCCGCTGCCTGCTGATGGTGTTTTCTCCCAGACGGCCGGTTTTTCTCTCGAGCTTCGGACGGGATGCAGGATCAACAGATCAACAGGTCTACAGAAGGTACAAGCATTGCGGTGAAATCAGCCACATCATCCGCTACTGCTTCCTGGACAGGGAAAGCGTTCGCTGTTTGAGAGATATCTCTGCGTGAAGCCCACGGAGATAGGATATATACGAAACCCCTGCAGGTAGACAAGGGGGCAGACAAAACACACACATACACACACGGAGAGGCGAAGTCCCAGGACGAATGAGACTGTGAAGAGGCTCAAAAAAGAACGGGGGAAGAAGAGACAGAAAAGACGCAAAAAAAGGAAAACAGGACAAGAGAAAAAGAGACGGAGAGACGAGGATGATTGCTGTTGATGAAGATGAAGGGAGAAGATGAAGCCGCCAACGGGGCATGTCTCAAGCTCCATCCATGCACCGGTTCAGCCACTCCGGCTCCAAGATTTGGAAAGAAAAAAGTAAAAAGAAAAATAAAACAAAAAATAAATAAATACAAAATCCGTACCAGCAAGCTACGGGTTAAGAGTGACTTGACAGAGGACTCCACCGGGCATGCTTTGGTGCTGCTGTGGGAGCGAGCAATCAACCCGGACATTGTACCCGGACAGAGGAGTCTCCCGCCAGAGCAAGCAAGCGAGATCCCAACCAGAGGGACCGTAGGAGAACGACATGAACAAGAAGAGCATCAGCAACCAATCCAGGAGGCGAGGCCTTCCAGATGCAAGTTGAGATCTCGGGAACTTACGGCCAAGGCCCCCAATTTCATGCATGCCATCCCTGAAGTCTGTTCGGGGCAACAAATCCGCGATCTCACTCCGATCCATCTAAAAAAGTGACTGTCCGCTAGCTAGCTAGCTAACTAGTTAGGTAGATTGGAAGGGGAATTGAGTTTGATCTCCTCCGTCCGTGGGCCTGGCGCGGATGCATCGGTATTGTATGTATCTGGCCTGGCTCCGTTGCTGGCTGTATCCCTACGTCATCTGCTGGGAAAAGGAGGTCAAAACACTTACAGCCGGATACGCAGTGACGAGACAGACAACACCCGTATTTTGACAGCTAGCCAGCGAGGCAGCATCCAAACTTGTTCTCACTCGGGTTCGTGAGCTTGGGACGAAGCGGGTCTACACATCATAGCCAGAGAAGAAAAGAAAAGGAGGTGCTCAATGTGGAGCCACATGATGTCAATCGTACCCTCTGCAGCATCCCTGCAAGCTCGCTGGCATTTGGGAACTCCAAGTCGCACAGAACAGGAGCGTGTCATTGGTGCTAGGATGGCCCCTGTGCATTGGTACGTCGTTTTCTGTCAGAAGAAATAATATCTGGCTTCCTGTCGAGAAACGCCAGGACGTTTGGGTGGTGCTGCCAACTTCATTCAGGCACATGGTTGGTTCACTTTGAAAGCCCCAATGCTTAAACCTCCGTCGTTACTCATATTACGGCAAACCGCAGAATCAAACTCCTCCCTATCGGACATGATCGGTTTAATGCTACGGAGGTTCCACGGGAAGCTCCGTCCTGAGTTTTTCCAAGCAACAAGCTCCCTCTTTACTAAAGCATGAAAATCGAAATCCAAAATAATACCGCTGGCTTTTGGGCAACCTTAAAACCAGCCAGAGTCCCCAGTTTAAAAAGGTTACTGCTTTCTTCCAGCCAGCATAGAGTTATACTATCAATGTACATTGGTACATGCACACGTATAACTCTGTGCCACAAAAACACAAGTGGTTGCAGTGAGGGGAGAGTTATCCCCATTTTTACATCAGGAGAAAGAAGAAAAATGGCCGACGTCCTCAAATAACAAACAACTGCGATGAGATCAATACGATACTAACGGCTCACACCAAGCAGCAATTTTTATCTCTTGGCGGCAATCGTGGCAAATTGGAATTCGCCAATCCCCCCTTTTTTGTATATATGAAGGGAGATTCTTGAAACAAGCAACGAGAAGTTAGGCGGGATCGGGGCTAAAAATTGCCTCGATAACCTAACACAGTCGAACGGGAGTGCCATGGCGGCTCTTGTTGTCCTCTCTTCCGGAAGATTTCAACCTAGCAGGCGGGAAAGGGGAAGATGTGAGAGGGAAATTTTTGTGGTAAGGTCGGTCGAGTGCCTTGTCAGTGGTAACTCGCAGATGGAGATGTTTTCTTCCTCTTCAGCCAACAGCAGCATTGAGATGGCACCCTTCCTGCTTCGCAAAACATCTGCCTTGTCCCAAGGCTAATCAAGTAAGTCGTTTCTGTGGATAGGGCTGAAGTCGGCTCTGTCCCCGAGGCCCTGGGGTTTCGCCGCTGAGGCTACGCATCTTCACCCAGCCTGGATACCTTCAGCTCCTGACATTACGGCTTGTTCTATCTGGTGACAGAGATTGCCGACATTATATTTGACGATTTGTGGGGTTAAATTGGCCTGTGGGGATTTTTCTCCTCTTTCACCCCCTGGCAATAGCTGCGATCCTTGACTGATATTACCGAGTCGCCTGAAGATGGAAAAGCTTGTCATCCCAGCAGCAATTTCGCGAATCAAGCATGCTTCCTGGAAAGAAAGATAGAGTAAGAAGGGCACTTGGGATCTCTCGCTATGATTTCGCAGAAGAAGAAGAGAATTTTCTCGTACTTTCTTTCCTCTGGGGCCGTGGAAATGAAGGCGAAAAATAAGCTGGTTGGCAGTGAAATTAACAAGGGTTCATTCATATCGACAGGGGGAGCAGATGGAGCAGCAGCAAGGGCGCGCGTCTTGACCGTCCTTTTTAGGCCAAAGCTGAACTGTCACACTTGATCCATATAGTTGGCCATGTTGATGAAGCGTGTGAGGTGAGATCAGATGGGGAAAATAGTTCTGAAAAGTCCCATCAATTCCACATAACTATGGGCCACACTGTCCAGAAATGATGATTCGATATGATCATTTGCTACGGAGTACACCAATTCCTCTGTAAGTAGGCCCTTTGAATGAGAATCACTTACTCCGCAGGCGAAGGGCTTTCTGAGAAAAAAAAGCAAAGGAACTTCCAGCTTCCTCCCCTGGACATTGCATGAATGCCAACACTCGCAAAATGGAGTTTAAGATGAAAAACATGGCAGGGTGAAGCGAGCGCTTTGAACTAGCTCGGTCCCGACGCGGGAGAGAGGTGTTGGTGATCCCTTCACGATGTGACCCTCCTGCATGTCTCTCTTCAGAAGCTCTATGTCCAACATACATACATACCGCGCAGTACAAAGGTAGTTCCGTCAAAGTGCCACCAGTTATGCTGGCACAAGTGACGCTCCTCAGGTGCCGCTCATGCAGTTTTTTCTGGTGGCAAGTAATGCTGCTACCGGTGAAGGAGCAATTCCACCACCTTATAATGCCCACTCAAGGGCTGCTCAATTGAGCTCACCTCATAGGTGAATAAGTTGAAGTCCTTAAATATACGATGAGATAAAAAATGCAAGTAAGCTAAACTTGATACTAGCTACGTGAATATCTACAGCTTTCGGTGCAACTAGTAGCATTGTGTGCTACTATGTGGATAAATCAATCCATGGTGAAGAATGCAAAGCAGGCATGAGAAGTATAGAAAAGTCCTCATCCGATCTATCTAGACGAGCCACCAGCAGGTTGGCCACAACACTGGACGCCGCTGGACACCGCTGGACACCCGCTTTGTTAGATGTCCGGACTTGGCCATGGTGGTGGCTAACAACACATTTCCATCTTCGTGCGTCGAGCAAGAGACGGTTTCCTTTGGTTTCTGGATCAACCTGTAGCTTCAGGAGTCACTGGTCAGCTTCTAGCACGACCAACTGGTATATTCAATATCTTGTCGATTTGCTACCGCAGTTATTTTTCTTCATCAGTCGCTTTTTTCGGGGGGCTGCGATTTGTGTCACTATTTACCCCCTATTCAGAGATACCCAGCAGCGTACTCGCCATATCACATTGATCAGATGACTGTGTGATACCCAGAACTCTAGCTACTTGCAGAGCCATGCTGTGCCCCCAATTATTCGTGAGTTCCTGTATGCTCCTTAGACGGTGAAGGAAGCTCTGAGTACTGCGCTCATTGTGGCCGCCAGTCGCCCGATTGACGTTTTTCTTTAACTGAATAGATCGCCTTGCTCGTCGCCCGACAAGACAGGAGCTGAGATGGGTTGGAAATAGCTCTCGTCTAGCGATCTATCTTGAAGATTGTTGCCTTCACAGAAGTCTGCTTGGATTTACAGCCACGGTATGGTCATACTAACCCGTCCTGCCTGCTGCAATACTGTATGAAGCCGATAACATATATAAGGGGTTAATTCGTCGCAGGCGCTCTACATTCATTTCAAGTGTTCGTTTACCAGCATCCAAGTTACTACAGCAAGCTATAGCTCACCTTATTCTGTGCGTGTGCTCCCTTCATTTCGTTCACCTCTACTTCTTAGTGACCTAACACAAAGATTTAGGTATCAACCACATTACGATGAAGTTCATCAGCATCCTTTCAACCGGTCTCCTGGCCGCTATCTTGCCAGTCGTCATTGCTGGCCCAATGCCCATACAGGAAAATGCTGATATCCAGCAATCTCCCAACCAGCGTCATGCTCCCCTTCCAGGCGACCCTCGCCCCGAGTGTAGGGGTAGATGCAAGAGCCGGGCGGACTGCGCAGCCGGCTGTGACTGCAACCCAATTCGCGGAAGCTGTGTTGGCTGGAAGAGTCCTTAGATTTTCGGAAAAGTTTCCTGCAGGTACGTCTACATTTTCTCTGAGTGCACATACACTACTGTTTCGGTATAAATTTAGCGGCTAATCTGTGAGATAGTGCAAGCTAGGGATCTTAGTTCACCTATACTTTGATGTCGGGTGTATAACTGGCGGATAGATGCATAGGCGAAATATGATTCAAGCGTAGTATCTATAAATGAAGTAGGATTGTGTATTGAATGATATCGAATCCTATCAATATTATGACTAGCCAAAAATTTTTAAAAATATTACCAATTAGTAGCGGTACTTATGTTGAGCGTAAATAAGAATAACCACGTTGAGAGACTTTCAGGAATATAACACGCACGTTGCAGAGGGTTGTCACGGAGATGTTGTCTTTTTCCTTACAGGCATCTTCACTCATTACCTTCAAGTTAGGGTGTATTATGTGAGATTCGATTTCTTTATATGTATCTGTGTTTCTCATGGAATATCGATCGACTTTGAGGCCTTTCAATTGTCGTAATTGGTGATACAATCGCAGTTTCGCGCATGAACACTTGCAGACTATCTTGACGTCAGCCTTGATACATCCAACTATAAATATATATATAAGTGTAGCGATTATGAAAACGCAATAGGAAGCCCTGCAAACCCCTGGTTCGGTTCTTCCTGCCTAATAGTAAGGCGCTCCGTTAACTGAACACCATGGATGCCTATAATTCTAGATATAGATAGAATAAAGCACACCTAGTACTTCTGACCTAGATACGGCTGGCTAGGCGCTCAGTGCGTGACCACACCTGCAAAGAGAGAACGATGGATTGCCACCTGAGAGTGTGAAGACTGGGGAAAAAAGTTATCTCGAGGTGAACAATGCAATAGAAGGTTCCGTTTCAGGGCAATAAGATGCTCTGGTTTATAATATCAAATGTTGACATGGCCGCGAAGGCATGATAATATGATAATAATACATATGTTTTCCGGTCATTCCACATTCCTGATCTATAAAAGGTTCATAAACGCCGTATATGCGGGGAGTAAGGGTGGTATAGGGGAATCAGATGCAAAAGATCAGCAACGGAATAGTAGAACATGATATAAATAGGCTCTTTGCTTTAGCAGAAGAAGAAGGAGGGGAAAGACCGAAGAAATGAACCGAAGGTCTGCCAGTGTTGATAACAAATTGACTGAACTCAGAAAGGGGTATATACGGGAAATTGAGTATGAAGTCTAGCTTTGGTATTGAATAATTCCCTTTGCTTTCTCGATTTTATCCATCTGGTCTCTCCATTTCTGTCCCTCTTTACTGATAGCGTTCAATCTCTCTTTGAAGGCCGAGTTCGGCGCTTCTTCGTCCTCTAGTGCCCCAAGGAACCTCGACCGCCGTTTCTTGCATGCATTATACAGCGTCCATCCTCGTTCCTTACCAAAATGGGCAAGCTGATATTTCACAGTCCAGGTATCCTTAGCAGTGAACATGGTGGGCCTGTCCACTTCCTTGCCGTTGACAAAATTGCGAATTGACAATGCCATGGCAAGTAAAGGCTTTTCAGGATCTATGTCATCCTCAGAGGCGGATTCTTTCGACTCTGGCTCTTGCTTGGTGGGGTTGTCAGCTTCGCTAATCGAGGAATCCATCTGCTGAGGTTCAAGGAGCTCAGGGTAGAACACCCTCTTCTCGTAAGCCTGGATCTCATCGAGGTTTCTTTCCTGGATCTTCGTTATTTCATCTTCTGTCATGGGTTCGGCAAAAATGTACATAAAGGGATTTTGTGTTTCCCGGGTATCAAAATGAAATCTCAGTGACTGCTTAGGAAATGTCTGAGTAGCCACGTCTATGACTTTATTCCAAATATTGAGACTGAGTTTAAACTCTGCATCACCAAGGGCTGTATCCTCTTGACCATGGATACACTTGTCCATCTCGGGTAAGCTGATGTACTGGAATCCGAATATTCGTTTGATATTATGAAAAGCAACAAATATCCCATCCATTCTGCCAATACGGACCTGAAGATGATACTTCAAGAATGCAGATCGCATCATGTCATAGTATTCGCGCTCAAAAGACTCAAAGTCTCCCAGGCGGGTCTTTATCTGGTATCCCATAGCATTCCATGGCTCTCTTGCGTCCATGCGAATTGAAACTACTGCACGGGTTTTCAGATCAAACATCCCAGTGCCGGGAAGACGAGGATCATATGCATCAAGTTGAGATCTCATCAAGAAATCACCACAGGTTGAATAGTGGTACACCTCGGGGGGAGAGTCCTCTTTCAGTATCTTATCCGGGCTATTCCTCCGGTAACGTTCGTACTGGTCTCTAGGTATGGTGAGCAATTTCTCCATGGACTTCCCTAGTCCCATCAAAACATTGGATGTGTCCCATTCTTTATCAGCGTCGACAGCATAGACTCCGTTTCTGTATCGCAGAAAAACGACTGCCGGGAGCCGAGAAAGCTTTGTGTAGGTTTTCGAGGTGGCCGGGAAAGAGTTCGACAAATGAGATGTGTCGAGCTCTCGCCATTCGGATAGTAAGAAATGGAAGTGTGATAGTACACCAGTCATGCTAGATGATGATCCAATGTATTTTTTGCCGGCCGCAATTGCTTTGTCCTTGAGAACGGTATCTTTCGACGATGTAATGTAGTCGTTCAAGGCTTTGAAGTCAAACTCGGAAACGGGCATTATATCGCGTAGGTACGGGTCAAAGTTATAAACCATCGTTCTAGGATCCTGTAACTGATAAACGCCAGGACTAGCCCAGGTTAGCTGAATAACTTGATGAAGGAATGAATTGCAGGCATACTTGAATAATACCCTGTCCAAACCATATGATAGGGAGGGGACATCATCCGATTCCGTATTCAAAGCTAAACAGGAAAAGCAAAGGAAAATGTTAGATAAGAACGTATATGCTAGAATGGAAACGACTCACGGAGTATTTCAATGTCCCCAAGAGTAACCTCGCTTGTGAGCTTTGGAGATGCAGACCTCACTGGGGCAAACTCATCTAGATTACCCTTGGTCGCTTTGCCAGGCTTTGACTTCCCATTCTGTGCTGCGAGGTTGAGGGCCGCTATGACTTTGCTGGGTCGAAGCTAATGAGGCAGACGTAGTTAGACGGGGCTAATGTAATGGGTAGAAATGAAGCATCACATACCTTTTTCAGTCGAAGTTTCGATTTTTGCTGAATTAGAATCATGTTCTTTATATTTTCATCCGAGGTGCCAGCCAGATTAGCCAGATTTTTGGCTTGCGCTGCAGCCTTTTTCTTCCGTGCCTTCGACTTTGATTTTCGGGTTTTGGCAGGTTTCGCTTCTACCTCCGGGGCAATTTGTGTATTGGCCGACTGCGTCGATGGTGCATCTTTGCTAGATTTGCTTGCCTGGAGATTATGTAGGTCAGCTTGCCGGACGGCCAAATTAACGGTATAAATGCGATATATAGCAACGCACCTTATTCACGTCCCCCTTCTCTTTCCCCTTTACCTTCTTTTTACCGCCAGAAGATTTCTCTGCTCCTGATCCTTCATTGCTTCCACTCTCATTCGGTTTTACTTCGATGCTGTTGGACTGGGAGGATGCGTCTGGTTGTGTGGGGAAAGTGGCATGGTTGTGACGGCGTATAGCGGTAGAGGGGAGCGCAATGCTTCTAGACAGACATGATTGACAAATGTAGGAGCAAATTGGCCGTCTCATCGACCTAGACAGCATTGCAGTCGAGATTAGGCGCCGTATCTAGAGGAGGGTATTTTTCATGAACCAAAAAAATAACGAGAACACAATATCCAAAGAAGAGAGCGGCACGTCACAAGGAGAAGAATCACCGGCAAGAAGAACCCATCCAAGAGCTATAAAATAGCAAAAGAAAAAGGAGCGAATTAAGAGAGCCGAAGCGTGAAGAAAGTCGAGATTTTGTTTTGCATCGAAGAAAAGCTAGAAAAAGTTCTGGAGAGCTCTGTGTTTGCACTGTTTGCACCCTCTGGCAAAGTTGATATAAAAAAGAAAAAATAAATAAAATTAGAAGCGATTTGAGCGACGCCGAGATGAAGACAAATGCTCTTATTTAATTGTAGTTTCTGACAAGATTAGCCCTATCTGGTCATATAATTTGTAAAATGGCAGTCTTATTTGTAAATAATCAGCTTCGCTAACTAGTTGTCAATAATTGCGTCTAGCTGATGACTCGACAGCCCGGCCTTCCAGACAATATTATAGCAGTCTCTTCTTTTCCAGCTGTATCTGCTCATCTAGATACACCTTTCGTCCATCTCAATGCTGTCGAGTCTGCCGACATAGACATTGGAAGTCGTCAAAATAGTATCAAAAGGAGCCGCAAACTTTGGTGGGACCGCGAACTCTAAAAAAACCTCGCGGAAAAAACTTTTGCAGCTTTCAAGGGGAACCTGAAATGAGTCGAAAATCGTCGCATTTCTTCATACCCAGTGCTAATAACCAGGTTAAAGACCTGATACCCGGGGATTTTTTGGTCTGACTGGCACGAGTTGTAAGTGTATGCTTTCATTTTATGTTTCTGATCTTTTCTTCGCCTCCGTTTTCCGCGGTGTTACTTTGTGATTAGCCCCTCCATGCCCCGCTGTTCATTCGATCACCATGGTATCAAAAGCCACGAGATGCTCTCAACGGTTGCTATGGCTGTAATCCAAATCCAGGATACAATACCAGTCTATTTGTTCATTCTTGAGCGAGTAAGAGGCCTGTTGCGTTGAAGACGATTACTCTAACAATTTGATACCCTCTGGCGGTGGGACTCTGCTAGCTAGCCAGTCATAACTCGCAATTGAGCTTCCGGCACCACATCCACTAACAACTTCATAGCCGGTCTAAAACCTCGAATAGCCCAAGATGCTACAAGAAAAGCTTCGCGTTCTTGTCGTTGGCAGCGGTGGGCGTGAACATGCATATGCATGGAAGCTGAGCCATTCCCCCTCGGTAGAGAAGGTCTTCTGCGCCCCTGGAAATGGCGGCACAGATGGAGTAGCATCCTCAAAAATATCAAATATCTCCGTCAAAGGGGACGATTACCAGGGACTAGTGGCGTTCGCCAAAGAGAACGGGGTCAACCTTGTTGTTCCCGGTCCAGAAGCTCCCCTTGTTGATGGCATTAGGGGCTACTTCCAGGCTGGTAAGTAATATTCTACAATATTTTTGGACCACGGCCGCAGCTGATATAGTTCCTAGTCGGCATTAGATGTTTTGGACCTTCCAAGGCTGCTGCTCGTATGGAAGGGTCCAAAGCCTTCTCAAAAGACTTTATGAAACGCCATAATATCCCAACGGCTCGATACGGAAACTTCACTGATTACAAGGCCGCTTGTCAGTATCTTGATTCTGCTGACCATGACGTGGTTATCAAGGCCAGCGGACTCGCCGCTGGTAAAGGTGTTATTATCCCCCAGAGCAAGGAGGAGGCACTCAAGGCCCTGAAGGAAATCATGGTAGACCACCAGTTCGGAGATGCAGGCGATGAAGTTGTAATTGAAGAATACCTTGAGGGTGATGAGCTTAGCATTCTCACCTTCTCGGACGGTTACACCATCAGATCGTTGCCTCCCGCTCAGGACCACAAGAGGGTATTTGATGGCGACCAGGGTCCCAATACTGGTGGTATGGGATGCTACGCCCCCACCCGAATTGCCTCCAAGGCCGTTATCGAGGCTATTGATAGAACCATTGTCCTGCCTACCATTGATGGGATGAGGAAGGAAGGTATAGTAACATATTCCCCTCTGGTCGTCTAAATAATCAACTAATGCCTTCTAGGCACCCCATTTGTTGGAATACTGTTTACCGGGTTAATGATGACCAAGAACGGGCCTAAGGTTTTGGAGTACAATGTCAGAGGAGGAGATCCAGAGACTCAAACATTACTACCACTTTTGAGTGATGATACTGATTTAGCTGAAGTCATGGTCGCCTGCACAGAACACTGGCTTGACGGAGTAACTCTCAAGGTAGAGTCAAAGTCGTCCGCCACTGTCATTGCTGTGGCTGAGGGTTACCCCGGATCTTACGCGAAAGGTAGAGGGATCACATTCGACAAGACTGCGGACAGTACCTTGATCTTCCACGCAGGTACCACGCTTGCAGACGGCAAGCTTAAGACCTCTGGTGGGCGAGTCATCGCTGCGACTGCAACAGCAGACACTCTTGAAGAAGCCGTAAAGGCGTCGTACTCCGGCATCTCCACAATACACTTTGATGGCATGCATTATAGAAAGGACATTGCCCATCGCGCATTTAAAACCTCATCAAAGACATCAACTACCCAAGAATCACTAACATACGCCTCAGCGGGTGTCTCCATTGATGCCGGCAATGAACTCGTCAACCAGATCAAGGCTAACGTCGCTCGAACTCGCCGGCCCGGATCTGACGCCATCATCGGTGGATTTGGAGGCGCATTCTCCTTATCATCATGCAAATCGGGTTTCCATGAATCCTCTCCAACTCTGATTGGAGCGATTGATGGAGTTGGCACCAAGCTTAAGATCGCACATGAAATGGGTATTCACAACACCGTGGGCATTGACCTTGTCGCTATGAATGTCAATGATCTGGTGGTACAAGGTGCTGAGCCCCTTATGTTCCTCGACTGCTATAGCTGCGGGAAACTCGAGGTTGAGGTTGCGGCCGCGTTTGTTGCTGGTGTTGCTGACGGATGCGTGGAATCCGGCTGTGCTTTAGTTGGAGGTGAGACTGCAGAAATGCCTGGCCTTTTCACCGACAACAGCTATGACGCTGCTGGAGCTGCTATCGGTGCTATCGACACCTCCAAAAATCGTCTACTTCCAGACACTGAGGGAATGAAGCCTGGTGATGTGCTTCTTGGTATCGGCAGCAGCGGGCCACATTCAAATGGTTTCTCACTCATACGGAAGATTGTGGAGAAGTCAGGACTGTCTTATCAGGACCCTGCACCATTCAAAATGGGTAAAGAGTGCGCAAACTTAGGTACAGCCCTGCTCACTCCAACACGCATCTACGTCAAGCAACTACTCGCTACTATAACCAAGTTCCCTCAGGGAGCAGTCAAGGGTATGGCACATATCACCGGCGGCGGCCTGGTCGAGAACATCCCTCGTGTTCTGCCCAAGAACCTTCAGGCCGACATCGACGTTTCCTCCTGGCCTCTACCCGACGTCTTCAAGTGGTTGAAAAAGACCGGCAATGTAACAGGATCGGAGATGGCGAGGGCATTCAACAACGGTATTGGCATGGTCGTCGTCGTGGACGAGTCTCAATCCGCTGACGTCAAGAAGTATCTTGAAGAGCTCAATGAGAAGGTCTATGTTATCGGAAAGTTGGCTGCTAAGGCCAATGGAGATGATAAGGGATGTGTGCTCCGGAATATGCAAACCTGGGACGACTGTTAACGAGATGAAAAGCGTTTGATTTCTTTTCTTTACTTTTTTTTTTCTTTGCTTTTATTTAAAGATAAACCTGGGGATGAGCTTTTCATAGTTTACACTTGGACTCTGGCGAATAACTAGGATCTTCCTCTCCCAAGACGAAATAAAACCCAACTTCGATAGAAATATGTGTGGAAACGAAGAGTCGATCTCTCCTCTCCCGTGGCGGGTGATCTAATAAGACATTTCCAGGCAGATAGACAGTCCCTGAGCGTCAACCGTCAAATATAACATGTTACAGGAGACAGGATGTTTCTTTCTGGCATCACGACACCCGTCGTCTGACTGATCTTCTTCTTCCTCCTCCTGCTCGCCTGCAAGAAGGCTGAGCTTGTTCTAACCGGGGTTCAAGCCACCGTTGCTCAGTCATCTTGCTGCCGCTGCAGAGTAAGTCTTTAGCTACAGCCAGCGCACAGCAACTAGGTATCAAATCTGCTGCGGCATGGTCCTCTACAAGACGCAGGTCTAGGGATCTTGCGTCTATGGAGTCCTGTCTTAGACCTCGAAATTTGTGTCTTCTGTGCGAGTATCGGCATACGCGAATAGCTATTGAGTGATCGATGACAACAGGCGTCACTGCTAATTTGGTTGGAATTACCCGCCTCTATAAATCAAGCACGTCTCTCACAAACCACCTCTGACACGGCCTCCAAGAGGCTTTAATTACACGAGCTACTAGTTACCTTTTCGCTGGCCGGAATTTGCATCGCAGAATACGGTCCCTCTCGCTTACTATTCGTCTCTTGGGGATTCCTGGCTTTAATTGAGCTGGATATATATTAAAATGCTACATCGAGCGAGAGACTCCGAAAAACGAAACATATCAACTTCTTATTTCCTGCAGATCGTAATCCCTCAAATAATCTTTCGGGCCATGGCAAGGATGTGCCCTCTTTGGATCTGCAATGACAGACTGTCCAGCCTATCATGAATATCGGCTATACGAATTTGGTCAGCCAACGGCTGGCCGTTCAGCAGGCTTGGGGCCTGCTGTGTGGACTGAAGATGCGAGAGTCGGATTTGAGGGCCTGTCGTCTACAGCCTACCACAAGGCGTGCCTTTTATGCCCCTCGTCTGGAGGGAATGAAGGCGGGCTATTTTATTTTATATAGATCCCTTCCTCCAGGCGAAGGGTGAAACGAAGTGATCGTCGATTCTATGCCTGTAACGCAGGCAGCCTCCCCCTCAATCTAACCGACAGCCTACAGTATACATACATTTTTCTTTCTCTGGGGAAGACCTTGACAAAGACAAAGAGAGGTCCAAGACTTCCGTCTCGCGGGGAACATTGCATCTTTATCCCAATGTCCGACGCACAGCGCTAGCGTTGCAGCATGGATGACGTTCACTGAGTAAAAGCAGCTTTAGCGACAGTCAACAACGCACTGCATCATATCATCCCTCAGAAGGAACCGCATTCCGCATATGACAAGTCGGTGTACGGCAGATGCAGGGCCCCAGAGGGACCTCGGCCACGCTGTGTCTGCCTATCTATAGCGCTTGGCCCCCGAAAGTCCCTCTTGCGCCTTGCCCGACAGAGTGTACTTAGCCGGGGCAGTGTGCTCCTCCAGGCCAGGGGCGGCCCTGGGGGCTTGTTCCTGCGGCAGGGGGCCCTTTCATCCAACCCAATTGCTTGGACGGTCCAACAGGCAAAGAAGAGACGGCGTCATGCCCCGCCGGACGGCATGGGCGAGAGGCAGACTCGACTGGGGTTCCTGGAAGTTCGAGGCTTATACGCCCAAACCCACAGGCCAGGCACACTGCATTGCACATCCAGAATGCTACTCTGGCGATGACTAGTCAATTAGTCGTCCTTTCTCAAGGCTAGCCGGCCTTGATACCCTGAGGACGGTGACGTACGCCTCTTCGGAACGAGTATACTCGATGCTCTTGTCCCATTTATATCCGTCTCTGCAGCAAACTAGGCAACTACCGGGGCAAACCATACTCACAGTAGACTGCTTCTTTGCTCGATTCCGCAATAATGGGATACGTTACACCCACCATTATTCAATTTTTATGACGGGATATATTGGAGAGTAATCAAATTTTATTCTCTCTTCGGAGGACCCTTCGCTTGAAACCGAGGGCCCTGGCTCATCTAAATTCCTTGACGCTTGATTGGCGCGCGAATTAACAGTTGACTACCCCATGTCTTCCATATCCACCCCATGGCGCAGATAACTCTGTGTCGGGCCTTACTAGAGTAATAGAGTAATCAAGAGACTCTCCTTAATCCCCGTTGGGACGGGCGGGCGGACAGGCATAGATGAAGGCCCACTGTCATCCGCGTGCATTTATACGCATGGTTCGATAAGCAGACAGCGATGTATACGGCACTCTCGGTCTGAGCCGAGAGGGTTTCATTCATCCCCCGCGGATATTCGACCATGTCCTCCATTCCTCCGTGAAGCCGGGAGCGTGATATAAATAATTGTGCCGGGAACCCTCTTTTCGCACTCTTGCTCTTGATCATGATCAAAGCATCCTGAGGAAATCAGATCATTCCATCGGACAAGCAGGCCTTGATCTCCTTTCCACACTCCTTTTTTTTTTTTTTTTTTTAAGTTTACATTTTCATTCCTTCAACATGCGATTCTCTGCTCTTTCTCTAGGCCTGGCTTGCCTTGCTAACCTTGGTGGTGTCTTTGCAAGACCTACCCCCAATGGCGACTCTCCCCGCCCTGTGCCAAACGGTGGCTATAAGACAGTTGGCTACTATGCTGATTGGGTACGTCAACATATATAGATACCAATGGGAAAGATCATTTCTTGTTAATAGTATCCGTACTGACGGATATAATCATCAGGACATCTATGGGCGCAACTTCCATCCGCAGAATCTAGAGGGAGACCAGTGGACTCACATCCTTTACTCCTTTGCTGGCATATCCCCTGAGGGCGAGGTCTTCTTCAAGGACTCCTCCAACACTCAAAAAATCTACGATGGGGATAATCAAAGCCTTCAGGGCAACAATCTCTTCGGCTCCCTTAAGCAGATGTACTTGATGAAGCAGAAGAACCGCCAGATGAAGACCCTTGTTTCCATTGGAGGATGGACCTACAAGGATTCATTCAGTGGACCTGCTAGCACTGATACCGGACGCCAGACTTTCGCCAAGTCAGCTGTCAAGATGCTTGCGGACTACGGCTTTGACGGCATCGACGTCGATTGGGAGGTAAACATCACTGACAAAATAGAATTACTTTAAAGATTGGATATACTGACGGAAGAGCAAATATAGTACCCTGCAGACGAGAAGGAGGCTGGAGACTTTGTCATGCTCCTTGCCGAAGTTAGAAAGGTATGCTTTGAATGATAGAGACGCCCACGCCCATGTCCTCCTTGCTAACGGGTATTCAAGGCACTGGATGAGTACTCCAAGTCTATTGGAGATGGATACAAGTATCTCCTCACCGTCGCCTCACCAGCCGGTATGTCCCTTGAAAGTCTTAATACGTATGCGGAAGGTCTAACAAAATCGCTTACAGGTGCTTCGCACTACAATGTCATGAAACTCGGTGAAATGGACAAGTACCTCGACTTCTGGAACCTGATGGCCTATGACTACTCTGGTGGCTGGGATCAAACCTCTGGACACAGTGCCAACCTCTTTTCTTCTACTACCGACAAGACAGCTACCAAGTTCAATACCCAGGATGCCCTCCTCGCTTACTATAAAGCCGGCGTTAAGCCTGAGAAGATTGTTCTCGGAATGCCTCTTTATGGTCGCGCCTTTACCAGCACTGAGGAGAAGCCAGGTGCTTCATTCAGCGGTGTGGGCGAAGGTAGTTTCGAGAAGGGTATCTGGGACTACAAGTCCCTCCCACAGCCAGGCGCCAAAATTGTAGAATGTGAGCAGGAAGTTGCCAGCTACAGCTATGACCCAGCCAAGAAGCTCTTCATCAGCTACGATACTCCTAAGATTGCCGGAATGAAGGCCAACTATCTCCGTCAAATGGGACTCGGCGGCACCATGTGGTGGGAGACCAGCGGTGACAAGCCAAAGGGCGAAGGCAGCCTTGTTGAAACTGTACGTTCCTCACCCCCTTTACCATGTACTAGATGGAAAAGTTGATTACTAACATACGTGGTAAAACAGGTCATCGAGCGCCTTGGAGGCCGCGAGAAGATGGACAAGAGCCAGAACCAGCTCAACTACCCACAATCGCAATACGACAACATCAAAAACCAAATGAAAATGTAAAAAAAGACCGCGAGCTCGGTCTGATAAAGCTCCTCTTGAGTCGAGCTGAGGCAGGCCCTTGATACAGTGATGGCTTATGCTCATACCTTACTGTTCCCTCCCTATACCCTATACGGCCATACGATGATGATCTACCATTCTCCCTTCCTATAACACCTCTCTTAACGCTCTCATGGCCTTTTCTTCTTCTTTTCTACTTCTTTACCTTCGTTGGGCCATCCAGAGTCTCCCCCCATTGACCTTTCGTCTTTCACCTTTTACCTTTGCTCCTCTATCTCTGTTGCATTTTGTTGTTATCTTCTCTTCTTCTGCCGTACATTAGATCATGTACGAGCATCCCTTTTTATATATACCCTCGTTATCAGGTGCTGGATTCACCTTTATAACCATTCGTTCAGGCGCTTTAAGGGTTGGAAATCTTTCTTCTTTTTTGACCTGCTTTGCCGTGGCCATGTGCATACCTAGACTCTCACTGATTTATGAGCTCAAGAACTCAAAAATATATGTTTGCATATCTGTCAAAAGGTCCTCTATATAACCCTTACTATAAGCCTTCTAGATTCCATAGTGCAGTTTAAGTTCCCAAGGTTGCTCGTTTTATATTCAAGGAGATAAGATAAGATTCGGCTGATTAATACCAACTGAAACAGCATAATTTCTTACTAAGCGTTATATTTGTCCACGTCAGCCGCAAGAGACGTGACTAGAAGCTGGTTGAGTAATGGGCAAAATTTTTACGTTGATCGAATTACTTTGAACCTGCTGGGTTTGCTTCTACGTAGTTCCCATTAAGCCACTGATAGCCTCGTTTGTGTTAATGTGGCCTGTAGGGTAAGCAATGGATAGAATGATGGAGCTTTGCATTTATACATCCACTACCAGGTCACGTGAAGATATGGAGGGGCAGCGGGAGGAGATCAAGACAACGGCAAAAGGAGAATCAGAGAGAAGGTCGAGCTGAAGATGGAAGAAATCTCAAAGTAATGAATCAAGTAATGAACGAAGCATAGACGAAGGATGGAAAAGGAAGTAAATATTTAACTTGAATTCAAATACTATGGACGTCGAAAAGGGTTTTGATAAAGGAGAGGAGAAAGGAGAGAATGGATAGATAAAGAAAGAGGTTTTTTTTTTTTAGTTGACTGCAAGTACAGTACGGAGTTAATGGTCATGGAACGTGCATCACCGAGTTGTGACCTTTGTATTTTTGCGGGGGAAAAGGGGGAGTGGTTTGTTTTTTGTTGGTGTTGTTCGCTTTCTCTTTTTCTCTATCTATCAATTATTCCGACGTCAAGCTAAAATATTCAACGTAGTCCGTATTAACATAACAGAGCTCGATTCCAAGCAGCTATCGTTGCTATCTCACCGGCAAGACAAAGGTAGGAGTTGAAATAACAAGCGATGCGAGAATAATAATGAAAGAGTAGTAAAAAGGCAGGTAACCCACCTCTTTAGAAGCACTTTCGGTGGACAATGGATGGGCCGGACTCGTCGTATTCCTGCTTGGAGATCCACATCTGCTGGAAGGTGGAAAGGGAAGCGAGAATAGAACCACCGATCCAGACGGAGTATTTGCGCTCTGGGGGAGCGATGATCTTGACCTTCATCGACGATGGGGCAAGAGCAGTGATCTCCTTCTGCATACGGTCAGAGATACCTGGGTACATGGTGGTACCACCAGACTACACATACAAGTTAGCACCATATCTATATAGTTTTGTTACTGCAGAGGGACAACAAGAGAGAGAACATACCATGACAATGTTTCCGTAGAGATCCTTTCGGACGTCGACGTCACACTTCATGATGGCGTTGTAGGTGGTGACGTGGATACCGCATGGCTCGAGACCGAGGACGCTGGGCTGGAAGAGAGCCTCAGGAGCACGGAATCGCTCGTTTCCAATGGTGATGACCTGACCGTCGGGAAGCTCGTAGGACTTCTCGAGGCTGGAGCTCTGGGCGGCAGTCTGGATCTCCTCCTGGAAGTCGAGGGCGACGTAGCAGAGCTTCTCCTTGATGTCACGGACGATTTCACGTTCGGCGGTGGTAGAGAAGCTGTAGCCACGCTCGGCCAAAATCTTCATCAGGTAGTCGGTCAAGTCACGGCCAGCCATGTCAATTCGGGAGATGGCGTGTGGCAGGGCGAAACCTTCGTAGATGGGGACAACGTGGGTGACACCGTCACCGGAGTCGAGGACGATACCAGTGGTACGACCAGAGGCATAGAGGGAGAGCACAGCCTGGATGGAGACGTAGAAGGCTGGGGCGTTGAAGGTCTCGAAGATGATCTGGGTCATCTTCTCACGGTTGGATTTGGGGTTGATGGGGGCCTCAGTCAACAGAACTGGGTGCTCCTCTGGGGCGACACGGAGTTCGTTATAGAAGGTGTGATGCCATATCTTCTCCATGTCATCCCAGTTTGTGACGACACCGTGCTCGATGGGGTATCGCAGGGTTAGGATACCACGTTTTGACTGTGCCTCATCACCAACATAGGAGTCCTTCTGGCCCATACCAATCATGATGCTGTTCAACTTGATTAGCTGCTGGTCTCCCCCACTCTACAGGCGGTGTCACAAATGGTTTGAATAAAACCTACCCATGGTGACGAGGGCGACCGACAATGGATGCTGCAGACGGGAGTCAGCCTGGGCTTCCGACACTACATTGTATCATCGACTTCTCAAGC